ACCCAAGAAATCAATCACAAAGTCCTCATCGGGGGTCATGGAGTACATACACAGCTGAGTCTGAGTGGCCACCGGCCCACCGGAGTCAACCATACCGGAGAACCTCCCCTCAATCCACTCCTTCAACGGATCCAGCGTGTTCGGAGCCAGCGGGTTCCCGGGTCCCCACGGCCTCTTATCCGGGTCACATGGGCACCCGCCATGCACGGCAACCTTGATCAAACCGGGGTACTCCAACGAGGGTGTCCCATAAATGTAGTTGTCCCCATAGCTAGCAAAGGTTGGAAAGTCACCACCAATGGCAAAACCACCCTCATGCCCCTCCTTAATCCTCCAATAACAAACAGCGGTCTCCAATGGCTGCATAGGCAGCTCAATCCCAGCAACCGTTTTAACTAACTTTGTAGTCCAAGCCCCAACGGTCACCACACACTTCTTCCCCCAAAACCTCTCTCCATTTTCTGTGCACACCCAAACCCCTCCTCTCACCCCATCTCTCTCCACACCCTTCACCTCCATATTGTCCCTCAAAACGGCACCATTCTGCAGAGCAAGTGTTTGAAACATCGACACAGCCTTGGTGGGTTTAATAACCCCACCATGCTCCGTTGCCACGGCCACCCAATCCTCCGGAATCCGAACCCGACCCGAGAACTCCCGATCCAGCTGGTCCCGGTTCATGACCCGAAAGGGGACCGAATTTTTACCACAGCTCTCAACAATGGCATGCAGAACTTTGTTGTTTGCCGGGGCCATGTCCAAATGGTGAGCTTTGAAGTAGACATTGTAGCCGATCTCGGACTCGGCTTCCTGCCAGAGCTTGTAGGACTCGAGAACCAATGGCGTGTAGTAGTCTTCCGGGTAGGTGGCACGGATCGTCCGAGACTCGCCATGGGAGGAGCCGTGGTGGTGGAGGAAGTTGAATTGCTCGAGGAGGAGGGTCTTCTGGTCACGCTTGGCCGTCTGGTAGGCGGTGGAGCTACCCATGATGCCGGCTCCGACCACGATGACGTCGAATTCATTGGCGGAATATTCCATCTCTGAGAAATTTTTCAGGCGATTGTTGGAGGAAGAAGAAAAAGACAGAGGAAGACGGTTGACAGGTGATTTTTGCTGGCTACTTGCCACAGGTGGTGGAGGAAGTCGAATTGCTCGAGAGTCAGTGAGAGTGTGGTTTTTAAAGTGGGATTTTTTGGAACCCGCCAAATTCTTCCTCTGAATTACGATATTGCCACTGGTTCATTTGTATGCTTTGTCCTTTGTGCAGTAATTTTGTGCGATTCGCGCCACTTTACTCTGTTTTTTTTTCTTTTCCCCTTTTTTTTTCTTTCAATTTATAAAGAAAAACATCATGCTTTAAGACTTTTGGAAATTTAAAAAGGTAAAAAGAAGAAGGGTATATTCCTGCTTGTCTCAATTCCTTAATTAATATGAATCGAATATTTATCATCGGTTAAGCATGTCTTCCACAAGAGAAAGTGAAACACCGCAGAGTTTCAAATTTACTAGTATAAATTGATTGCTTCAGTATGATAAACCTAATCAGAATTAGTTATGCACCAAAACTTTGTGTCCTAGTCCACTTAGGGAGAAAAAGGCTAACGATCACTATGGGATTTGATATTAGAGAAGTATATATTCTCCATTACAGAGTTGCATTATGCGGATTAATTGCGAATTTCTATTTCTGCTGTGCGATCATTTCAGGCTTCATTTCCTCAGTTCACTCTCTCTCTCTCTCCTTTTCTTTTCCTATGTAATTGTGCGCTTAATGAAAAATTAGATGAACACTCAATTTCATTACATGAAAAAACCAATAATGTATCAAAATTAATTGCAATTGGTCGTGGAGAATTAACTTCCAAAAATGAGTCAGTTGAATCTCAATCGAATATTTATCATCTATTAAGCATGTCTTCTACAGAAGAAAGTGAAATACCGCAAAATTACAAATTTACTAGTATAAATTGATTGCTTCAGTATGATAAACCTAATCAGAATTAGTTATGCACCAAAACGTTGTGTCCTAGTCCATATAGGGAGAAAAAGGCTAATTATCACTGTGGGATTTGATATTAGAGAAGTATATATTCTCCATTACGGAGTTGCATTATGCAGATTAATTGCGAATTTCTATTTTTGCCGTGCGATCATTTCAGGCTTCATTTCAACACTTCATTTCCTCTCTCTCTCTCTCTCTCTCTTTAAAAAAAAAATTCTTCTTGTTTCTCTTTTGTTCTCTTTTCTCTCTCTCTCTCTTTCCTTTTCTTTTCCTACGTAATTGTGCGCTTCATGAAAAATTAGATGAACACTCAATTTCATTACATGAAAAACCAATAATGTATCAAAATTAATTGCAATTGTTCATGGAGAATTAACTTGCAAAAATGAGTCAGTTGAATCCTTGAAGAGAGGCTTGTTGCATATGGAAAAAGTTGAAAAGGAAAAAGACAAGGAGCTTCTTCTCTTACATAGAAATATTGGCTTAATTTTTGAAGCATGCACTAGTTCAGTTATGGAAATGGGTAGAAGAAAAACTGATTTGGTTTGAAATGGTTGGGCTGCTAGAGATCAAGGGACACTACTACAAAAATCGCAATAGACGACAGGAATCCATTGTCGTGTAGATAGTTTTTAAATTGTCGTGAAATTGACCACCATCTTTTGATGCATAAAATCATGATGGTAAATTACTGATGTTGTTACAACATACTACGTCATCTCCAACTAAAAACTGACGTATAATTAATATAAAAACTACAAAAAAAGGCAAACTTCGATAAGCTTAGACGACGCTTTAGAAATTTCGCGTCGTCTGAAGGAGATAACATGGCACAATTTATCCACATCCCGTCGTAACATAGAGTAACCACGGCAAAAAAATATTAACTTACCGTAATGTAGAATCCTTGTCACGACGGTACTTCAAAATAAACCGACGTGGATAATATTGATTCCACGATGCTTATGGTCTTTACCGACGTGCAAATGAAGTAGTAACAGCTGTAAATATGGAAAGAACGTAGTTATTATTATATACTACGATGCTACTTTTTAAAAAAGTTGTCCTTGTTACCTAACTTACCATGTCACCAATAATATAAATATAGCTAGACCTGGCATTTGTGTCATGTTTGCAGTGTTCGTGTCGTGTTCGTGTCAACCTGTTAAGAACATGACACGACCCATTAAGAAAAAAAACTTCATATGAAAAAGAAACCAAAACCACTACGCAGCCACACTCACCTCAATCAACCAACATTAATGGATTATCAGTTAGATCATATTGGAAAATTGGTTCACCTAAAGGATGCTAACTTCGGAGGAAGCGATCAGTCGCCAGGTAGGCACGACCGATCTTTTATGATAAAATGCATACATAAAAATCAAACATTGGAAATGAGAAAATGGGTTATGATAAAAAAGTGATATAGATTCCAAGGCTTGTGCTCGATTTCATTCATTGCCTGGGAGCCCTAGCCCTCCATCTTCTTCCAAAAAAAGGTTTGCCATAGATTTATGGTTTGCACTCTTGAGGCAGCCGCCACAACCACCTCTCTTATTCGTTCAATCACAACCAAAGTGTGGGGGCTTTTTCATTCCAGCAACTAAAGATGGGCCTAGGCTGCTATAAAGATCAAACAGCTAGAGCTGCCCCTGTGTCTAAGTTCAAGAATTAGGCCCCAAAAGTGTTTCGAAAGGTTCATGAAGCCTTAGGAAACATCTTGGCTTCCTTCACCAACAAAACTAACAGTTGCTTACAGATAAATATTTAGGCTTGGATTGAGAAGCTTGTGGCATGAGAGCTGAACATTCTTGAGTTTAGCATGAGAGAGAGAGAGAGGGCTTGGGTTTCATATGAGAAACAGAGGCTCAAAGTAAGGGGAAGAGAGAGTTTTTGGGAGGATTTGTTGAGGGAATAGAAGTAAAGATGAAGATGGAAGAATGAGTGGTTTTAGCAAATTTTCTGCAGCTTGATGAAAGCTTCATCAGGCTCTTGAGTGTTTTGCCAGAAGAGAAAAGGGGAAACAATGGAAGAACAGGGCTCAAAATTGAAGGGCTCCTATGTTGAGAGGTGCTGCTTGCTCCTTCTGGATGTGGTTATGAGAGAGAGATGAAGAAGATGGAAGAATGAGTGGTTTGAGCAATTTTCTGGCAGCTTGACGAAAGCTTCATTAGGCTCTGAAATGGCTTGCCAGAAGAGAAAATGGGAAGATGTGGAGGAATAGGGTTTGAAATCGAAGGGTTCCAGGGATAAAAAGTGATGCTTGCTCTCTCTGGATGTGGTTATGGGAGAGAGAGGAAGAAGATGGAAGAATGGGTGGTTTGAGCAATTTTCCAGCAGCTTGACAAAAGCTTCGTCAAGCTCAGGAATGGCTTGCTAGCAGAGAAAATGGGAAGAGAATGAGGAATAAGGTTTGAAATTGAAGGGTTCCAGGGATGAGAGGTGATGCTTACTCTCTCTGGATGTGGTTATGAGATAGGTAAGGGATGCCCTTTTTTATAGGCGTTGGAAGCTCATTCTTCCCAAGAAACCCTAGCTGGTTTCTCCCTAATCTACCAAGTCTCCCCCTCAATTTCTCTTCATTTAATTCATCTTTACTCAAGTATCTTTTGGTTTTTTAGATGGCTTGTGTTGGGTTTGTCTTTGGCCATGTGCTAGAGACTTCCAGCAGCCTGCACACGCAAATACCTTTTGGTTCTTTAGGTGGTCAATTGTGGTTTTGTCTCCAGCCGTGTGCTGGAGACTTTCAAATATTTTCCGAGTCACTTGGGTCATTCCCTAAGGTGATGGGCTAGTTTACGAAGGGGATGGACCAACTTTCTAAAGTGATGGATTATTTTTTACTAAGGTGATGGGCCAATTTTCTAAGGTGACGGGCTACCTTTTTCTCTTTTTCATGCTTACCTATATATTTGGGTTCAAGAAATGCGCTTGAGTTTTGAGGCTCCCAAGCGGTCAAAACTTCCACTTCTTGACTGATCAATGAGCCTCGTGAATGCTCGTAACCATCCATACCACAACTTACTCAGCAAGCTTCGGGCGTTCGCGTGGCTTGGGTTCACTTAAGCTTGTAGCATGGCTTGGTGCAAAAATAAGGATTTTCCGCTTGGCGTGGCGTGTTATTTGCCATGTTTGTGCTCGAGCTTTGCCGTTTTATAAGGGCTATGGCGGGGCCAAAATGGCGCTTGACAGGAGAATGAGCTTGTTACGACCTTTCTGCGTGGCATGTTGCATATTTGCTTGGCGTGACATGCTTGCAAGCGCAAATGACGAACTCTTGCAAACCCAAGTCAGGTTTCTTCCCAAATTAGGTGTCGTACTGGGTTAGAAATATATTTGGGCCCAACCTTAGATTTGTTGGGCCTCAAGACAAAGACAACCCGTCATCTGTATTAAAAGACAAACCAAGGAAAGGCCATGAATACATAGGACATCAAAAATCCAAAATATATTAATTTAAATAGAAAATCAAGAAAGACATCAACTTGAGAGCAAGAAGAAGAGTGAGAGCAATCGTACCTTGAGAGAGGTTTTGAGAAGGGAAGAGAACATTTGACACAGAGATCGCAAGAAGAAGAGATGATGAGGTTGAGACAGAGAAGGTGAAGAGCTGGAGACGCGAAATGAAGAGACGAAGTGCTAGGTAGGTAAGGATTTTAGAATAGTAAATTACAAAATTACCCAATTAATGGGTGGATTCGTTTATTCGCGAATGAACACTGAAACAACTCGTTAGTTTAATGAGTGGCTAACGGGTCAACACGACCTGATAACTCGGACCTGAATACTGAATTTTTTATATGAATTCATGTCATATTGATGGGTCATGTACAATATTTTCGGGTCTAAATATGACCATGGTTTGTTCCTCTGTGATAACACCATGAGCACCGTATGTATTTTCATTAAATGGCGCAATGTATTAGTCTATCGTTGTTTAGAAAAACTGTGACGACAGTGGTTTAAAATAAATTGTCGTGGTTAATCAAGATTCCACGACGCTTATGGTATGGAATGACTTGCAAATATAATAGTAACGGCTGTAAATATGGGAAGAGCAATGTTATTATGATCTATTACGTGGCCATCTTTGTTACTTAACTTACCACGGTGCGAATAATATAAATATAGATGTGGTTATTCCCTCTACACGGCGTTGATAACACTTATATCGTCGTTTGTATGTTTGTTAGACAACACTAGGTATCAGCTTACCAACGTTCAGAAGAACTTTCATGACAAATATTTAAACTAAAATGCCTTTTGTGGTTCTAATATATGACGGTACATATATACGGAAGGTGGTAATGAAGTCGTTAAATACGTCGTTTTGTAACCTTTATTGTCGTGTTATTATATTTAAAATGTCGCTTCTATGAACAACTCTGTCGTGAACAGACAGTAGTAATGGCTGCATGTGACCGTCGTTGTTTGATTATTATGTATGATGCTTTCAACTAAATGACAGTCATGTGTGTTCTTTGGACATTGGTACCTACATTACGGTCATGGTCTGATAATAAAAAAGAACATTATTTTTCATTTAGAGTTGCCTAATTGGAATTTAATGTCAATTTTATTTAACTGACGTGTTTTTTTCATTTTAAATGGCAGTATTTATTTAGGTACAGTCATTTACCATCGTCCATTCCATGATGTTTGTTAAAAAACGATGTTGGGTATCATTTAGATGTTTGTTTTTGCAATTCGTTAACTGGACTGTTGTGTTTTACATCTTAAACCCAATATTTTTAATACTAAAAATATTGTGCCCAAAACCTGCATAATGAAGGTAAAAAAAATAATGTCATACATTACAATTTATTACAAAATTAATGTCATACAAAGTCATTTAGGGCATAACTAATGTCATACATTACAACCATCATTGCCATATATCTTCATACCCATCTATAATATTTTCACTCCTAAACTCACCCGCTAGTTCATCAAATGTGTCAACATTTGGCATCCTTCTAGTAAATGGCTCACACTCAATTCTCACATCACTTAGCACATCATCACCAATAACATCATCATATTCTTTATTAGCCATTGATAACACTACCGACCAACTATGATGCATTGGGTCGTCAACAAATAATACTTGTTTGACTTGAGAAGCGATAACAAATTGGTCATTCCTATGTCCAATTTTACTAAGACCTACAAAGGTAAATTCAAGTCCGTCGACTACAAGGATATAAGCGTTATCTATCCAATCACACCTGAAGATTGGGATTCTAAACTTTTGGTAGTCAAGGTGCCAAATATATTGAATGACATTATAAAAACCCATATTTGAGACAATCGAGTTTTTATCCTTGGCACTTGCAACTTGCATAGTATTTGCAAGTAAATAAACCCCACTATTTTGAACAATCTGGACATATCTTGTGCCTTGGTGTTAAATTTAACACATTTAATAAGATAACTCTTATGTGATGGCGCTGCCATGTTTGGATCAGCTGCTAGCCACCTTAAATTTTCTGATACGTCATTATTGTACTTCCCATTGAGTTCACTGTGAACTTGCAAATTAATCATATCTTAATTCAATCTAATATAGAAAGAAGAAAAATAAAAGTCCAATATGTTATTCAATAACATATACCTTAAAACGTAACCATTGAATGAAATTGTTGTTGTGTTTATCTTGTAGCCACTATGTTCTCTTTTTAAATTTTGTATAAGTGGTCTTGATGTGGATCATATGTTCCCTACATGGCAGGGAAAATTCAAGCATTACGGTCCTTTGTATATAAGAAAAACATAAGGAATAATTTAAAACATTATGAATCAAACTCATACTCGATATAAGGTAGGACTTCCTTCGTATTCTCCAACACATATAGATATGTCCGGTTCAACAGGTCCCGATCAACTAAACTCACTGAGCAACCTGATAGTGGCTTTGAAAGTCCTATCTTCTAGCTTGATGGCACTCCAATTGTGCTAACATCATATAAGTGTTCGGTGCAAAACTCCACAGCTTCTTCAGCTATATACCGCTCAACAATGCAACCTTCGGGATGAGTACGGTTTTGAACACACCCATTTAACACTTTCATATATCTTTCGAACGGATACATACATCTAAAATAAATTGACCCACATAGACGAACTTCTCTGACAAGATGAACTAATAGATGAACCATGATATTGAAGAATGAAAAGGGAAAATATTTCTCAAGCAAACACAAAATAACTACTGTATCTTCTTTTAACTTATCTAGCTTGGTTTTGACAAAAAAAAAACACAGTCGAGTTATTGCATACCTTACAGGCTTCTCCAAAACAGAACGAATTGCCATATGGAGCAATTGTTGCATGAAGATATGGCAATCATGTGATTCAAGGCCAAGAAGTCTGGAATCTTGTAAAGATACAAGATTTTTTATATTTGAATCTTGGGCTACTGGAGATCAAGGGATGAGATTGAAATCAGCAGAATTTCCTGCCGATGGACTTTTTTTTTGGTGGAGAGGAGCAGTTTCACTCTGAGGAATGTATCAGGACTATGACAGACGGGCTATTGTCGATCGACTGTGAATGATTTTGGTACTCTGACAGCTGAAATTGTGGAAGGTAACCAAAAGGAATTGAAGATTACCATTTCCTAGTTGCAGAAAGAAATTCAGGAGGACATTCAAAAGGAAAGGATCTGCATGGAGCTTGTAAGTCAAATCAAGGGGGCTGAAGCGGCTGCAACAAGTTATTCAATGGATCTTCAATCCTAAAAAACGTTGGTGCATGATTTGGAAAAACAGGTGGAAGTGATGAGAGGTGAACGTAACCAATTGGAGCAGAGAGTGAAAGAGCTAGAAGATTGTCGTGCCACTTGTACCGATTTGCAAGAGAGGGTCAGATCACTGACTGATGTGATTGCTGCCAAAGACCAAGGTCAGTTCTCATTGACATTCGATCCACACCATCAAATATATAATTTGAACGTTTATCTTTTGAAGGAAGTTTAAAATGGTTATTTAAATAATCAATAATTATAAAATTGCTTGTGATTGCAGAGATTGAGGACCTAATGCAAGCACTTGATGATGAGGAGGTGCAAATGCAAGGTCTCACTTTCAAGATTAAGGAATTGGAAAAGGTTGCGGAACAAAAGAACGTTGATCTTGAGAACCTTGAAGCTTCTCGTGGGAAGGTTATGAAAAAGCTTTCGGTCACTGTGAGTAAGTTTGATGAGCTACATCATCTATCTGCAAACCTCCTTGCCGAGGAGGAAAAGCTCCAATCACAATTGCAAGATCAGGATGCTGAGATATCTTTCTTAAGGCAAGAGGTCACTAGGTGCAACAAGAGAAATTCAGATGAGATCCATGAGTTATTAACATGGTTTGATATGAATATTGCTCGGGTGGTTGTGCACAATGCATATCTTATCGAGGTTTTGGAGATTCCGGCAGAGGAACTAGTATGACCTCTGAAATTATCGAGGTTGAACCTCCGGTGAGATGTTATATGTTTATTTGTTTATTAACTTGCATTTCTAGGGCTTTGTCAGAATACTGTGATGTCATTATTGACTTTAAATTTGTGGATTTTTTTTAATAGAAAAACAACTGGGCGGTATCTGGGACCTCCATTGCACCTCAAGTCCGCAGTTTGCGCAGAGGCAAGATGGGCTCTTAGTCCCAACCATGATTATGCTTTTATTGGGCTATTAAGTTGGAAGCTTAATCTGCTATTTTTTCTCCTTCCTAGATGTGGTTAGATTGATTTATTATTTTTTGGTCATCAATTAATATCTACTTTTTTCAAATTGGTTCAAATTGGGCTTTTTCTTATTCCAAGCGGTATGGGAAAATGAGAATTCGAATACAGAATTTTAGATTTTAGATTCAAGATAACTGCTCTTAACTACTTGAATTATAAGCTCCTTGCGTTTCAAATTGGCTTTTATTTTCATAGAATTATGTCCATCTCAAATTCCTAGATGTTGGTTTCAGTTTTTTAAAACGAAATTTGAAAAAAGAAAAAGAAAAAAAGGAAACAATTTTTTTCCCTACAATGTAAAATTGATGCAACATTTCGAGGATCATTGAACACTAAATGAAGCAGTGTGTTTATTGTGTCAATTTGTCCACCACACACTTACATACTCACTCACACATAACATAACCACATACAATTTGCTATCCTAAAGTGCTTCAAATTATTGGCCACAGATGGAAGCTACCCAATTCTGCTTCAAATTAGCACCGATGATCTATAGGAAGTCTTTGACATTGCCTTTAGGATTCTCTTGAAACCTTGCTATCCTAAAGTGCTTTAGCTCCACTCCTTTAGCCTCCCCACTAAGTGCAAGGTCAGCCAATATCCTCCCCACCACCGGAGACAGCTTGAACCCGTGACCCGAAAACCCGCCACCCACCACCACATCCTTCCCAAACTCCCCACCCAAGAAATCAATCACAAAGTCCTCATCCGGGGTCATGGAGTACATACACAGCTGAGTGGCCACCGGCCCACCGGAGTCAACCACACCGGAGAACCTCCCCTCAATCCACTCCTTCAACGGAGCCAGCGGGTTCCCGGGTCCCCACGGCCTCTTATCCGGGTCACATGGGTACCCGCCATGCACGGCAACCTTGATCAAACCGGGGTACTCCAAAGAGGGTGTCCCATAAATGTAGGTATCCCCATAGCTAGCAAAGGTTGGAAAGTCACCTCCAATGGCAAAACCACCTTCATGCCCCTCCTTAATCCTCCAATAACAAACAGTGGTCTCCAATGGCTGTATAGGCAGCTCAATCCCACCAACCGTTTTAACTAACTTTGTAGTCCAAGCCCCAACGGTCACTACACACTTCTTCCCCCAGAACCTCTCTCCATTTTCTGTGCACACCCAAACCCCTCCTCTCACCCCATCTCTCTCCACACCCTTCACCCCCATATTGTCCCTCAAAACGGCACCGTTCTGCAGAGCAAGAGTTTGAAACATAGACACAGCCTTGGTGGGTTTAATAACCCCACCATGCTCCGTCGCCACGGCCACCCAATCCTCCGGAATCCGAATCCGACCCGAGAACTCCCGATCCAGCTGGTCCCGGTTCATGACCCGAATGGGGACCGAATTTTTACGACAGCTCTCAACAACGGCATGCAGAACCTTATCGTTTGCCGGGGCCATGTCCAATTGGTGAGCTTTGAAATAGACATTGTAGCCGATCTCGGACTCGGCTTGCTGCCAGAGGTTGTAGGACTCGAGAACCAATGGCGTGTAGTAGTCTTCTGGGTAGGTGGCGCGGATCGTCCGGGACTCGCCATGGGAGGAGCCGCGGTGGTGGAGGAAGTCGAATTGCTCAAGGAGGAGGGTCTTCTGGCCACGCTTGGCTGTCTGGTAGGCGGTGGAGCTGCCCATGACGCCGGCTCCGACCACGATGACGTCGAATTCATCGCCAGAATATTCCATCTCTGCGAAATTTTTCAGGCGATTGTTGGCGGAAGAAGAAGAAGACAGAGGAAGACGGTTGAGAGGTGATTTGGATTTTTGGTGGCTGCTTGCAAACTTTTGTGTGTCTGTGTCAGTCAATGAGAGAGTGTTTTTAACGTGGGATTTTTTGAAACCCGCCAAATTGTTTCTCTGAATAACGATATTGCCACTGGTTCATTTGTATGCTTCGTCCTTTGTGCAGTAATTTAGTGACACTTACGTTGCGTAAACAAAAGAAGAACTAACAAATCACAGTCCTAAGAGCATCTCCACTCACAAGGGCTAAGTCTAGGGCAAGGGCAAGCAAGGGCTGCCACTATTCATATGAATAGTGTCAGCCTTTGCATTTGTGGTTCCACCCATGAGGGCAAAGTCTAGGGCAAGTCTAAGACAATTACTATTCATTGTACTTTATTTCCTATTTTTTTATACTTTAAACCATTAATTTTGATAAGCTTTTTAGATTATATTTTCGGTTGTCACGTATCACTATTTATATTTTGGATGAAGATTTGGTGTGGAAAGTGAATAAAATTGTTAGGTATTTATAGGGAAAACATCCAGAATTTTTTGGTATTTTTTTAAAAAAAATTTGAATTTTTTTGCAATTTTTTATGCCATTTGTTTTTTTTATACAAATGGAAAGTAGTAGAAAAATGTGAGGGAAAAAATAAAATGGTTATGTATTTATAGGGAAAAAATACAGAATTTTTTGGTATTTTTTTATAAAAAAATTCAGATTTTTTTCGATTTTTTTTGCAATTTTTTTAGCCAAAAAAACGAGGACTGTCGGATTGTTGGAAAAAAAAAGGATCGAAGAGTCAGGGTTGCGACACGTGGCACAGTACCGTGCGATGATGTCACTCTGACGTCATCGAACTCGGGCTGAAGCCCAGTGGAAACTTGCCCTTGGGCTTGCCCGGGCTGGTGGGACCCAGGGCTTGCCCGGGCTGGAAGTGCAGCGCTGGAGCTGTTTTGGGCTATCTGGGGGGGCCTTTTGCCCGACTCTGTGCCTGCGGTGGAGGTGCTCTAACCCACGTCTTAGTTCGCATGGTTTTAAGCGCAAATTTTCTATTGACAAATAGTCGTGCCTTATGTTGTTAAATTGTGAATTGATAAATGTGTTGTTCGTATTAGATTCACATAACATATTTTATGTTATGAAATTATTTTAATAAGACAAATATTATTCGCGTTTCAGAATCAATTGTTATCATTTTAGTTTTCTTAAATGCACTCTTTCTTATGGGATTAATTGGTGCAACACTTTCTTTTGGTCAGAAATTGGTGCATCACTTTATTTCCACACGCTTTGAGCATTTTCTGAAAACTTGTATTAATTGTTGTGATTTGGTAGTTTGGTTGAAGTTGACACACGACCAAATATGAAGATACATGACAGGCAAGAAACGAACACACATTGGACAATATGATCATGCGAATCGCGCCACTTCACTTTGTTTTTTGTTTTTTTCAATTTATAAATAAAAACATCATGCTTTAGGACTTTTGGAAATTTAAAAAGGTAAAAAGAAGAAGGGTATATTCCTTCTTATCTCAACTCCTTAATTAATATCAATCTATAAAAAAATGTCAATCAATCGTATATTTATCATCGGTTAAGCATGTCTTCCACAAGAGAAAGTGAAATACCGCAAAATTATAGATTTACCAGTATAAATTGATTGCTTTCGTATGATAAACCTAACTTAATGTTGTAGTTAAGGTAAAATGAACTTAATGTTGTAGTTAGCCTCTCTATTCTTAAAAATAAATGAAAAATAGAGACCTAATCAGAATTAGTTATGCACCAAAAGTTTGTGTCCTAGTCCACTTGGGGAGAAAAAAGCTAATGATCACTATGGGATTTGATATTAGAAAAGTATATATATGGATATGTTGATTGAAGACTGAAGGTGGTGAAATGAGGTCATCCAGAGTGAACACCACCCCTTCATTTTTTATTCCATGTGCAGAAGCAAACACCTTCAAAAGTGACTTGAGCCATTCACAGCCTCTGAAGAAGTCAGCTAGCTTTTGTCACATTACATAATGTATTATGTATGGTTGGTATTGGTAATTGGCATATTTTGTTCTCTTATTCTGTCACCATCCAATATCTCACCTCATGCTTCAACACTACAACAGAACAAACCACTTTTCTTTTGTGTAATGGCTTCACAAGGTGCTGTATATAAAGAAGCCAATATGGATTATTTTATTAACCATAGAATGCATATGCCACTCACACATTTTGAAAGATTATGGAAAGCAGATGTCAATATGTCATGTTTCATGAGTTCATATAAATTGTATTTGAAAATTAACTCAATCATCATGATCCATGTTTTTCATATATTTTTGTTGTTGTTGTTGTTGTTGTTGAGATTATTAGTCTTTTTATATAATCGAAATAAAGATTTATTTACACACGCAACTTTTCATTCCTTCAAAAGAGTGTATACACCCGTTTTATGTAAGTTTTACAACACGCTACTCTAGAATTCCACAAGTTTTAAAATGAGCCATAGTTGAAATTGAAATGACAACCAAATTGTACTAACAGAAAGTACACATTAAAGTAAATTCCTAACCCTTTTATGAGTTGCAATCCTAAAGGAGTATACTAAGTCAAACTATAAAAGGAAGAAAGGAGTGGGCTGCCATATTTTATACCCCGGCCACCCAAAGAAAACAAAAATGATGTCAAATTTGCATGTTCTTCAATGAAGATGTGACCAGGCTTGTTTGCTCTTAGACTCCAAAGCAAGTTTGGGTTTCTCATCTATAAAGTATCATTCTCAAAATCTAGCTTCTTTTTTTCTCTGATGAATAACATCCGTCTGTTTTTTATATTGAAGCAAATGGACAAAACAATATGAATATGAGAGAGAAAGAAAAAAGAAAACAATAAAATTAACAGTAAAGATTTGATTCTGCAGCTTAAAGGGTGTAGATACAACCATGACTTTCAAGCCTTCTTGTTGGACTCAAAGACATATTTTATGATTGAATCTTTGACTGACAACAATTCAGGAAACTCCCTCTTCAGCTTTGAAGCATCCAATTCATTGTTACTCCTTGGTGCTACAATCACCTTGGCCTGTTCTTCTAGGCCAAAATTTTGCCACTTAAATTTTGGGTCAATATAATCCCTGTACATCTCTAGGATCTCATTGTGGCTTATGACTCCAGGGTTGGTGAAGTTCCATATTCCTCTGCAGTCCCTCCTAGCCATGTCAATGGAGATTGGTAGGAGTTCATCTAAAACTGTCATGCTGTTGGGTATGTTCACAACCTTGTCGTAACGCGCGATTTTCGTGATGAAATTTCTTGGGTTGCTGAGGTCTGATGATATTGGCATTCTTACTCTGAGGGTGCACACATTGTCGTATTCCTTTAAAAGCTCCTCCACCTGCAAATTCAACCATTTTCTTTGTGATATTAAGTATATCCTTAACAAAAAAAATGTACATGATTTTAGAACAAAGCTTGGACATTGGTGGTGACATGACAGAATTACACCCTCTCTCCATGCTTGAATGCAGCATATATAGACTATGGTTTTGAAATAAAAAACAAATTGTAAACAAGTTCGAAATTTGTTACCATGGCTTTGGTCTTCGAATAGAAGGAGCCGGTGAAATTAGCCTTGTCCTCCTCCTTGAATCCAATACCTGATCCTAGAGGATGCTCCTTGTCATACTCAAATATGCAGCCAGTTGCAAAATTCATCATCAACAGACCTTGATCCTTGCAAACGTCGGCCAAATTTAGCGTACCGACTACATTCGTCCTGATTGTTTGAGTCTTGTGAGATTCACACCAATCAACGTTAGGGCGGCCTGTAATTCCAGCTGCATTGAACACATGGGTTGGTTGTGCTCTTGTTATGTCCTCCAGCAGAGACTTCCTATCCTCAAGTCTTCCTTTCCCATACTCAAATTCAATTCCTTCATCTTTACAAAGCTTCCCCAACAACCCTCCTATCCAACCAGTCCTCCCATATATCAAGAATTTCAATGCAGAGCTGTTGCTGTTCTCACTGCAAGTTCTTGACAGCCTTGTGTACCCGTATTCGAAGAACCATGCATCATCGTTGGATCGACTAATCACAGAGAAACTTGGGTGTGGGTGAAGTGCAGCAGACACATCACCCCACCAAGTAGGATTCTTGGTGTACCACTGTGTTGTCAGCTTTAGCCCTTCCTCCCAACTAGTCTTCACCTCCCACCCAAGCTTCTTAAGCTTTTGATCATCCAAGAAGTACCTATGGTCATTGAAAGGCCTGTCATGAACAAAGCTAATAGCTTCCTTTGGGTTCAAACCGAACATCTTGCAAACATCCTCTGCCACATTTATAACAGACCTCTCTTTTTTGGTACCAATATTGTACACATGCCCAATCACCCCCTTATGAAGTATAACATCAAATGCCTCAGCAACATCATCACAATACAGATAGCTTCTAACATTTGATCCATTTCCATGGATAGGCAATTTCTCACCTTTCATTGCTAGAAGACTGAATTTTGGGATAAGCTTTTCTGGATACTGGTGGGGCCCATAAACATTGTTGCTTCTGGTTGTGATTGTTGGCAGGCCATAAGATCTGTGGTAAGCCATAACCAACATTTCAGCCCCTGCTTTTGTAGCAGAGTAAGGGTTTGTGGGCAGAAGCTGAGAAGCCTCAGGGTTTCCAATATCAGTTTCCATATCAGTTTCTCCATACACCTCATCTGTGCTCACATGGATGAACCTTTTGATCTGCTGTGTGACCTTGCAGGCTTCAAGAAGAACATGGGTTCCATAGACATTGTTGTTTGTGAATTCAAATGAGTTTCCAAATGAATTGTCTACATGGGTTTGTGCAGCAAAGTGCATTATGGTGTCAATTTCATCAGCAATCAAGAGATGGTTGACCAGGTCAGCGCAGGAAATGTCACCTTTGACAAACTTGAAATTGGGAGAGGCTCTAGAGGGCCTGAGGTTCTTGAAGCTAGAGCAATAGTCTAGCTTATCAAGGGCTACGATTTTATAGCTGGGATAGTTTTTGATCAGCCGATTGGTCACATGGCTGCCTATGAACCCTGCTGCACCTGTTATGAGGATGTTCTTTGGTGCATATGGTGTGCCTTCAGATACCATGTTTATACTATATACCCCCTCTCTTTTAGTTCTTCCTCTGTTACCTAAACACAATATAAGAAACCTAGGACATCATAAAATCATTCATATCGTACAAATACAATCATACGAATGAACAAAACTTAGGGTTCATTTGGGATTATATGAAGCATTTCTGCTCACAAACGTTTCATCTCGATGCGCATGAATTGTTTCATTAGGGTTTTATTTAAGCACTACTAGATGTTTTCATGACCTAGAAATAGTTAAAAGCGATAAGGGTTTTTGGTTATCTGAAAGCTACGAAAGCCCTAATATTCCAAAATCATAATTGACTATCCAATGTGAAGGCACATAGAATTATCTAAAAGCTATAAACTTTACCTAGAGCATTAGAGATACTTACAAAAGATCATCAATGGCACATGGAATTATCCATGGAGACTCCACCAAGCAAATAATAGAGAGCAAATAAGTAAAATTGTTAATGAGGAAGAACTAGTTTGATTTGGGAAGAAGAAACAAAAGCATGGCAGCAGATGAGAGATGCGTAATGGCCGCTATGCAGTTCATTGTTGGACTTTGACTCTCTTTTCTTACTAGGCTATTGTTCATGTCACGTGGTGCTTAATGCGCAAGGTTGCATTAAAATCTTAACATCCTAATCTAGCTTAATTAGGTGGATTTTGATTTAATAACAACTGAAATTCCCAAAAAGTAGTTATAAATTAGTTAAAATTCTAATGAATTTCTAGGATCATTGAACCAATCGAAATTTAAAACCAAATCCTCAACTTTCTCAGAAAAATATAGATATTGGGTGCGTTCATCAAATTATACTAGATGCACCAAACACTGAGTTCCACCGATAATGGGCCGAAACCATGGCCCATGGTCCATGACCCATCTCTAGTCCAATAACTATCTCACAAATCAAACCCAAGTTCATTTGTCTCACGACCCAATAGTGTAACCACTAGGCTCAGTCAATTTGACCCAATCTCCACTTGACCACATAAAAGTAAGAGTCATGTTTGGAGTCGCCCCACAATGCATCAACAGCTAAGAGTTGTCTACTTACTCATTAATATACCGACTGTTCTTGACCATTTCTCTAATAGTAACATTCATTTTGGTTAGAGATAAAGTGGGAGGGACCAGGGGGAATTTGCATGTTAGTCAGCATTATTTGATAGATGATGTGATGAATCAATTGGCGTTTTTTTTTTGTTTTGGTTACAATGAATCAATTGGCTTTGATAGTGGACTTTGTGGGTATAGAAGGCTTCAGTTGTCTTATCTAACTGCTTCATTAAATAGGATGACGCCCTCAAATAGTGTTGGGACTATTTAACCCCTGGAAGCATCCAAGAGCCATAAATTTTGTTGTAATTTTGACCAATTTTCATGTATATAATCACATAATATAGGGTCCTCACTTTTTCATTATTATTTTTTGGGTTTTTAATTGTAGACGTCTCTGAACTTTGTCTCCAGATGCAATTAGGTTTGTGAACTTTTTTTTGAGACAATTACATCCTTTAACTCGACAAGTAGTTCCAAATGGGTTATACCGTAACAGAATCTGTTGAGTTTGACCTTGTGAATGACACGTGCTCTTGTTGTGAGGGGTATATTGGAGTTTTCACAATGACCATATCCATGTCTGCAAACCTATTCAACCCCACCCTCTGGCTATCATGTGCATTGTTTGCAGCCCTCTTTTTTGCGGTCTTCTCCAATTCAAACTTGAGGTTCCTCTTGAAATTCTCAAACATCCTCTCACTCTCTTCAGCATGCCTATACACCTTTCCATGCTTTTGCTTCCAGAGCCTGAAGAGCTCCACCACTTTCTCTTCTGTGGGGAAGTTGTTGAGCACTTCATTTTGCTCCACTATGGAGTATTCACTTGGGAGGCTATTGCAAGAAGAGAAGCATGCCAGTGATGCCCATATGAAGAAAGCAAAAGCTAGCTCAATTTTGTGGGAACCCATGATTTCCTCAACTGGGTTTCAACCGTCTATGAAGCTTTCAAAGTTTGAAACTTTAAAACAATTACCTCTACAGCTCAAAAGGACGCTTTTACCCCTCATTTGATGGACAAATTGACAGACTTCGATGGCAGGACCCAATTGGAACAACTTGTGAAGTTAAAGGATGTAATTGCCACACAAAAAAGTTCACGGACCCAATTGCAATTGGGGGCAAAGTCCATGGACGTCTACAATTAAAAACCCTTATTTTTTTTTTAGTATAAGTGATAGTCTAAACTACATTGAAAGAGAATTTCGCATAGACACTAAAAAGATATGAGACAAATGTGGCAAACATGATTTACGAAAGTAAATTGTTTGTGAAGTTGAGTAGCAACATGAATCTTTTTCCTAATTTTACTTAGATATTAAAGTCATCATCAAATCTTGTATTTTGAGTGATTATGAACATTTAATCTTATATTTTAATGGCATGTTTTCTAATTCATAATCGGATTATGAGGAGTTGAATTGAGGAAGAGTTGGATTGATGAGAATTATAATTTGGATTCCTATTGAAGTTGTTTACTAAATCATATAGATTGAGGAGAGTTAGATTTTGGATTCTTATTAAAGTTGTTTACTAAATCATATGGATTTGAGGTATGAGTGGTTCTAATTACTAAAATGTCCTCATTGTTGGATTAAAATAGATAGCAATTTTAAAATTTTAAAATTGTGTGATGATATAATCTTAATAGGCTAGTTCTCCCGTAATTAGAATATCACCTCCCACCCAAGAATTGAATTCCTCCAAAATCAAGAATTCAAATTTCAATTCCTAATTAGTAAACACACCATAAGTCTTTAGGTTAAATTCTCCTTCTCCTAGTATCGTTTGATAAGAAAAATGTGAATTGACAAATTGAGTGGGCAAGATACTCACTACTTACTTAGGTGGGTTTGGAGAGGTGACAAATCAAGTATCGTTGTAAATTGACAATTAACCTCAAACTCTTTGGGGTTATTTTTCAAATCACCTTGGTTTAACTTAAAAGTAAATGAAAGTAATTGATTTATATATATAATTTTTTTCATTGAGAAATTGATTGATAAGTTTTGCTTGCATGATTGTAGCAAATTTGTGTCTATATCCGCCGGCAGTGAGTATATGAAGGCATATACACTCATGTGAAACCTTGAATTTCTGAAATTTTGGGCTCATTAAAAAATAAAAGAAAAGTGTGACACGTGACCTCCTCAAATTGTTCTTGGCATCATGTGACGATGTTACGACAATTTTTGTCCAAGTGTTTCAGCTTCAGCTAAACGACAAGAGTGTTGGTTATCTCCTATGTTTTTTTATTTTAGAATTTTCAAACTAGGATATGTTTCTCAAATCAGATATTAACCCATTTTCAACATAATTTGTATTATTTACATATTATATATATATATATATATATTTTTTTTTGGTCAACTATAAAAGGCGAATAGGCGTTTACTCAATGTGCGGTGTTGCACGCAGTTCGGCGGTGCACGGTTCTAATAAAATAACCATGAAGTCTTATCACACAATAGTAAAATTGAATTTTTTTCATCCTTCATGTATTCATACGTGGATGAATTTTCAATTGTTAATTCATGTCAAATTATATCATTCAACAGTTAATACACTGAAATCAACTATTGATTCTTGTATTTGTCAATAATGTGGTAATACTAGCGAGATAGAAGACGTGGATTATGCCAATTAGTTAAAACAGTGTACTTGTCATTTTGTATTCGAGTTTGCTTTCTCTTTTTGCACTTAAACGTCAATTAGGAATAAATTAGTGTCTAGTATTATGTACACAATAAATAGAACTGTAATTTTTTTAATAGTCTTTCTTTTTCCTTAAATTATTTGGCATGCCCCCTACAAGCTACATCAACAAAGTATATGGGGATACTAATTTCTCCATTAATCGTGTCCTTCTTGTAACCATATGCTCATTATTATCTTTTAATCTGACTACATGCTTGTTGTTGATCACCACACAGTGAATAGATTAAATAATTAATTGATTGATTAATTTGCATTCCAATGAATTATTATTTTTTATAAGAGAGCAGTAGTAGAACTTTGCTTGCCTCGTTTTCCGTTGCTATGGTCATTGCCGATGGTGTTTCTGTGTTTTAATTCGTCTCTACAACATAAAAATATCTAATTGTAAACACTACCTATTTCCGTTGCACTATACACTTAGCCCGCCACCATCATCTATACGCTCATATTTTATTATTCTTCAATATGGAGGTATTTATACAAGTACAAAGATGTGTTAACTCTAAATAAAATATGAAATATATCTAAATTACAATATGAAATAAATCTAAATTACAATAGGACTAAATAATAATTGGTAAGTAACCAAAATTTTAACTAAATAAGAAACCAAAATCCTAACTAAGGACGGATTCATCAACACTCCCTCTCTAATTGGGGCAAAAATATTTCACACACCCAATTTGACAAGTGAATCATAGAGCACCATACTCAACATTGTAGGCTTTGATGGGCTAGCTGACGTGGTGCCAGTGGTTTCAGTCAGTACGTAGTGTTTTGGACTATATTCACAGAGCATGGGGAAGGCAGCTATCTATCCCCATATAGATATATATAGCTTGTTCAAAATAATAATAATTCAATAGTTGACTTGGTGTAAAGAGTGAAAATAGCCAGGGAGGCAAGCATCTATGATCTACTTGCATTTTAAGGGCCGGCTTGCGTTTCTACAAGAAGAAATTATCTGTGGTTAAATACGAAAAAAGTTATCTTATGTTGTCATATTGTGAATTTCAGCCATGGTTATGTTGAGTATTACGTGAATGAGAAGTATATATATTCTCGATTGAGCTTATGTTGTTAGACAAATTTCGAGACATGAAGTTCTAGTGAAAATAAACTTTATCAGTGATCTAAATACACAGTCAGACAACATAAATCAGACAATTGACAATATAACAGTTCCTACTTGCCTAGGCACATAATGAGGAAAATAACATATAGATAAGTCAAAATTTTTTATGTGAAATTGAATTGATCTCAATGTCAAATGTGAGTATTTTAAATTAAACGTAATATACATTTTTTTTTATTGATTATGTTATCATATCTTAGAAAGAAAGACCAGTCATTGATGCGGACCCTTACGTGAAAACCCCATACCAATGCCTTGGACGTATAGATTGGTACCCCACAAGTTTTATAGTAGCGGGTTCATGCGGCAATTGTGGAATAGTAATTATTTCCCCTTCAACTAAGCATTAATTGCTGTTGTAGTATTCGTTTACTATCTTATGTTGACTTGGAAATCTGCCCCTTTCGTCTTGTCCGTTCCATCGAGGGCATTCGATCCGACAATGTACATGAGAATTGCTTCCAACCTCTCATATAGAGGATCTGGATTGAGAAATTTCTACTTATGATCTTACAGATGTGTTATATATAATATGATCAATGAATGATAAAATTATACTTTTAAATTTAAGATTAATAAATATATACATATTATAAGCAGAGACATTATATATACAAGCAACTCCACACATACAGAATTACAGATCAAACAATGGCATCCCCACAGACTCCCCATGTTGTTATCTTCCCTTTCATGGCTCAAGGCCACACTCTTCCATTGCTAGACCTCTCCAAAGCTCTTTCCCACCGCAACATCAAAGTCACCATCATCACAACTCCAGCCAACGCAAAATCAATTGGCACAGACACAGAAAACCACCCGAACATCGGACTCGTTGAGATCCCATTTCCCATCATTCATGGCTTGCCTCAAGGCACAGAAAACACTTCCCAACTTCCATCCATGGAGTTCTTCTTCCCTTTCCTCATGGCCACCAAACAGCTCCAAAAACCCTTTGAACAAGTCCTCCAAGGCATGAGCGTGTCCAAATCACTTCCCATCTGTGTCATTTCAGATTTCTTCTTGGGCTGGACTCTGTCTTCATGCCAAGCTTTTGGGGTGCCTAGATTGGTTTTTCATGGCATGTGTGTCTTGTCAATGGCCATATGCAAATCTGTGTGTGCACACATGCCACACACAAAAGCAAAGTCAGTTTTGGACCCAATAGACTTGCCAGGCCTCGAGCTTCCCTTTCATCTGAGTGTCTCTGAATTACCAGCTCAGCTCATTCAAGCAACTGATCAAAACGACCCGTTTTTCCAGTTCATGTCTGATGCGGGGCAAGCTGACTGTAACAGCTGGGGGGTTGTGGTGAACAGCTTTGAGGAGATAGAAAGCGGCACCGTTTCATCATTTGAAACTTTCTATGAAAGTGGAGCTAGGGCTTGGTGCTTGGGGCCTCTTTTCTTGTATGACAAAGTTGAAGGGATCAACAAACCCATCAGCCAGAACCAACCCAACAAGTTGATCCAATTTCTCAATGATCAAGTCACTCTGGGCTCTGTGCTCTACGTTTCATTTGGAACACAAGCAGACTTGTCAGATGCTCAACTTGATCAAGTGGGTTTGGGCTTGGAGGAGGCTTTGGTTCCATTTCTATTGGTGGTGCGGTCAACCACTTGGTCTCCACCCAATGGACTAGAAGAGAGGTTGAAAGGTAAGCTAATTGTTTTTTTCTTAAGACAAAAAAAATAAGGTAAAGCTAATTGTTTTTATAATTTATCGCAGTATCAATATTTCGTAGATATTTTTATTAGATACTCGACAATTAACATCGATATTGAATACCTTGAAGGTAAGGGAATGATAGTAAAGGAATGGGTGGACCAACGACGAATATTATCACACCGAGCAGTTGGGGGATTTTTTAGTCATTGTGGGTGGAACTCGGTGATTGAAAGTATATCTGCAGGTGTGCCCATTTTGGCTTGGCCTATGATTGCCGAGCAGTCTTTGAATGCTAAGCTTGTTGCTGAAGGGCTTGGGGCTGGACTTGGGATTAGAAAGTCCCATGATGATTTGGGTTCAAGGATTGAGGTATCAAGGCAGGCAATTTGTGAAGGTGTGAGAGAGTTAATGGAAGGAGAGAAGGGAAGGGATGCAAGGGAGAGAGCACAGGCCTTGGGAAGAGTTGCTTGGCGTGCGGTTCAAGAAGGTGGCTCATCCCATCAAGCGCTAAACAAGTTTATTGACCAACTTTGTGCATTTTCTAGTCAATAGTTGACCAAAAACCCAAATATGATTATCCTCTAGAAAAATTGAAGATGTGGTTAAGTGGTTAATTAGCATAGTTAGCAAAGTCAGTACGTTTGCCCCTTTGCATTCTAGTTCGATTTCTTTTTCACATTGGTACATCATTTGGTGTCCAAAAATTGATATAATAAATTAGTATCTCTAGTATTATATAGTACACATTCAATATACACAATTAATTATTTTTATGGTAATTTTTAAAATTATTCGGCATTGCCCTTACATCAACAGAGTATATAGGACTACTAATTTCTCAATGAATCGTGTCTTTCTTGTTAACCATATGCTTAATAATCTTGAATCTGACTACGTGCATGTTGATCACCAATGGTGAGTAATCCTCCACATAATGAATAGATTAATTAATTAATTAATAATTAATTTTCATTCCCATGAATTATAATAATACAAATTTATAAATAAACCCAATTCTAAACATGTATTTATAAAAAAACCCAAACACTATTTAAACATAGAAACACACCCAAAATCAACTCCAAAGTCAACAATTGTATATTTTTTGGGTGTGTTTATAAATGGGTTTTGAGTGTGTGTAATGATGGGTTTTTGGTGTGTTTATAAAGTGTTTTGGGTGTTGGGTTTTTTTATAATTTCAACTCTCATTTTGGGTGTTTTAGTGAAACTCCCTTATAACAAGTGGTTAAGCATGCAATTTTAAGTAATTTTTTTTACTATTTTTGATAAAATCTCCATTAGTTATGTTAAGTATTACTTGAATGTGAAGTTTAGATTCTTGATCAAACTTATGTTGTCGTACAAAGTTTTAATGAAAATGAACTTGATCAATGATCTAATGGCATGTTTACTAGTCTTTAATCACTACTAAAAAAACAGCCATTAACTACTGATTATTTAGATACAAATTCATATTAGTTTGTTTTGAATATTTTTTGAAAATTAAAAAGCTAAAAGGGCAAAATTAAATTTAGGGCTTTGTTTATTATTATTCTTTTCCAGCTAATAAAAAGAGATATTTTAAATACTTTGTAGAGATAAAAAAGAAAGAGATATTTTGAAATGCTATGAATTTCGTATGAGAAAAAACAGATATTGGTGCAGTCTCCTAGACAAGTCCACCTTCTCGTTGTTTTATCTTTTCTTTCCCCAAAACTTGATCCATCTTCTCATCTAAGTTCTCCTTTCTTCGCTTTATTTTCCTCAATGTGTGCTCCACTCACATGTTTTCTTCAAGTCTTTTTTCCTCCTCTCTCATATTCTCACCACCTTCTCACGTTCTCACAACTTCAATTAAGATGTTGGTGGGTTGGTTTCTGACAGTCACTTTGGTTCTTGTCTTGTGTATTGGGAGATGAGGTGATCTTTTCTGCATAGATCCAGTTTACTGCTCTCTATCTCTCATTGGATATTCTCTGCTAAAATATGAAAACTATGAGAGAATATTTGTTTGTGGGAATTTTCTGTGTATTCTTCTCTTTGTAGGAGGTTATAGTTATAATACAACGAAACATGAATGGGCAAGTAAATAATAAATTCATAAATATATTTACAGTAGGAAATCATGAATTAAAGTAAATAAATTACAATTATAATAGGAATTCTTGGTGTGTAAGGAAAGTAAGTCAATATCCACAAGTTACGTCAACACTCCCTCTCACGTTGGTGCATAGATGTCGTCAATGCCCAACTGATCCAGTGAATTGTGGAATGCTTTACTGGAAATCGCTTTTGTCAAAATATCTGCCAATTGATCCTCGGATTTCACAAATGGAAATTGAAACACTTTAGCCTCAAGCTTCTGTTTGATGAAGTGTCGATCCACCTCAACATGTTTAGTACGATCATGCTGAACTGAATTTTGTGCAATGGCGATAGTAGCCTTGCTGTCACAAAAGAGATTCATTGTGGATGTAGGTTTATACCCAAGTTCAATAAGCAACTTTCTTAACCAAAAAAGTTCACAAATCCCTTTAGTCATGCTTCTGAACTCGGCTTCTGCACTGGATAGAGCTACTATATTCTGTTTCTTACTCCTCCATGTCACCAAATTACCTCCCACGAATGTGAAGTAACCTGATGTGGATTTTCTATCTGTTACATTACCTACCCAATCTGCATCTGAATAACCATCAATATTTAGATGACCACGCTTTGAGAACATAAGTTCTTTTCCAGGTGTAGACTTCAAATATCTAAGTATCCGAAGAATTGCATTCATGTGGTCTTCACTTGGAGAGTGCATAAATTGACTGACAACGCTCACCGCATAAGCAATGTCTGGTCGAGTATGTGACAAATAGATCAATCTTCCCACTAACCTTTGGTATCTTTCTTTGTTAGTTGGAACTTGATCCGGATATTCTCAAAGATGATGATTCTGAATAATAAGAGTGTCCGCAGGTTTGCAATCTAGCATTCCTGTGTCTGTCAACAAGTCCAAGACATATTTCCTTTGAGAGAGAAATATGTCTTGCTGCGATCGAGCCACCTCAATTCCCAAGAAATACTTGAGTCCACCTAGATCCTTCATCTTAAACTCCGTAGCCAAATTTCCTGTTTATCATTCCCAGTAATAATCATATCATCAATATAGATTTTTTTGGACCAAATCATATCATTCCCAGTAATAATGTTGTTACCTTCCCTTTCCGATGTTTCAAGAACAGAGTATAATCTGAGTTGGACTGTTTGAAATCATTGTTCTTCATTGCCTTGGTGAACCGTCCAAACCATGCACGTGGTGACTGTTTCAATTCATACAATGCTTTTCATAACCTGCAAACTGTTCCAATCTGAGTAGTATTTGTCCATGTACACCTCCTCCGTGAGTTTTCCATGTAGAAAAGCATTCTTTACATCAAATTGGTGTAGTGACCAATCCAAATTAGCTGCAAGGGACAATAAGACTCTGACGGTTTTTAACTTTGCAACTGGAGCAAATGTTTCTTCATAGTCTATAAAATTGGTCTATGTGTACCCTTTTGCCACAAGTCTTGTCTTGTATCGCTCGATAGATCCATATGCATTGTGTTTTATAGTAAACACTCATCTACATCCGATAATCTTTTTCCTTGTGGTATAGTCTCCAATGTCCAAGTTTGATTTTTCTCAAGAGCTTTCATATACTCTTTTATAGCTTAGACCCACTTAGAATCTTTCAATGCTTCAGAGATCTTGGTTGGAATATGGATAGCAGACAACTAGTGCACAAAAGCCTTGAGTGGTTCTGACAGCTTCTCAGTGGATACATGATTTGCAAGTGGATACTTGGATGTCTTGCCAATATCAGGTGAATAATGGTTTGGTGGCTTCTCACGATTTTGCCTGAAAGGTTATTGATATCCAATAGTTTTATCCTCTAAATGCATAAGTCTAGTATGAGTAATTACCTCAAGGATATTCTCAGGAGATTGGTATGTTGGTACTGTTGAGTTAGAAGGGGGGTCTTTACCTTGTTGTTTTGTATTGTCTGTAGGTGTGAGACTCGGATCAGAAATATCTTCACATGGATCAGGTGGGTCAGGCAATTGATCGTTATGAATAGGCGATTGATTGCTTTTCGCCAGAGAGTAATCTCGAGCTCCAGACTCGGGACGATCGATCATTTTCGTACATAGGAGAATTTCTTCGTTTTCCAAGTTGCTCCAATTCTGCTCTTCACTTCGTATCTCCATCTGAAGCGTAGAATTGGATAATGGGTCATGTAAGAACAGCTCAGATTCCAGAAAGGTCACATCCAAAGTGACATAGGTACGTCGGGTATGAGGGTTATAACAGTGGTAGCCTTTTTGATGAGTGGCATAACCCACAAAAACACAACGAAGCGCACATGGATCAAGTTTGCTACGTTGATTTTTGTAGAGATGAACGAAAGCCATACATCCAGAGATTCAGGGCGTGAGTACCAAAACAGAGGGTAGAGGTCTGTATTGCACAAGCATCTGTAAGGGAGTTTTAAAGGTCAATACACCAAAAGGCATGCGGTTGATCAAGTGAACTGCGGTGACAATAGCATAATCCCAGTGATGGTGAGGAACATGAGCGCCAATCAGAAGTGCTCGGGCGGTTTCAAGAAGATGTCGATTCTTTCGTTCAACAACACCATTTTGTTGTGATGTCTGAAGACAAGTCGTCTCATGGATAATTCCATGTTGTTGGAAGTAAGTCTGAAAGTCATGATTGACAAATTCTCCACCATTGTCTGAGCGAAGAATATGGATTTGAGCGTTAAACTAAGTTTTCATATGTTTGTGAAAGGACTAAAAACGAGAAAACACTTCATTTTTATTCTTTATCAAATAAAACCATGTCATTCGTGTACAATAATCTATGAATGTGACAAACCATCGAACACTAGAAGGAGCAGTGATAAGGGAAGGTCCCCAGACATCATAGTGAATTAACGTAAATGGAGTAGTACACTTGTTCGTACTCAACGGGTAGGGCACACGGTGACTCTTGGCCAAAATACAAGTATCACATGTGAAGTAAGAGTCCTTGAAACCTGAGAATAAATCTGGTATAAGATGCTTCATATAACTAAAAGACGGATGTCTCAATCGATGGTGCCACAACCATATTTGCTTTTGTTTGCTATCAAAGGGATGCGTCACGCTGGGATTGAAGTCATCGACATAATATAGCCCCCATTTCTTAGTACCACGACCAAGAATCTCCATAGTGTGAATATCCTGAAGCAAACAAAAACGCGAGTAAATGAGTACACAACAATTCAATTGTTCAGTAAGCTGACTAACTGACAACAATTTAATGGATAAAGATGGAACAAGTAAAGTATTAGACAGTGTGAGAGAGGATGAGAGTGCAACAGTGCCAGCCCCCGTCACAGGATAAGTAACGCCATTGACATTTGCAATACAGGTTCGTCGAGGTTGTGTAGTATTCAAAAAATCATCAGGATCAAACATCATATGATCAGTTGCACTGGAATCAATTATCCAGCTCTTGGAATCAATCTTATCCGAAGTATGGAATCCATAACCAGTACCATTACTGGTCGTATTGCATTATCTTCGATCTTTAAGAGTAGCCCACCAACCGGGGTAGCCATGCAATTTAAAACAAGTCTCACGAATGTGTCTCAGATCACCACAATATGTGCAATCTGGTCCATATGTTGGGGTCGTTAGTCGAGAAGTCATAATCTGTGCAGCAGAAGATGCATATGATACAAGTTGAGTAGGAATTCGAATCGGGATCTGAGCCTAAGTCGGGGCCAGAGTCGGAGTCGGGGTCTGAATCAGAGACAAATTCGGGGTCTGGCTCATCATCGGAGTGGGGGTCGAGGTCGTCTTCGGAGTCGAGGTTGGGGTCGTCATCATAGTTGGGGTCGAGTTCGGGGTCGTCAAAATAGGATCCTGATTCCGGATCGGGTACGGGGTCATCAAAATAGGATCTTAATTCAGGATCAAATTCGGGGCCAAAGTCTGCATATGTAGGAGCTGAGCCATCTGGACACTCAACTCAGCTATGGTTGGTTGAGAAGAAGAGAAGGAGTCGGTGGTGCTATCTCCATGAGGGTTGAAAAAATCATCAACCAACATAACGGCGGTGGGGGTTTGAAATTAGAGTCAACAATTCCAAGATCGCCGCTTTGATACCATGCTAAAATATGAAAATTATGAGAGAATATTTGTTTGTGGGAATTTTCTGTATATTCTTCTCCTTGTATGAGGTCATATTTATAATACAACGAAACCTGAATGGGCAAGTAAATAATAAATTCCTAAATCTATTTAGAGTAGGAAATCAGGAATTAAAGTAAATCAATTACAATTATAATAGGAATTATTGGTGTGTAAGGAAAGTAAGTCAATATCCACAAGTCACGCCAACATGCTCTCTATCACTGCCACACATTCTCTCCATCTAGCCAAGGCAAAATATTCTGTAAGAAATTTTGATTTTTATAATTATTTTATATAAAATTCAATTTCAAAATTTCATTAACGTGTTCGACTCATCTTTTTCTTCAGCCCCTTCACTTCACACCATTGAAGCAACCTAGATCCAAAAGAACAGGCCAAGACCACCTAAGAATCCAATGAAACTATTGTTTGTGCAAATATTCTCACAAAAGAATATCCACTTGTGGATTCGTCAACCTTTGATCTTCCTTCTCTCTCTTCCTCAGTTCTTGTAAAAACGACCGGAGTAAATAGACCACGCCCGGAGGTGTTGGCCAGAGGCATTCCGATGCCTATGTTAGTTCAATTGAATTTAGACGAAACAATAGCTATAAAAAAAAAGGTACGGAAATTACTCTATGGTGAGAACCGGATGGCCGGAACTGTGTGTGATGACCGAAGCCTTGTGGAGAGACAAGTATGGAGAGGCTGGCGGTTAGGGATGTCGTCGACTAGGGAAAGAAAGAGTGGAGCTTCAGGTATTTTTCTCGGGTTCTTTACAAGTACCTTGAATGTTTGGTGTAGCCGTGTATTTATAGGCTCTTTAGGTGCTAGGGTTTTGCAAAGAATAAACTCTATTTGGGAGGAGTTAGTTCTTTCTCCAAAGTATAGAGATTGAGCCCATTAGGGTTTTGATTGGGATCAAATCTCCTAATTTGATGATGATGATATCTCCTAATTAGGATAATATCTTAATTGGTGATATTATCTTTTTTAAATAATGAGAATATCCCATATTTAAGATAATATCCCTATTTTTAGTATCAATTTTATTGATCTAGGAGGTATTCTTGTCTACGTGGAGTCTCATGATTAAAAGCCAAATTATTTGCTCCCATAACTAATATTTTTGTTTTTGTTTCATTTATTGCTGAACATAATATATCGAGGGTCACCCTTGTAGGGCCCACTCCGCATTGTATTTAACTAATTCAAACTATCTATTTTTTAGATAATCATTCAAAGATCGTATCTACAAAAAATCACTTGAATCTGATATCATTTGACCATTCAAATTATTGAAATTTTAATACTTTCTTGAAGCACCATGTTCATTGATTTTATAGGACACAATTGGATGTCGAAATGGTTTCTGATTTCTCTAATTTTTTGCAAGGACAGTCTATGAATGTAGACTTAAATAAGCAAAGCATGCCATCTCCTAAAATCCTTTGTGCCATATCAAATACAAAATGCTTCTCTACATGTCTTTAATAGATGAATGTATCCATCTTTGATAGGCTCTTTAGTACCTGCGCAAACAGGGTTAAAACTCCTACAAAACTTGCAAGAATGACAAGGTTATTGTAGTATAAATGATTCTCGCAAGGTCGTTCTCCGCAGGGATTATTAAATAACTCGTAGCAACCAAATTCTAATTAATTATTGCAAAAGAGAAAGTTGAAATGTTTGATTTGAAGACCTTAAATTAAAAGGAATTTAACTAATAAAAATAAGGCAATATGCAAAATTAAAGCTAAGAGCAAGAGAAACAGTTGTGTTTTTAGAAATCAAATTAAGAAAGCACTAGGGATCCGCCGTCACCTTAACAATTCTATATAGTTCCCCCAATTACTTATGACCTATACATGCATATTTCGAAGGTTAGGTATTCCTAATATATGCCTACTTGGACCCCCAACATAGAGCGTATATCACACATGCAATCCGTCTGTGGTATTCAGATCAAATCTAAACATACATGACTCATTAAGTTCTGTGAAACCTTTTGAAAAACCATGCAACCCTTAAGACGTGGTATTCATCCTAAGTGAACTTGCACATATTAATCACAAGAAGCCTTCGTCAATTTCAGGGACCGACCTCTGACCAAAACTGCATCAAATTACTTTTCTAAACATCATAATGGCGATCAAGCATCAAGACACTTAGATAGTTTAACCCAGTGATGAATAATTCGAAAACCTACATGCATATAATCATAAGCAAATTGGACAGAAACTACATATTCTTGCTAAGGCTCGTGGCCTCACCCTAGCAAAAGAGAGTTAGTTACGCATGTTCACAATTGAAATCCAAGAAAATATCATTAAGAAGAATAAGAATGAAAACACCTAAAAGTCGCGAAAATCCAAAACCCTAGCAATTGCTCCAAAAGCCAAAAACAAGTAAAAAAATGGAGTCTCTAAATTGCTGTGAAAAGGAGCTTAAATACCTCCTAAAACCTAGCTACCCAATCCCCACAAGGAAACTAAGTTAAAATAAGATAATACTAGGATATAAAATCCAAATTGGATTAGGAGAATCTGCCCAAATTTGCCCAGCCACGTTTTGGTCTCAAATCTCCTCCAAATCTGGCCCAAGATAGCTCGTTTTAAAGATAAAAATATTCCGAACACTTCTCCAGAAGGCCACGAACCCATCTGAGGTCATCTTGGGCTCCAAAACACAATAAAAGCCCAAGTCGTCACTATTCCAGCAACGCGCACTGCTCCTTTTATTTATCGCCAGAAAATAACCGCTTGGTAGAAAAGTCTTAAATTTTGATACGATCAAGCCAAGTGACTCACGAACCTCCATTAGTCCATTTGATTATGTTTTGCTCCAGAGGGAGTCGAAAGTCCTATATTGGAAATATAATTCAAAGTATCAAAATTCTTCCAAAATATTAACCAAGATATATTAAGAATGGGGTTAAATATATAATATAAAATCGACTCATCAATCTTCATATAAAATACTATTATAATTAAATAGTATAGCCGCGTGGGTATACTGAAGATTTGTTTAATAAATACTATAACCTTGCAGTTATACTCTAATTCAGTTTTTTAAAATTTTGTTAATATTGTATAGCCACGCGGCTATACTTCATTTTTTTTAAATTTTCTAATAAATAGTATAGCCGCAGGGCTATGTGTAGGTTTTTTTTTAATAACTTTTTTTAATAAATAATATAGTCGTGCCTCTGTACTAAAGATTTTAAAATTTTTTTTAATAAATAATAAAGCCGCGCGACTATACTTCTTTAAATATTTTTCTAATAAATAGTATAGCCGTGTAGCGATACTTGTGTTTTTTAAAACTTTTTTTTAATAAATAGTATAGCCAGGTGGCTATACTATTGGGTTCTTTATTTTGTTTTAAATTTTATTTCCTTGAATTTCATTTATCGATAAGAGTAGTTTAGAAAATACAAGTTTTTTTAAAAGTAAACGTACAATACATGTATATATGTATGTTTCATATCTAATACATGTTTTTTTAATACAAAATTCTAAATTTCAAACAAAGATTTATGGGTATAGTAGTAAGAGAGAAGGTTATCTTCATGTAAAGTGTTGTTTGAAAAGTGAAGCATAAGCAAAAGCATGTCCTGTCTTCAAATCCTATGTCGTATCAAATACAAATGCTTCTCTACATGCATTTAACAGATGAATGCATCCCTACAAATAAAATACTATTATAATTAAATCGTATAGCTGCGTTGCTATACTAAAGATTTTTCAAAAAAATTTAGTAAATAGTATAGCCGACCGGCTATACTCTACTTCAAATATTTATTTATTTATTAATAAATAGTATAGCCACGCGACTATACTCTAATTTTTTTTCTAAATTTTTCTAATAAATAGTATAGCTGCTCGGGCTATACTTGGGTTTTTAAAAAACTTTTTTTTATTGATTACGTTATCATATCTTATGTGAATTTGTGAAAAAACGACCAGTCATTGATGTGGACCCTTACGTAAAAACCCCGCACCAATGCCTTGGATTATTTCCCATTCACCTAAGCATGAATTATTGTTGTAGTTATTCGTTTACTATTTTATGTTGACTTGGAAATCTGCCTATTTTGAATGGTCCATTCGATCGATCGAGGGCATCCGATCGGACAATGTATTATGTACATGAGGATTGCTTCCAACTTTTCATATAGAGGATCTGGATTGAGAAATTTCTGTTTATGATGTTACAGATGTGTTATATATAATATGATCAATGAGTGATAAATTTATAATTTTAAATATAATGTTAATAAATATACACATGTTATAATCTAAATGGATTAGTTACATAAATGAGATTGTTTGCCTCTTGAGTAGCCGCTCCCAACACTTGAAACTGATGACATATTTTTTGATAACCGAAAGCTATATATTATATAGTTCTTGACAAAAAAAAGAAGAAGAAAAGAAGCTCTAAATGGATTGATCGATGATACTACGTAACAATATAATTTCGTTGAATTATACAATAGGTGAATTATTGTAGTTATCAAAACATTATTTGAGTCAGTCATCCCTTGTAGTATATGTAACATGTTGACTTACAAATTTGGCAACGAAATCTACTTTCAATTAGCATATCATGAGGATATTGTTTCCATGTATATACATATGTGCATGCATAGTCTTAAACTCGATTGATTATATATGTGCGTGTATATAAGCAGAGACATTACATTTACAAGCAACTCCACACATACAGAATTACAGATCAAACAATGGCATCCCCACAGGCTCCCCATGTTGTCATCTTCCCTTTCATGGCTCAAGGCCACACTCTTCCATTACTAGACCTCTCCAAAGCTCTTTCCCACCGCAACATCAAAGTCACCATCATCACAACTCCAGCCAACGCAAAATCAATTGGCAAAGACACAGAAAACCACCCGAACATCGGACTCGTTGAGATCCCATTTCCCATCATTCATGGCTTGCCTCAAGGCACAGAAAACACCTCCCAACTTCCATCCATGGAGTTCTTATTCCCATTCCTCATGGCCACCAAACAGCTCCAAAAACCCTTTGAACAAGTCCTCCAAGGCATGAGCGTGTCCAAATCACTTCCCATCTGTGTCATTTCAGATTTCTTCTTGGGCTGGACTCTGTCTTCATGCCAAGCTTTTGGGGTGCCTAGATTGGTTTTTCATGGCATGTGTGTCTTGTCAATGGCCATATGCAAATCTGTGTGTGTGCACATGCCACACACAAAAGCAAAGTCAGTTTTGGACCCAATAGACTTGCCAGGCCTCGAGCTTCCCTTTCATCTGAGTGTTTCTGAATTACCAGCTCAGCTCATTCAAGCAACTGATCAAAACGACCCGTTTTTCCAGTTCATGTCTGATGTGGGGCAAGCTGACTGTAACAGCTGGGGGGTTGTGGTGAACAGCTTTGAGGAGATAGAAAGCGGCACCGTTTCATCATTTGAAACTTTCTATGAAAATGGAGCTAGGGCTTGGTGCTTGGGGCCTCTTTTCTTGTATGACAAAGTTGAAGGGATCAACAAACCCATCAGCCAGAACCAACCCAACAAGTTGATCCAATTTCTCAATGATCAAGTCACTCTGGGCTCTGTGCTCTACGTCTCATTTGGAACACAAGCAGACTTGTCAGATGCTCAACTTGATCAAGTGGGTTTGGGCTTGGAGGAGGCTTTGGTTCCATTTCTATTGGTGGTGCGGTCAACCACTTGGTCTCCACCTAATGGACTAGAAGAGAGGTTAGAAGGTAAGCTTTATTTATTTATTTATTATTAAGACAAAAAAATTAAGTTAAGCTAATTATTTTTATAATTTATCTCAGTATCAATATTTTCTCGATATTGTTATCGGACTCTCAAATTAACGTCGATATTGAATACTTTGAAGGTAAAGGATTGATCGTAAGGGAATGGGTGAACCAACATCGAATACTATCACACCGAGCGATCGGAGGGTTTTTTAGTCATTGCGGGTGGAACTCGGTGATTGAAAGTATATCTGCAGGTGTGCCCATTTTGGCTTGGCCTATGATTGCCGAACAGTCTTTGAATGCCAAGCTTGTTGCTGAAGGGCTTGGGGCTGGACTTGGGATTAGAAAGTCTCATGATGATTTGGGTTCAGGGATTGAGGTATCAAGGCAGGCAATTTGTGAAGGTGTGAGAGAGTTGATGGAAGGAGAGAGAGGAAAGGATGCAAGGGAGAGAGCACAAGCCTTGGGAAGAGTTGCTTGGCGTGCAGTTCAAGAAGGTGGCTCATCCCATCAAGCCCTAAACAAGCTTATTGACCAACTTTGTGCATTTTCTGGACATTAGGTGACCAAATACCCAAATATGAGTATTATTACTTGAATTTGAAGTATAGATTCTTGATCAAACTTATGTTGTCATACAAATTATTTTACTTTTGGAACCCCAAGTTCTAGTGAAAATGAACTTGATCAATGATTTAATGGCATGTTTACTAGTCTTTAATCACTACTAGAAAAACTGCCATTAACTAATGATCATTTAGATACAAATTCACATTAGTGTGTTATGAATATTTTCTGGAAACTAATAACACCACAGTGCTTGTTGAAGAGCGGTGGTACAGACATTGGTGTCCAATACGTTTTTCTGGTTAATATACTTATGCTTAATATACTTTTACTCAAAGTGAGTCTCTTATCAGTCCCAAAATGGAGAAAGCCAACTGCCACCAGTCGGCTCCATCTAGATAGGCCATTGTTCTGCACTTTCTTTTCCTCTGTGTGTGCTCCTCTCACATGTTTTCTTCAAGTCTTTTTTCCTCCTCTCTCATATTCTCACCACCTTCTCACGTTCTCACAACTTCAATTAAGATGTTGGTGGGTTGGTTTCTGATTCAGCCACTTTGGTTCTTGTCTTGTGTATTGGGAGATGAGGTGATCTTTTCTCCATATATCCAGTTTACTGCTCTTTATCTCACCCTCGATCTGCCATTCGACATCACTGCCATACTCTCTCTCCATCGAGCCAAGGCAAAATATTTTGTAATAAATTTTGATTTTTATAATTATTTTGTATAAAATTAGATTTCAAAATTTTGTTGTTTTAACGTATTCTGTTCATGTTTTTCTTTAGCCCCTTCACATCACACCATTGGAACAACCCTAGATCCAAAAGAAGAACACGCCAAGACCACCTAAGAATCCAATGAAGCTATTTATTTGTTTTTGTTTCATCTATTGTTGAACATAATATATATATATAAGTAAGGGTAATATGTTGAATTGCCCCCTGAACTTTTACATAACTCTCAATTTACTCCATAATTTTATTTTATTTTCAGTGAATTAAGGGTTAGATTTAAATTTTATTATCAATGTTCCCCCACCGTCAAAATTCGAACATTTCATCCATTAATCCGTACCATTTGACTCATGTTGACTCTCTTTTCACTTAACACACACTTCTCACATCACGCTCAATTTGTTAGGGTTTGAAAGAGATGGAATTGAGGGCAGGAAAAGGGACAAAATCGAGGGAATCTAAAAGTTTTTTCATAAAGCTTCTTTTGGCTATGTTGATTCGACACAACATAAGGTTTGAACCCAAGACAACTTAGAAGCACGCCAAAGACTTGGGTCAATGCAACTAACACCCCATTGGTATAAGTTTCTTATCCTTTTTTTTAATCAAAGTTTCTTATCCTTTATTCTCTTGATATTAAACTGTGGTTTCTTTGCATTTTAGTTCATCCAAAATATTTTTCAGATTGTGAATGTTTTCATCATTTGAGGCGCATGCCTTTATATTTATAAATTATACTCAATTACAATAAATAAAAAATAAGAAATCAAGTAAATATCATAGTGGTTTGACCCCAATAAAAAATATAAAAAATCAACCATGTGGTTTGAGGCTAAATTATCAAAGAAATCACCTAGACACAATGTCTAGAAACAAACACTAAATAATTCAAGAGAAAAATACATTATTATACCAAATAGCATTAATGTGATTTTGATCCCAAATGGCAGAATCATCTCATCCCCACCACCAAGCCTATATGATGATCTTGTTGGTTCATCATGTCCATGAAACATGGTTGCCTCTACTTAGTCTTCATATTGTTCATCTCAAAAGCCTGCCTCTTTATTCCATGATTTGTTGTTGCAAGCACTAGTAGTCCTGTTGATTCTACTTGGACTTGTTCGTCTCAAAAGCCTGCCTCACTATTCCATGATGTGTTTTTTTTATTTAGGCTCCTAATCAAACTATCATCACCAAAAAAAAAGAAAAAAAAAGAAAGGTTTTTTTTTAATTTTAATTTTCTTATAAACTTTTAATTTTAATTTTAATTTTTAATAAAATTGGAGGAGAAACTCGAACTTGTGAGCTCTTTCAATTATACAATTGTTAATGATACAATCGTTGAATTACCCCAACAAGACACGATGGAAAAAGTTTGAAACATATCTCTTACATTTAATCTCCTATTACGTGACGATCACATGATAAAGTATAGGAATTAAAATGAGGAGAATATTTAAACTTTCGAGTAAGAAAGTGTAAGCACATTTTTTAATGTAGAAGCATTGATTTTCATAAGGCTCGTATTTATATCATAATTAAAAGGGTAAACTGCCAAATACCCCCCTTGAACTATATCGATTGTCGAACTTAGCACCTTAAATTATTTTTTCAGCTAATTTAGCCCTTAGACTATTTTAAATGGTCAACTTAGCCCCTGCCGTCAAATTTGTACACTTCCATCCAATTTTCCCTTAATTATATGGGTAAGTGTGTCATTTTACAAGGTACAGTACCAAAAAGAAATTGTAAAAAATAATTTCAAAATAGAAAGAATAAAAGAAAACCAACAAATCCACACCCGAACACCAACTCCCCTATCTTCCAACAGAAGCCACCGTCTCCCCTTTCACACGAGGAACCCTTCAATTTTTGCATTCTCATTTGCCATTTGGAAATTTCACAGCTTGCTTCAAGGGAAATTAAGGTGAATATTGTTTGGGTGCTTATGCTTGAGCTCCATACGAGCTCTCATTGGTTGGTGTCTTTGCAGGTTTTGTGTTACATGTGATTTGGTTCAATATTTTGGCAGCTTTGGGGAAGAAAACTTATGGGTTTTCTTCAATTTTTTAAGTTGTATTTAGAGTTCAACTTCTCGTCATAAAAACTTTCGTGGGTATGTGAATATTTTCTTATATATGGTGGAAATTGGGATATAATAAGGATTTTCTTAAGGAAAATTGAATTGGGTTGGTGCCAAATCGTGAAAGTTAGAAGCTTTTGTGTGGTTTTGCATGATGAAGCTTGTTGGGAGCATTGTTGGCGCAACCGCGGAGGCATGTTGGACTGGCTTTTGCCGTGCGAGGCTGTGAAAAAGGTCATGGCTGAGGCACTTGGGAAGGTGGCCTTGGTGGAAAGAGATTTGACGGCGACGTATAAAGCTTCGTGTTTGAATGCTTTGGAAAGTTGGAGATTTTATAAGATATATTGTCTTCCCCCCTCCCCAATCGGTTGTTTGGTTGCTGAGAAAGGGTAGGTGAAGAGCAAAATATATTGTGACTTCAAACATATCGGTAATTGTCTTTTTATGCCTTGGTGATTCACATCCTATTTGAGGGATGAGAATTTGGTTGAGGAGGAGAATGGGAAAGGCGGTGGTGGATTTGCTTTTTTATTTATTTAAAAATTGCTTATGTGCTTTGAAAATAATTAGCTGTAAAGTAAAGCAGCTCCATGTTTGGTAAACAATATTTTTAAAGTGCTGTTAGTATAAAAAGTAGTGTCAAAACTGTTTGGTAAGTTTTAATATAAAATTGTTGTAACTGTGCATAATGACTAAAATAGACATGATGTTAAAGTCTTATGTACTAATCATGTGGTAGTAGTGGTAGTGATGGAGTGGAGGTTGTGGTGGTGATGAAGGTGGAGTTGGTGGTTGTGGTAGTGGTGGTGGTAAGGATGTTGATTGTGGAGGTGGTGATAGTGACAACATTGTGGTGGTGGTGGCAGCATGGTGGTGGATGTGGTGGTGGTGGTGGTGGTGGTTGTGGTGGTAGTGGTGGAGGCGAAGGTGGAGTTGGTGGTAGTGGTGGTAGTAGTAATGGTGGTGGTGGTGGTGGTGGTGAAGGTGGAGTTGGTGGTAGTGGATGAGGTGGCGGTGGCGATAATGGTGGTTGTGGAGGTAGTGAATGTGGTGGTGTAAATGGTGGAGTTGGATGTGGAAGTGGAGGTGGTGTTATTTTTTTAAATGAATTATGGTATTTTGGGAATTAAAAAAATTCATTAAAAGTTCATCTCTGTTTATTTTGAAAGCAGCTTTGAAAAACAACCTATAGTATGCTTTTAAAAGCTGCTGTCAAAAGGCTACTGCTTTTAAAATAATCGGGATATTTTATTTTTACCAAACACCTTAAACTTTAAACTGCTTAACTGTGAAGCAGGTTTTTGGCGAAAAAAAGTAATTCCAAACGGGGCCTAAAACATTTATAAAAAAATTATTTTTTATTACTATTTGTTGATACACATGTCATTCACGTGACATTTTTGACATATTTAGATGAAATTGGCTAAAAACTAAGGTATGGGCTAAATTGACCATTTAAAATAGTCTAAAGGCTAAATTGGCTAAAAAAATAATTCAGAATGCTAAATTCGGCAATCTGTATAATTCATGGTGGTATTCGGCAGTTTACTCTAATTAAAAACACATCATCATAAAAGTATGAGGGGCTATGTAGTAAAACCAAATTCTGAGGGGCTAATTCGAGATTTTAAAATTTAGAGGGGTACGGCGATGAATTACTCTTTTATATAAAGTCCAAAACCTCAGCGACTTGCTCCCAAACAAAGTCGAACCGAGTAAAGGAGCTGCTAGGGTTTCTCTATCTACTCGGCATTTAGGTTCAGATCTCACTCTTCCTCTCTGCCCTCCCTCGTATTCAATCTGATTATCGGTGCTCCAAATTTCTATATTTCATTCTTAATCATTGTTAATTTTTGATTAAAAAGATGATGAGTGAAAAATTTGCTCTTTTTATCTACCTGTTTTGAATGCTTTGTGGCTTGTGATTTGCAGCTTCGATCAAAGAATGTCTCGTGTGTACGTCGGAAATTTGAGCCCTCGAGTTTCCGAGGCAGATCTCGAAGATGAGTTTCGCGTTTTCGGAGTTATAAGAAGGTACTTAGCTATTAAGTTGCTAACAATTTCTTATTTTTGTTTTAATTTTACAGTAATTTACAAACTTTTAAGTATTGTTCTTATTATTTGGGATCGTTGTTAATTTTTTTTTTCTTTTTTCATGTTTACTTTTGGGCAGTGTATGGGTGGCTCGGAGACCACCAGGCTATGCTTTTGTTGACTTTGATGACAGTAGAGACGCAGAGGATGCAATCCGTGAAATAGATGGTATGTTTAAAATTGGGCTGTTTATTGTTTTCAAATGGGGTTTCTCAGCTAGCTTATTTCATTGAATTCCACTCGTAAGGAGGAGAATTAGTCCCTTCACAGCTTTTTGTTTGTGAAGCAGTATAATTGAGCTGAACAATGCATGATTGGTTTATCTTGTGGGGTGCATCTAGCCAAATCTACCATCATTTTATTGATGGGAAGGTCTTTACTTCAGTTTTTGGTGAACTGTGTAATGAAAGGACACGGTCTCTTGCCCTCCATGAAATTATGTTTTCAACTCTTCTATCGTGGTTGCATAAGTGGTTTTATTTTAACTTGTATTTAGAGTACCCTGCTCAGCAGGTAGTTTATATTATATTGCTTACTGACTCTGCCCCCATCTCTCTCTGCACCGTTTTTCAGTGTTGTGAAATTATGAAAGCTCCATAATGTGTTAATTTTTTGTTTCTTCTTTTCATTTTGTTTTGGAACAGGTAAGAACGGATGGAGAGTTGAGCTTTCACACAACTCTAGAGGAGGAGGTGGTGGTGGTCGTGGAGGGGGTCGTGGCCGTTCTGGCGGTTCTGATTTGAAGTGCTATGAGTGTGGTGAGCCTGGTCATTTTGCTCGTGAATGTCGTCTGCGGGGTGGTTCTGGAAGACGTCGTAGCCGCAGTCCCCCTCGATACCGTAGAAGCCCTAGTTATGGTCGCAGGTGATGTCCTATTTTCAGATATTCTTTTTTTACATCCCATTTTAGTTTCCTCTAACCAGTGTTCTGTGTAGTTAGTTATTGAACAAGTAGTGTTCGAATGGATTTGGTATCGAAAGTTCGCCTTGCTGGATCCAAGTTCACAAACATATCTTATATTATTTTTATCTAGGTTGAGCTGGTATTCTCCTATCTAATGCCTTTTGACTCTTTTTACTGTTAAGCAGGAGCTACAGTCCTCGTGGGCGGTCCCCTAGACGTCGCAGTTTGACACCACGTGGGAACAGCCGTAGCAGGTCCCCACCATACCGTGGACGGGAGGAGTTGCCGTATGCCAATGGGTGAGGTTCCTTTCACTACATTTTAGCAATTACTGCTGCGAAACCCTTGTTCTACAGCATGGAAGTTATTGTGATGGAAGGATGACTTTCCATTTGATAATGTCATGATGGGATATATCCTATGCATGTACATTATTTACTGTTCGGATCTGTTAATGGTAGAACATGTGAGTAGTTGTGTAATGTATAATTGATGTTGCTGATTTGTTGTACTGACGTATGCTGCTATATTTTTGCAGTAATGGTCTGAAGGATCGTCGCCGAAGCAGGAGTTGAGGAGTGCATAAATGGCTGTCTGGCTTTGTTTAGAGGATGTACTGGCATTAAGTCTTGTTATGTGTGCTTGGACTTCAGCACAACTGTGTTTAAATTGGGGGACGCCCTCAGCCTCTACTCTCTCTGATTTGGTTAAGTTCCTTCCTTTCTTAACTTTAGCTGGTTTTATTTTCTATGCAAAATAGGTGTAGGCTTGAGGATATTATTATTAAAGGTAAAAGTGATAAACATCATATCTTTGTTTAAGAGTGTTTCTGAGAATGGTGCTAAAGATCTATGCTTTTTCTTTCTTGTGTTGAGGTGTCGTCTGGTTCTGCTTCATTGGTTTTGTTCTTCTGCACTCCCTTGGCCCCTGGGATTTGTGCTCCGCTTCTGGGATCTTCAATTTTGAATGGTTGTGGGTCCCAGCCGGCTATCTGTATAGAGCTTCAATTTTGTGCTTCTGTACTCTCCCCTGGGATTTCTTCACTGCCCTGCTATGGGGTCTGCAATTTTGAATGGTTGTGGGTCCCAGCCTGCTATCTGCAGAGCTGCTTCTAATTTCATTGAACTTCGTCGGTAGCGATGCGCCTCCCTCAAACGACTATAGTGGCATTTGTTTAATTTTAACTTAGAAGAATTGAGGAGGAGCTTTGCGTGCGTCAAATATTTCTGCAGGTACTCACATCTGTTCTACAGAAGTTGGGTTGTAGAGTTTATTTAGATTTGGCTTATAATGGAACTCTAATATATACAGGAGGCCACTTTTAATAGATCTTGCCGGTGGGAATCGTTTCTTAGTCCCCATTATCCCATACCCTTTTGCCTTGGTCGTCAAGTGGATCAAAAATTACAGATAGCAATGAAATTTAACCCCTTCTTTTCTGAGGGAATTGCCTGTGAAATATATGCCTGCAAATCCGGATATTCAGAAAATAATTGAAAATAAACGTTTTCGGCCTCGCTTTTGATCCGGGTTGAGATGGCTGTTTTGTTCCGACCCAAGATAGAATGACACTGAGAACTTTGTTTTAGAAGTTTAGGACCATTTATAACTGTGGTTTGGTTTGAGTATGAGAATTCATTTTCCAGCTTCTTAAAGCATGAGAAATCGCATTTTGAAATGATATTTTTTAAAATATTTGTTCATCGTTTTACCTAAAAACATAAACTTGGCTTTAACCAGAGGAGTCGGACAACAATATAGCGACCTGTTTTCCCATCATGAATATTTTTTTAATAATTCAAGTAAACTGTGGAAAATGACCTATTTACCCATTGAATTCGAGGTAGCCAGCATTAAAAAAAAAATTTACAAAGCCAACATCAAAAGCATAAAATTAAAATAAAAAAATTACAAAGAGAATTTGCGTCTTAAAAAATATCTTATGGTTTAGGGTTCAAAAGCATAAATAGAGTGTTAATATCTTATGGATACCGTTGATTTACTAAGAATTATGAGAAGATGTGGTAGAATAATAATGCTATTTGAGAGCCTTTTCCAAGGGCAAGGTCTGCACGTTATTATTTTAATTATTTTTTCTAGATCTGCAAAGAGATAATGACCTTTCTAATTGAATTCGATCCAAAGAAGGACAATCATGAAAAGACAAACTGATTTGTTATTATGCAAATTGGTCCCCACAGGTCAAGTTCGTCCGTCGGTCTTTGTCAAAACCAAATTTCTTCAGCTAATTACCTTAATTGCCATCACTTTCAGTCTCTTTCAGCCATGCCCAATTTCTAAATATACTTTCTAACTTCCAAGTAAATTTTTATTTTTTTTTTTTTTTTTTTTTTTTTTTTTTTTTTTTTTAATTATTATTATTAATATTTATTCATAAATTCTGGCACTTATTAAGATATAAGAAGGAAAATTATGATCGGGATAACGAATCCAAAGCTAACGTCGATTATAACTCCTAACTTTTCAAGAGATAAGTGAGAAAAAACTATCATGTCGAGTTCTGTAGTAAAAATGGACGGATAATCGGTTTGGTTCTCATTCTTCAAAGACCGACTGTAATAAGAGTGGCCTAATTTTAACCTATATTACAGTCCAATATTCCACATCTGAAAAATAGGAGATGCTGAGATGGTATATACGAGTTTTGTAAGGTCAAGTTCGAAGTCTCTACCTATAAACTCGTATCAATTGGTATCACAGCCAAATTCAACGCAGGTGGATGAATGATGGGTAAATCACTCGACTCTCTTGCCCACATTGATACGGCGATTGAACATCACCACACTGTAGAGGCCCCACATTGGTAGGACATGGAGATTTTAACGTAAGAAATATGATAATAAATGTGAATTATATATATATATATATATTTCTGTGAAGTTGACATCAACAGAACAAATATAATTTTGTGTCATATAAGCTGCACAAAAATTCATAACTTTTCCAGGTTTCATCTCACAATCTCTTGATTTGAGGGATATTAATTGGATCGTGCCTCCCTCCCTCCCTCCTCAACCAATTTCTTCCAGTGTATAAATAAAAAAAATAAAAAAATACAAGTCAAAACCAAAGTGTGTGAAGCAAATTATAGCTAGATAGACATGTAGCCTGTTTTTAACTGCTAGTGTAGAATTTAATATCTCCCTCTCTTGTCTTTAATGGGCACACTCCACTTCTTGTTTAATATAAACATTCATGTTCTTCACGTTCTCTACCTCTCTGCGTCTGAGATTCACTGGCTTTCTTAATCTTTCCTTCAACATTACATAAAATAAGATCACCACACATCTTTTTCTTCCCAAAGTTTCAGCCTTGGATCAAGCCTCCTCTCTCCTTCTCTCTCTCTCTCTCTCTCTCTCTCTCTCTCTCTCTCTCAAACTTGTCATTTTAATATTTGTTTTGGTTTTGGAAGATTGGAAAACTTCCCAAAAAATGTGGTGCACTTGAACTGTTGCTGTTCATTTGTGTTGCAACCCATGTAGTGCATCTTTGTATGTATTTAGTCTCTGTGGATGAATAAATGTTACCAAAAGTGCAAGCATGGAGTTGAAGAAAGATAAGCTAGTGAGGTAATTGTGTCTCTCTACTATACAACTCCATCTAATATTTCTTGGTTTCTTCCCACTTTTGCTTAGTTTTCTAATTTAGCTTAAATTTTGTGTTTTTCATGTTCATAGGTTTTATGATAATGAGAAACAAGATGTTCAATTTTCATGGGAAAAAAGTGACACCCAAAAACACTCAAAAGAGCACAAAGTCTCAGCAGCAGCAGCCCCTCCGTTAATTCCTGAAGGCAGCACTGCTGCTGGTGTTAGAGCTAAACCTCACAGATTTGCGAGTTTTAAGGTTTTCCCAGAGAGCCATGAGCCATACAAGAAGAAAATTCTTGATCCAGGAAGTGACATTTTCTTGCAATGGAATAGGATTTTCCTCTTTTCTTGCTTGGTGGCGCTGTTCGTTGATCCGCTCTTTTTCTACCTTCCTTCTGTGCTGAATGATGGTAGCTCATCTTGTGTGGCAACTGACTTGAACTTGGGAATTGTTGTGACTTGTTTCGCACTCTTGCCGATATGTTCTACCTGTTGCACATGTTCATTAAGTTAAGGACAGCTTATGTATCGCCAAGTTCAAGAGTTTTCGGGAGGGGTGAACTTGTTATGGATCCCAAGAAGATAGCAAGAAGGTATTTGAGAACGGATTTCTTCATAGATCTCATAGCTACACTGCCTCTCCCTCAGGTGCATCATCCTTTTTTTTTTTTATGCATATTTTTATCCTGGTCTAGATTGATTCTATGATTTCGTAGCGGATTGAAAAATATTGAGAAGGGCATTGTACCTACATATGAAGAAAATCCAATGTAGTTTTTTGTATTTTGTCCCCATCTATATTAGTTTTCTGTAACAATTGTGGAAATAACAGTGCTTTTATATTCTGTTTTGCAGATTGTGATATGGTTTATTATACCTGCAGTTAGAAGCTCCCATAGTACCAATAATGCCCTTGTACTGATTGTTCTGCTCCAATATGTTCCAAGATTATATCTTATTTTTCCATTAAGTTCTCAGATTATCAAAGCCACTGGTGTAGTCACAAAGACAGCTTGGGCTGGGGCTGCATATAATCTCATCCTCTACATGTTAGCCAGTCATGTATGCAGCTTCTTTTATTTATTATTATTTTTTTAAATTTACGAATTCAATTTAACTGTGATTCAAGACTCAGTAACAAATGCTAGAACAATGTTTGTTCTTGTAGGTCTTGGGGGCATCATGGTATTTGTTGTCCATTGAACGGTACATGACATGCTGGAAGTCAGAATGCAGAAAGGAATTCAGCCCCATGAAATGTTTCCTCGGCTACTTGGATTGTGGTAATTTTAACAACGATGATCGCCGCAGATGGATGAACAGCACTCAAGTGTTTAGCAACTGCAACCCAGAAAACACCATCGATTTCAATTATGGCATTTTTGAGAATGCAGTGACTAAAAATGTGGTCTCCACAGAGTTTCTTCAGAAGTACTTCTATTGTCTTTGGTGGGGCTTACAGAACTTGAGGTACGATCATGAGTAAATGGTTATAATCTGCAATTTGATCATTATTGGTTCTGATATAATCTGTTTTGATATATCTCAGCTCCTATGGGCAGACTTTGACTACAAGCACATTTATTGGGGAAACTTCTTTTGCCATACTCATTGCTATCTTGGGTCTGGTTCTGTTTGCTCACTTAATTGGAAATATGCAGGTAAATTATCAAAATATATTATGTAATTCTTGTAATTGTTTGCCTCAGCAACAAGAAAACCTTTTTTTTTCATTTTCATTGTTAATAAATTCATGTCCATCTTTAATTTAAACATGTTCTACTTTAAGTGCAGACCTATTTGCAATCCATCACTGTGAGACTTGAGGAGTGGAGGCTCAAACGGAGGGACACAGAGGAGTGGATGAAACATCGCCAGCTCCCCCGAGATCTGCAAGAGCGTGTAAGGCGATTCGTGCAGTACAAGTGGGTTGCCACTCGAGGAGTTGATGAAGAATCAATCTTACATGCCTTGCCTACTGATCTTCGTCGTGATATCCAACGCCACCTATGTTTAGATCTTGTTCGACGCGTAAGTGTGTGTCTTCTCTGATCAACAGATTTTGCTGGCATTGAGATTCTGATACAGAAAAGATCATGGCAAACAAATACTAATGAGTAATGCTTCACATTGTGTCATTTGCAGGTCCCCTTTTTCTCACAGATGGATGGTCAGCTTCTCGACGCCATATGCGAGCGTTTAGTATCCTCCTTAAGTACTCAGGGCACCTACATTGTTCGTGAAGGTGATCCCGTTACAGAAATGCTTTTCATCATACGAGGGAAGCTAGAGAGCTCAACAACAAATGGAGGGAGGATAGGTTTCTTCAACTCAATTACTTTGAGACCTGGTGACTTTTGTGGTGAAGAATTGCTTGCTTGGGCATTGCTTCCCAAATCAACCCTCAACTTGCCTTCTTCAACAAGAACAGTTCGATCCCTTGATGAAGTGGAAGCCTTTGCACTGAGAGCAGAGGACCTCAAATTTGTTGCCAACCAATTTAGACGGCTTCATAGCAAGAAGCTGCAGCACACATTCCGTTTCTACTCTTACCATTGGAGAACTTGGGCTGCTTGCTTCATTCAGGTTGCATGGCGCCGGTTCAAGAAGCGACTCCTGGCAAAGAACCTCAGCATGGTAGAGTCATTTTCATATAATTATGACAAGCATGAAGAGGCTGATGAGGCAGAAGAAGAAAAGGAAGACTACCCTAATACCACTAATGCAACTTCAAATACTTTCCAAGTAAGACAAAATCTTGGTGTCACAATTCTGGCTTCAAGGTTTGCTGCAAACACTAGGAGAGGAGCTCAGAAAATCAAGGATGTTCAATTGCCTAAGTTGTTGAAGCCTGAAGAGCCAGACTTCTCAATAGAGCCAGAAGATGACTAGTTTATTAAGATTGCTACATACACATTAATAATAATAATCAAAGCCAATAGTCAATATTATGCACATATTTTTTTTATTAAAATAAAAAAATATATATATCTTCAAAAGGTCTATTTGGAAATTAAAATAGCATGGAATCCAATTATAATTGGATGGATTGTATGGTCATGGAAACTGCAAGTCTCCAACCTCCCAAGATGTTGGCTCAACATTAAAACCTATGTTGTGTTTCTACTTAATTTCTAATGGGTACGTGTCCTCCTCATCTGTAATTCCAAGTGAGTTAGGATTCAATTTGTAATGTTTGTTCCTATTTGTTTATGGTTTTTAGAGTTTTTGTATTGCAAGAATCTCCATTTGGGACTGTGTTCTTCCTGTATATATTATAAGTTTTTGCCTTACTTTCGATGAATCCTACTGTTTTGGAATAAATAAATAAATAAACAATGGGAAATACCTATAAAAATAAGTTGGGTATGGGCCAGACAGACGGTCGTGGACATGAAATTTCACTCTTGTGTTTTCTTCTCAATAATAAAAGTGAATGATAAGAAGAAAAAATAAGTAGAAGAAAATTACTTTTGTTGCAAATGTATGGTACATTAATTTTAGGGATATTCATTGAAATGTCACCTGAACTTATACCTTAGTTTTAATTTGTCACTTGAAAAAATAATTTAAGTGAAATGTCACCTGAATTTTTCAAAATCCATGATTTGTCACCTCACTTTAACATCATCCAACTTTCCAACTATTTTCAAGGGTATTTTAGTCTTTTTATTTTCAAGACTATTTTAAAAATGGAAAAATCATTATAAAAAAATTATGAAAAGACCCTTGAAAATTATAAAAATTATCTATCTTTTCACATTTAATCCCCAGCCATTTTTACATTTAAGCTTTATTTTTTTAATAATAATTTTTTCCAATTTTAAAATATTCTTGAAAATGAAAAGACTAAAATACCCTTGAAAATAGATGGAAAATTAGATGATGTTAAACTCAGGTGACAAATCATGGATTTTGAAAAATTCATGTAACATTTCACTTAAATTATTTTTTCATGTGACAAATTGAAACTAAAGTATAAGTTCAAGTGACATTTCAACAAATATCCCTATGAAAAATGTGATAAGCCTAGCATTACTCTAAAAAAAAACAAATGCAACAAGACAGTACTGGTGAGGCAGGCATATCCCACTTAATTATACAAGGGGACATTAACAGGTGGCTTGTCAAATCAAAGATTTTCTGAGAAATTTATAAGTAAGTGATACTCCATTGCAAAAAATTAATTCACTGGGCCTTACACGAGCAATGGCTGGCCAAGGAAATGAATCAATTCTGTCTCTAATTAGACCTCCCAACCCAACCAAGGACACTATCCAGAACAGCAAAGATCAGATGCATGCCCACCAAAGATCTCTGGCCCCCCAACTCTGTGGCCATAGACTGGAGGCTGGAAAGCTTGAAACTTTATGAACCAAAAACCTCAGCCGCCCAACAAAATACCATAAAATGCAAACTTTGTTTCACCTATTTCGCCTGCCGACACTTCAAATTTGTCTAACAACACGTGTGCATTACGTGTGCATGGACACACACATACACACTCCATTATTTGCAGATTGTGGAGAAAGAAAGAGAGAGGGAGAGTATTTTGTCAAATAGATAAAAGCTGAATATACATAAAGGAATTATTATGTTCAGACAAATTAATTACAAATGATGCTTGCTTTGCATGTCTCACTAGCTACCAAGAAGGAATCTACAAACCAAAAGCATCAGGCAAACTCATCATCCTTAGACTCCAATCTACCTTCTTGGATTCTAAAACAGAATAATCAATGACAACCCAATATTCTGTTCCCACTTATGGTGAATAAGAACAATTCAATACCTGTGGTAAATAAAAATAAAAAATAAAAAATTGAGGAAAGAACATTTGGAAATGTAGTATGGGGAGTGCTTGACAAACAAAGTTCCTATCTTGTACTTCATTCTCACTGTATGTAAATGATTCATGCTATTGAACCAAAGGGTAACTCTGTGCTGCACATTCCCAAGGCAAAGGGGCTGAAATTCCTCAATGTGTATATAGTGTTTGCTTTTTTCTCCTTTTTTTTTTTTTTTTTTTTTTTTTTTTTTTTTTCTCCTCTTGCACCCATTAATCAGCTCATTTGCTCCCCAATGAGATCAAGTCCTACAAGAAGGAAGGTCACACCTTGGAAGAGCAGGAAGTAGAAGTGTACTCCTTGAGCAGATAACAGACTCCTGACAGAAGCTGTGAGCAGGAGGAATGCTAGAGCAAGCTCTTTCCTATATATCTTGTTAGCCTTCTTAATCGGCTTAGGAGCTACTTCTTTCTGCTCCATAATTCGGTTCAACTCAGAAAGCTCACTCTCAGAAGCTCCTCTGTGGACCTGCAATTGGTTTACCATCTTTGATTCCCTTTCAGCGGCTGCCAGTAAGTCAGATTCTGATGACCTGCCAGTCTTCTTGGTGATAACCCACTCATAAGAGCTACCCAACTGGAACAATCCAGAGACCATTGCGTTGAATTTTGTTACCGACATAGTGTTCTCAAAAAGCAGGTAAGGAACAATGAAAGGGAATGATTTGGGGGATGGAAGAATGTTGAGAAATGACATGAAAACAGGCACGTAACAGATGACCCATGCAGGAAGCTCTGCCTCCGGGACAAACATGGTCAGTGGAAGAATTATGCAGAACAAGGTGAAGGAATAGAATGGAAGGATGAGTTTCCTCAATAGAAAGAACAAAAGTATCAAGTTTGCTTTCTTCCAAGCTGTTATCTGCAGTATTTATACAATTCAAGACATTATGGTTATAAATAATGAGCAATTGGGAATAGCAGAATAACAGACTGTTATAAATAAAATTCAAGGCACCTTAGAAGTTATAATAGCTGGAAGGCACAATCTAAATAGCTGCATAGGACCAGAATGCCAACGATGCTGCTGCTTCCTATAAGCTTCATAGGATTCGGGCACTTCACATAGTACCTGAAAATTTACATAGCTTTAGGGCTTAAAACAAAATTTACATGCGGTTGGAGGCTGTAAATATCAAGGTTATGCACTCCAACTTTGTCGTCCACAGAGATACTAAACCAGAAGTACACTAAAAATATCACAAATGACAATTCCCTGACATGTTAGGTCTAGATTAAATAGATATGGAACAACTATAAATTAAGATTACCTTAACATCGTTAAGGTAGATGAATTTCCAACCATTGAGATGGGCCCGGACAGCTATGTCCATATCCTCTACAGTAGTCCTTTCTAGCCATCCTCCAGACTCCTCAAGGGCTTTAATTCTCCAAACACCAGCAGTGCCATTGAAACCAAAGAAATTAAGAAACACCCCATTAACCTGTTGTTCCACCTCAAAGTGGAAGCACAAATTAACATTTTGGAGACGAGTCAACAAGTTCTCATCCTTGTTCACAAAGGCCCATCTAGCCTGAACTAAACCCAGTTCAGGGTTGTCCTGCAACACAGAGTGAGATATATTAAATTCCTGAAGGGTTCATCAACCAAAAAATACACTGACAAATGTATTATGTTGCTATTCACCTTGAAATGTGGCACTGTTTGCTTAAGAAAATCTGGATTAGGTTGGAAATCTGCATCAAAGATTGCAACAAATTCATAGTCCTTCACATAATCACAGCTCATTGCAGACTTGAGATTTCCAGCTTTGTAACCAGTTCTAACCACGCGATGCTGATAGATTATGTTGATACCCCTTTGGCTCCAATTAGCAACCTCTGTCTTTATTAACCACTGGATGCTCTCATCATCAGAATCATCAAGAACTTGAATCAAAAGACGTTCCTTTGGCCAATCAATCTGGCAGACTGCAGAGATAGACTGCTCATATACCTGCAAAACACCAGGCCAAGACACCTTATGAACATCATGAAGAATCTATAGCACTTTTTGTGGTCGCCATTAATTTCTTATGCTTCAATTTTTTGGCCTCGCCATCATGTATTACACCTAAAGTGGCCACTGTCTACTATCGACCTTAAATAACAAATCTGAACAATGTGACAATTCTTCACATTCTTTCTAAAATTCACAATTATAACTCTAACTTGCAATTTTTAGTAAGAGGATACTTTATTCAAATGATGATTTTTTATTTTTGCTCACAACCATTAAATATTCACAATAATTCTTCAACTGCTCACCAAATTTTACATGATGCTATCTGAATCTAAGAAGACACTTTTTATTAAACAAAGTTTTGCAAGTTTGGTGGTGCAACTGGATTACTAAGCATAACTATCTACTTCAGAAATAGTAACTTATTATGACTAGTGAATCAAATGGCCACCAGCTAAAAGCAACACGAGAAACTAACAGAAATTAATGAAGAACATAGAAAGGGAAGAGATAAAGTTCAATTCATTACCTCTTTCTCATTGCACATTGGAATTTGAATAAGAACCATGGGGTACTCATATCCAGATTTCTCAACGTCGTCTGACTTCAAAGAATCCCAATCTATCCTGGGCTTAATTTTCTTGAACTTTATCCACAAGCAGCCAACGCTAAGTATCATACGGTCTATGGATTGGATAAGGAAAAGGACGACACAAAATTTAGAAAGTGCTTGAATTGCAGGTGCAATGTAATCAGCCCGAAACGTTAACCAGGCAACATAAACCATGTGGAGCAAGCTTTGTATATCAGAAGTTCCAGGGATGTGCAAATTTGGGTTCCTAAAATAATGCCAACCTTTGAAATATGCAACAACCTCAAAAGCCAGAATTGCAAGGGAAGTCACTAAGAAGACTCTTATGACTGTAAAAAGTAACTTCTGCTTTCCCAACTTCCCACTCTCCATAGCTACACCTTCCCTATAGATTAACCTCTTCTTAATAGTACCAAGCAATGCCCAGAAGATTGTGGCAAGCCAAGAAATGCAACTGACAGCACGATGAACCTTAAGAAGCAGGACCCATGTGACTTGCTTGGCATTTTTTCCCCTGCTCTTATCAACAGGCCTGAATGCAGCATCAGGACCATCAATCTCCACAACAGAGAAATTGGGGTTCTCCATTGTCACAACCACTGGTGTTCCCTTATTGGTGTCTTTTGCCCAGAAATTGGAAAAATCCAATCTTGGAGCCATTTTCTCACACACAAAATATTTTTTTTTTTGAAAAACTATGAAGAATATAAGAACCCAAAGTCCCAAATTTTACAAAAACCAAGAGAAACTCTAAAACCCAGATCTGAAGACAGAGAAATGAGCAAAACCCATTTCAGGACCAACCATAAAAAACTCAACTTTACTAATGAAAACTCAAAGAAGTGAAGAACCCATTTCAAGGCTCTCCATTCTACACAGAATGCAGCCAAGAAAAGCCAAAAAAGAGAAGTGTGGGAGGTTGGTTCTTTGTACTCTCTCAAAGGCACTCAAGAAAACACAGAGCACGGGAAAGCCACATTATGAGGGAAGGTATCTGCCTATCTGCAGCTGTAATAGCAGAAACGCCATGTGGGGTACTTGTCAAGTAAGCCCATCAAGCTCAACCCTTGCTTTAAACTCCCACAAATATATTACCATTCGGTGAAATATTTTTATTTTCAGAATCTGCTTAAAAGCTCACAGATTCTTCCTAAATAAGTTTCAAAAATGCACAGCAGAGTTCACTGGTAAAACATTGGAGACTGATTTGACTATAAATAAGCATCCCATTGTTTACTGAATCCAGGTGTTGACTCTCAGTTGTTATTGTAATTGAATATCATAGACAAATCAGGAGCTAAACATGGTCACAAATCACTCTTAAGAGTTAATACAATTACAATTTTGTTAAAAAAAGTAAAAGGAATTAAAAAACGAAAGAAGGAAAATTTTAGTTAAGGGAACTGTTACACAGAAGACCCAGAAAATCAACTGCCAAAACAGGCAATAATCTTAAATATACTCCCAACTCTGCACTACAATGGCGGAAATGCCTCACTGTCATTACTTCAACCAGCTAACTCTCTCCCTCTCAAACCACCCAAAAAAAAAAAAAAAAAAAAAAAAAAAAAAATTCCAAAATTTCCCTCCCACCCACTCCCTCAGCTAACTCTCAATATCAGAGTTTCAGAATAAGATAGTTTTTAGTAAAATAATGAGTGTATTATTCTTTTTACTATGTTCTTTTATTCTGTATGACCATTTTCTTTTTCTTTTTTTAAAATTCAAATATGAATATTAATACAAAGAGACAGTGGTTTTAAGGCCCACTGCAAAAAGCCAATGGCTAGCCACCCATGTGATGTGATTGTAACAGATTGTTATTTAGGGTGTAACATTGTAAAGCTTATTCACATTTCAAATTGTATAAATTTAAGAAAATTAAATTTTTTTATTACAATTATTATTCTAAATCTCATTTTTATTAGTTAATTAGTGTTTATTAGGGAATTTTTTTATATTAGCCAACTAATCATAATGACTTAATACAATAAAAGAATGATTACTGGTTGTCTAATTTTAAATAAAAAAATTTCTAGAAATAAGTATGATTACTGTGCTAATAAAATGGAATTTCTTTCATTCCAAATTTGCCACATTTTCTCTCGGGGAAAGTGTAAAGTTGTAAACTTTTTTAAATTTGGTTTTCTATAAGAAGAAAAAGAAAAGGATTTCACATGTTGTGCTGCCCACAATTTATTAATCTTAACCACTGAGACTTATTTAGCATTAATATTACATAAATCACTTGATACTTTCATTATATGGATAGTGCGTTAATTTGCTGTGAATTGATGCTACATTATAGAGATTCACTGAAATAAAAATAAACTTATAAAAAATCCAGAAATTTAATCATTATTTGTTTCTTGTAATAATATTTAGAAGACATACCTCTCCTTCTATTTAAGATAGAGATATTTGCCAACGGGTCTACCAGTGAATAAAGACCTTAACTTGCAGACTAGTAGTCTCTAGTTCGAATCTACATGACATCAGAATAGTGTGGGTAAGAAATTCCCCTCCTCTTAATTTAGATTATCCTTTGTAATAAAATAAAAAACAAAATAGACTCATATTTTTGTTGTTTCATGCATAAAAACCGTGGATTGTCTCTCAATTATTGTTTATAGATCTGTGTCCATGAATGCATGTGATTTCAAACCGTCTCATCAGAGATCAACAAGAAGCCCTTATGAATTTCAGCTACTATGAGCTGGCGAAGTAAGGCCACGCCAATACAACCCATACACTGTGATTCATCACAAATACTATTTTGCATATGATTATTAATTTGTCTTTTCGATTTTGAATTATACGAATTTGTGCAAATTTGTAGGTTTAAAAAAAAAAGATAATACTTTATAACTCAAATGAGTAAAAGCATTTATCCTACACTCGAATTCATACATTTAGCGGGAAGTTAATAAATTAATAAAAGATGGCGTTTCTCATGAAACATATGGGCGGGATAATAATAATATCATGCAAATGTTAGGTCTACCTAAGATTTTCCTAAAAGAAAAAGAAATTCAGATGTTGGCGTCCGTGAACCAACCCGCCAAATTTAATTCGTGATTGACTCGAGCAATGCATATCAGGGAGAAAAAGAAAGAAAATAAAAGATGCAGGCCCATAAAATTACATCAAATAAAAAGAGTAAATAAAATCCACACACAAAAAGGAAAAGAAACAAGCGTTTTGGGCAGCTCCCTTTAGTATTTGGGTTTAGAATCAGACAAGACAACAAGGCAAGCAAAGCACATTTTGCATTAAAATTCACTGCGCCCCCGGAAGGCCACCCAACAGCCCAATTCAATTGTTTTGTCGGCTATGGAGCTAACAAAGCTTGAGTTGGAATATTAATGAAAGTTATATATATATTACAGATTTTTCTTATGCGAACATTCGGATGTTATTATCTTGCGTATACCATGTATTTTATATTATTCATCCCTGCTTTTCTTTCTGATTACAATGACGTCCGCATGATAATAACGTAAGGATGTCCAAATATATATATATTTGTGTGCGGTGAGAAGATGGTAAGTCTTAAATTGAAATCTGTTAAATGGAAAAAGAAATTATTGTATTTATTTTCCCTGCAATATTTTGATGCAGTTGTTGGAAAACCCTAGTTCAATTGAAGAAATGATTTTGGTCGTGCATCAAGTGCTGAAGGGTTCAGTAAATTTGAAGAATTAAAGGGGGATTATAGTCGGATTTCAGAGTCAATTAAACTTGTAAATAGCTGGATGGGTTTTGGATTTGGAAGGCTGGAAGCATTTAGTCTCATCTTCTCAAGGTCATCAGTTTAGATCAACTTGAAACTCTTGATGCTTTAAAATCTTTGTTTTTTATTCACAATGCAATATTCTAGACTACTATAATTTACGTGGAAGAGAATTCAAACTCGGTGCAAGTAGGTGGGCAGCCTTGGCCAACTGACCTAATCTAACGGTACGAATGAACAGTGTAATTAAGCCGAATGGTAATCTATCAACATCTTACTCAGCCAAAAGCAATAATTGCAGTATGGGAGAACAACAAAGGATATTATTATTCAAGTGAAGGATGTACTAGCACAACAGGAAAACAAGTGCATGTGCATGGAGGAGCCTGGGAGACCCATTCTGATATAACCTGGACCCTGGAAGATTTTTCTTCTCAAGGGCTAATCTATCCGAAAACACGAACTAGGGTATTTGCTTTCTGCAATACCTAAATTTCAAGATTCAACAAAGTCAACATGAACCATGTATCATTGTTCTTCAAAGAACTAATAGCCATGTTTGATGAAAATAGAAGCAAATGGTAAAAACAGAAAGCAGCTTTTAGCAATCGTATGTGATCTTTCGATATCAATTTCATTTATGATGAGCCTCCACGTCTGAAATCCGCTTCGGGGGCTTGCTCTTCCTTTGCTGATATTTGGCAAATGAATACCAAACTCCACCAGCCGTGTTGATAACTAGTCCAGTCACATTCAGAAAATGCACTTGCACACCACCCAGTAAGACAAAACCAAGGGTCTGAGAAGCGAAGAAACATGAATAAGTAATTTTGCTCACACATATTTTGCTTTAAAATAAGATGAAAGACAATTTAATGCCCACAATCATCAACAAAGAGGGAGTTCAGTCATACCGTAGAGCCAACCCCTTTTAGTACTCCAACGATAGTTGTTGTTAGAGCAGAGTTGACTATGGTACATAAGAACATGGTGTAGTTGAGAACAATGCCCATAACAAATGAAAGAATAAGGATCACCAAAAAATAAAACGAATTACTCTGCAAACAAAGAAAAACTCCGTGTCAGATATATCTTGTAGGATCTTTTTAAGAAGAAGAAAAATTCAGTGGCACAGCAATAAGCCCCAGGCCCTCAAGAGCAATCTTTACATGGTTACTAATTACATGGCCTGGCAGCCACGCAACTGTATATCCACTCATCCAGAATCCCAAAATATATGCAAAGAACACAAAATCAGCATAATGAGTGGAATAATGGTTTAATAAAACCCCCAGCTCCCACCACATTGCTGAAATTGATTTCACCCGCTGATCTAGGAATCCGTAATGGGGATGCAGGCCAAAAGGAAACTAGGACTTCTCAATGGCTAAATTGCTCAAAGCAACATGTTTAATCAACTATGTTGTCAACTGGAACTTGTAATTTGAAATCCATTATCAGAGTATGGTTTTTATACTGTTTAACATGTATTAACTCTGTTCTATCATAACTTCAGAAAGAAAGATTAGATGTCAAAGCCTGTAGTCCTTTTCTCAATACAAAACCAACTTTTACTATTTCAGACTCCAATATGTTTAATAAAATGAGATAGGTTGGCGTCCAAAACAGTTTAAGCAGTCAAGCATTTCTTGCTCAAGCATCTACTGTTCCCATAATTATCAAGAATGAATTCAATTACATATATAAAGAAAAGGTTATGGTTCTGACCTTTGCAATTAGTAATAATAAAGAACTTGGAAATTCTCCTGTAGCTACAATGAGAAACATCAAAACTGGAAGAGACAGAAAGCTGTTATAGTACATGATCTCAACTGATGATAGCCCATCCTCTGCCCCAGATTTCTCCACCAACACAAGGTACATGGTCTGATAATTAAGCGCTAGTATGAGTTTAGCTACCATAACATACAATTTGAAGCCAGTAAATAAACCAATGGATAAACAAAAACATCATAACCAACCTGGAAACAAACAGAAGTGAGAGCCATGCTATATCCAAAAAAGTCAAACGAAAAATCTCCCAGTGCAGCTATCACAACCCCTCCTGCAGTCAATATTACTGAAAGAGACACCTGAAACAAGAAAGAGAGGAAAGGGGCAAATAGAACTCAGTATTGTCAAATTAGTAGTAATAAAAATGCTTCTTGCCAGGACTTTTAGCATTAAATTTATCATCTAGAAAATTCCATGAATAACTTTTGCACTTCTAACAATAACTCCTGATGTGTGCTAATTTGACATCAAGCATCCTTAAGATCAACTTATTTATGAAGGCAAACATAATTGTGTCACAGGACAATTTGTTCCATATATGATGCCAGATGTCATCATAGAGACTCTTCAACAGCAACAGTAACTATATTTTGTAAAAGCTGAGAGTACTTACAAATCTAAATGACAAAGTTTAAAGTCTAGTGTTTTACACCTTATACTAAACCTCAAGAATGGAGAAGGGTTGTGGTAAGCACTGAGGAAATGACCTGGCCATCATAATATGAATCAGACACAAAATGCAACTTAGTCTCATCAAACATATCTTAACTTATGAATTGCAGACAACTACTCCTGCACTAACACAAAGTATGTCAAAGAAAAAATATAATGTAGCTTCCATTTTGAATTTGTAGAGTTAGTCAATTTGTATCTTATGGAATTTTCACATCACATGTTTCCAAGACTAAATAGTATGTTGCCCGTGTTCTAATTGGGGATAAAACAAGTTTAGGGTCAATAGTACTAAACAAAAGAAGAAAGAAAGCATAACTAATCCTTTCAAAATATATACACAATCATTAAGTTTAATAACACAGTAAAACAATCCATTTAAATAAACACAGGCAGGAGTCAAACATCGCACAAGCTGATCCAAAGAAAGACAAGAGGGAACCTGTATTGTGGGTTTCCCCTTTCCTGAGACGAACCCAGCTATAAGCACAGCGAGAGGTGTGAGTCTTTTGATTGCAATATACATGGGAATATTAACTCCCTTCAAACTGGCCAAAGCAAACGCCACATTAGCATTATAGAACAGCGACACTGGGAGAAGTTTTTTCGCAGTGCTCATTTCTAATCCTCTTGACCTTGTGTATCCCAATCTTCGACCAACGTGTATAAGCAAAGCAGTTGCCAATTGCTAAGACAATAAAGAAATGAAAGGAGGCTCATTATGAACAACCAAGCAGGAAGCAGCTGCAAATTACTAAGACAATAAAGAAATAAAAAAGGGGGGACATCATGAACAATCAAGGTAGGTCATTGATGGAAATTAAAAGACCAATAGTCCAATGGTAAGTAATACCTGGGCAGTGAGAAGAGTCATTGAATGTGAGTACTCCATAAGAACTGCTTTATTGATAAAAACCATTGCCATGGAAGCAGCCCCATACGACAAAGCCGCAGACAAACTACATTCAAAGACAACAGGGAAGGGGAAATCAACGATTCTACAATTCAAGGCATAGCAAACATGTTCTTCTTTGCTTACATTTCTCATCAGAAAAGTTTTTTTGTAAAATCAATATAAACCCAAAAGAAAGCAAAAGGGGATATAGAAAGAGAACCTCAAAATTGAGCTAACTTCTGCATCAGGAAGTTTCTCCATGGCCAAATCTAAGCTTCAAAACACAAATTCTCTATGTTGGTCACTGTGAATATGAGCTCAGTGGCAGTAATTCCCAACTCCAGAGTCCCAATTACATGATAATCCGATGAAATAAACAAATGGGTCCTTTTTTGTTTGACCAAAACCTGCAAATCAATGAAACCCAAATCTTAAAAGTTCGAAAAGAAGGGGTATGGGATGAGACCCAATAGTGAAGATGAAGCGATCCAATTACAAGATTTACAAAATAGCAAACCTGGTGACTGGTGCAGTTACACAGTCATAACATAAACATTGAGTTGGGTTTTTGGATCAGGGAGAGAGAGAAGGGAAAGCCCGACAAGTAAAGTGAGGAGAGTGTGAGTATGGAGTGTGCGTGAAATGTCAAGGGAGAGAGAGAGACACAGAGAGAGAATAAAAAAAATGGAACAGAGGAAGAGAGAGAGAGTAACGGAAAGAACGGGAAAGGAAATGTGGAAAATGGGAAAGTGGGGAAATGGGAACCCAGTGAAAGTGAGAAATAGATGGCGAATGAGGCTCCGGCAATCTGCCATGGAAAGCGCGACAGCCATCGACATCAGACGTGGACGTGGATGTCGATTTAGGGTTAAAGATTATTGGATGCTTTCGTTCCTTCATTCGAAAGTTGGCTGGTGGTGGTCTTGTCTCGTGACTTTGGGACGCTGCGCGCTTTTTAAATTTTACTCGTTTATATATATTTTTTCAATTGCGATCTCAACGTTCTCGCTTTTACAGTGGTGCATGAAAAAATATAATAAATTATATAAACTAAAATAAATAAATAAAGGTTTTCCCTTGGATTGTTGTTTTTTCTATGCTATTAATCAAAGCAAAGTTTATTGACCCAAAAAAAAAAATCAAATCAAATCAATTTTTTTTTTTAAATTTATATTTTTTGTCCTTTTCATTTTGGTCATGTGAGTTAACCATCGTATGTCTTCTTTTCTCCCCACATCATATTCCCTACATTAAAGTCCCATAATAATTTTTTGGGTCTTAAATAGTTAGTTTACCCTAACTTACATACTTTTAATTGGAAGTACTTTGTAAGGAACCACTTTTACTTACAAGCGCATTAACATAACAACTATTGAATCACGTTTTTATAGTCCAAAAAGCGCTTTCAACTAAATATGCCAAACACAATTTTGGTCATATTAAAGACTAAGGAATCCCAAGATTTCAAAAAAGCATGCACCTTCTCCCTAGAAATAGAAGTGCTTGACCAGAAATTTACAGATAAAACGTTGATTAAGACTTTAGGCAGTCCTAGAAGGACATGGACACCAATATTGGAATCTCAATATCTTGCATTGAGGAGGACTATAGAATATCTTGAGTTGACTTGAGACAGTGCATAAGCTCTAGGACACCTTTACAATCTATTTGGCCAAGACAAAGTTTCATCCATAGAAACAAAGCCCTTATCAGAGGCACTTATTATGAGGAAGGCTCAAAATGGGCAAAATTAGAAAAGTTGGGAGGGAGCAGAAATTCGGAATTTGAGTCTCCATACGATCAGTCTCGTTCGACTCTTTCCAACCAGTCCTCAGACCAATTGGCTCTGAAAAACGAGGTTGAATGTTCCACACCAAACCCAAGTCTTTCCGAAAACTTCACCAACCAGGCCTTGGTCCAAGATTTTCATTATTTCCAATATAATTAAAAAACTGTATAAAAAAAATAAAGTTTGACATGTGAATTTTCTCCAATTGTGAAGATCTATCATCTCTGTCTTAAGTATGATCAGAGTCCAAAATGTTCAACAGATTGAAGGAAACTTCGCATGAATTAAATATTATCTGTTTTAGTCAGGTAAAAATAAAATGATTACAAGTGCTATTTCTTACATGCATTAACAATCAGAGAATCAAAATTTTGACTAGTACAAGATACTCCACCCACCAAGTACGACACTCCTAGAAATTCATGCTGCCTGTTAGAATAGATTATCAGGAAGAAAGGAAAAGAAAAAACCCGAAAATGAAAAGGAAGAAGCTGATCTGGTATCCTCCATTTCCAACTCCCATCAGGACTGGTATTTCACCTTGTTGCAGCTCTTGCACTCATGGATGAGTGGTAGTTGGTGCTCCTTTGTTTCCTGTAAGAAGAATAAACATCATCGTATTGGCTTGCCTCATTTGGATCAGCTGTGGCTCCAAGTCCCAACCTCCCCGAGCCACTCTTTCGATCTACACTGCCATCCGCATAAGTTCCTGTCTCTGGGTCTATCTGCAGGTTTGGAGGTGGAGGGATGCAAGCTCCACCCTTGCGCACCGAAGGCTCTCTTTCATACTCATCCTCGTCCCTACCATCGGTATTATGAAGGGGCCCTTCAGAAGGATTAACTTCACCAATCTCTTTGAAGAATTTTGACACTCTCTCAAGAATTTCTGATTGAGGTACATTGGATGGAGGTATAACAGTTGGAATGTCCAAAGGACTCATTGGAGAATACGGCACACCACTTCCAATCTGCATCTTTCTGACCATTTCAGGAATAAGACCAGGTGGGAACAGAGGATATGGTGGTAACTTCTCACCACTATTAGCAGGTTGACCTGGCAGTATATGTGGTGCAGGTTGTTGGTTTATTACTGGTTGAACAGAAGATGGTATGGGCATTGACCCTGGAAAAGCAGCAGGAGGGATTGAATTTGGAAGAAATTGCTGGGATGGCACGGACAGCGGCATGGCTTGGCCAGGACCTGCATGTTTATCAAGATGATCTTGGTCGTGTGAACTGGAAACAGAACTTTGCCTATCAGGCTGCCATTGCAGCATGTTATGGTTAGTTGTCTGTGGTGGCAATCCTGCATTCAAATAAAAAAGATAATTACTATATCTGCCACATCATCAAACCCAGTTGCTGGCAATTTAACAGCACTACTGGCCCTGGCCCACAAGTGCAAGCACCCTTGACAAGTGAGAGTGGTTCCACAAAAGGGCATGTGCTTAACAAGCACAGAAGTCAGAAAACATAAGCCTACCTGCAGCTGAATCTGTTGAAGCAGAAGATAAGTCTTTTGGAAGCCCTGTAAAAGAATTGCTTGAGGGTCCACCCATCATCTCATTCCTAAGTGCATCAATAGTATCCTGATCGTAAATGTTATTAGAAGCCCATAACTGTAAAATTTGCTGCAACCTCAATTGATTGTCCTCTGTGATTTGAGGGTTGTGATAAATCCTTGCAAGCATGGAACCTAAGATAGGTTTAAGTGCAAGGGATTCATTATCAAGGCCTTCACCAGTACGCCGATGCGAGCTGTAAATTTGAAGGCAAAAAGAGGAAGATCAAAGAATTATTCACATCGATCAAGTGCCTCTGTAATAAACAAATGCAAAAGACAAACAAGAGAAGACATCTCTAAGTTCTTTATTCACATTGTCGTCATAACCATACACTCCAGGCTAGATACTAGAAGCATTGTAAAGCACATAAACAAAGATAGAGACTTTTTCTTGGTATGACAGATTGAGTTTTTTCAGTACAAGTTCTTTACTACTGTAAAGAGACAATAGCTATGACAAACTTATAAATGATCTGCCAACCCCTGTGGCAAGAAAGAAGAGTTAATTCATATCTCAAGAAAGGTTCATCCACCATCCCCTGTTACAATTTTATAAATTTAACATTTTAAGCCTTCCACACCTTCCAACACAGGTCACATTCACAACCCCTTCCCTCTCCCTGCATAATAGTGCAAAAACCCATTGAAGGCATCATCCTTCTCATTTCTTCACACAAAAACATCATCCGAACCCCTATCCATCAATTATTTTTTTTTTTTTTTTTTTTTTGAGAAAAAAACTATAACAAGTAACAGGATTGAAGCCTTCAATGATTTAATGAAAATATGATACATCCGCGACATGGATTTTAGAGCATAGCAAACGCCAAAAAACTACAACCACAAATAATGACTCTACTTTTTCTTCCATCCATTACTCCTTCCAAATTCCCAGTGACTGTTGCTCCTGCACGCACAGGTCCAGCTCAACAAACAAAATTCTTATCTTTTCAGAGCTACATTGGCCCAACAAAATCGACCCAAAAGCATAAAAAGCATAAGCAACAAATCACACATATGCAGGAAAATGCAAAACAAGAACTCTGTAAAACCACGAATAAGCAATGCACCATTTGAATTACCTGTCAAACAAAATGTCATTGGCAAGGTAAATCACATGCAGTTGCCTCTCACAATCATCCAAGCCAAACACCCTCTCTCTAAGAGCTTCAGCCAGAGCAGGCGCAAATATCGACCTCTGCATAAACCAAAATTTCGCTCCTTTAATGGACTCTTTGGTCCCATTCAGCGACTTCAGCACACTATTCAGCTCTATCGCAACCTCAGGCGGAAGCGGCCCAGAAAGCCCTTTGAAGGGCTTGTTCGACGACTGGTCGTACTCTGGACGCCCATAAACTCCAAACGGCTGACCGTGCCGCTGTTGCTCGTAGAAATAAGACGGCAGCGGCCCACCCATCATCGCCCCGGCAGACGGCGGCCCGTTCATCATGGGGTTCGGCGGAGGTCGCAGCATGTGCATGGATGCAGGGGGGAACCCGGGCTGGTTGAATGACCCGCCGGGGCCCCACTTCGATATCCAGAGCTTGTAGCGGTAGTAGCCGTGGCCATCGCCGCCGAACAAGAAGGCGTACTCGGGATTGTCCTGCTGTTTCTCCCTGACCGTCGCTTCGAAATCCGGCCCCACCTTGGCGGCGTACTCGGCGACCTTGTCGATCAGCTTGTGGAGCTCTGGGTCGGATGGAGGGGCGGCCGGCGGTGGCGGAGGCGGAGAGTCGTAAGTGGGGCCGGAGTGGAAGGGGGAGGGGACTAAAGGAGGGGGGAGGTGGGGGGCAAAGGAGGGAGGCGGAGGGAGGTGGTGGGGGTGTTGCGGCGCGTGAGGGAGGACCTGCGGCTGCTGCAAGTGAGGGTGGTAGGGGAATTGTTGCTGGAGAGAGGGGTGTGGGCCCACGTAAGGCGGGCCGTGGAACTGTTGGGTTTGTGGGGGCGGGTACCCGAATTGCTGCTGCTGGGGCGGTTGCTGCTGCTGCTGTTGGATGTTGGTGGCTGCTTGGCGCTGCTGTTGGGCGTAGGCCATGGCGGAGGCGGAGGTGTAATCGTGTGGCTGCCGATCCATTGCGAGCCGTTGACTGCCAGAAAAAAGAAAAACAGTAGAAGCTGTTTTGTGTTCTGAGTGATAATTCTGCTTCTTCGTTGAGGAAAATTTTGATTTGGGGATTTTGGGAAGCTCAGTCCCCTGGTTCGGGCGGGGGGGTGTTTAGGGCTTGTCACGCTTGTATTGTATTTGTATATATGAAATTAGAAATTAAAAATAATAAAAAGGAATCCAAATCTACTTGGAAACTCCCATTTTACCTCCAAATTTTGGGGGTGTATTCAATTGAGATTTTAATTGATTGTTTTGAAACTTAAAAATCCAGTGGTATTCAATTAGGATTTGAAAGTAATCAATAAAAATCTAGTGGTATTCAATTAGGATTTTTAAATCATAAATACAAGTCTGGTGGTATTCGATTAGGACTTTAAAAGATAAGACAAAATACCGTGGTATTAAAAAACTTACCGATTTTGAAGTATTTTATTAAATGATGTATTGTGTAGGACTTTTGAGTGTGTGATATAACTACCAAACCCCATAAAAAATCTCACCCTCCTATGCCTGATTCTCACGTTCTTTGTTTTTCTTTTGGGAGAAGATGAACAGACACATCTGAAAAGAGCTCTCATTTCATGGTTGTTCTCTATACCAGCGATCGTATACGTTTTGCATATGTTCATGGTTATTCTCTATCTATTAACTACCGCTGGTTGTATACATTTTGCGTCTTCATGGTTGTTCTCTATTAGTGCTGTTCTCCCAGCCACTCACTCCATTAACACTTCAGTTTTTAAATCCTATCAAAACAATATTATTTTGCTGAAAGACATGTAAAGTATTGTATAATTTATTTGCTGACTTTAAACGAAAAGCATGTTATCCAACCAAGATTATATCAAAAGGCAGGGAGAATTATGGCAAAGATGAATGAGAGGCAAACAGAAATAATTCAGAAACACACAACACCTAGCATCAACACCTGGACTAGACCAGGAGAGATAATTATGTATGATGTATGATATGGTAGTAAACTTCTTTGGTTGTGGTGTTTTGGTTGAACTTTGTCTATTAAGTAGCCTAAATTGAATTTTATTTTTGGTATTTTTGTTTAACTATGTATTTTGGTTGTGGCATTTTAGTTGAATTATGTATTTTGATAGTGGCAATTTGAATTATGTATTAGGTTTAGTTCACTGTGTTGTTAGTGAAATAATGGGTGGGATGAATCTGTGTTTTGAGTAATTTGTGCACAACTGATTTTCTAATGAAGTTAGGTAATAACTGTATTATCAATTCATGAAGGTTTATAAGTCGCATGCATGAATTCGATAAACTTGTATGGTTTAAGCCCCCTTAGTTAGATAATGCACACAAGATTATTATGTAATATTATTATGGCAGAGAGGAATTACTTTTGATTACAGAAAGGAAGGACTAATTTTATGTTGTATTATTTGCTTCAACTCGTTTGAGTGTGTTACATACGATTCTCTCCTTGTATTTTGTTTGTGAGAGTTAATGGTAGTTTTGCATTTGTAGTTGAGTGCTTAGGTGAGTGGTGTTCTTGCATGTTATGTCTAGGCTCTCGGTATCTTTAATGTATTCATTCTGGCCATGTGTGGCTATGTTGGGAGTTACATTGTTTGATGTCGGTGTACTTTCCCTGGACTAACCTTTGATCATTACTGTGCCTCCATTTTTGTATTAACCCTAAAAATTGGGTATCTGTCTCCTAAAAATTGGGTATATTCCTTCAGGTTATGTATTTAGGTGAATGATGATGGGTGATAGGGTTCAAGCTTGTATAGAAATATAAGTAAAATCATGTAATTGCAATCTATTAAAATCATAAGTAAAATCCTAAGTGAATTAAAATCATAAGTAAAATCATGTAATTGCAATCTATTAAAATCATGAGTAAAATCATATAATTACAAATCCGGTTGAAATCCATTACATTAAAATAATGTAATTACAATCTATTAAAATCTCAATTGAATACATCCCCCTTTACTTCCCTCCAGGTTTCCTTTTCTTCCTTCCGAAATCTCGGCTTTAATTTATTTTACAACAAATTTAAGTGCTGAGCTATGATCTTATTAAGTTTTGGTTTGGTTCAAGTGCTGAGCTATGGCGAAGTAATAAGTTATGATTAAAATAAGTCATTCTATTCTTCCTCATAGTAAAAATAAAATAAAATAGTTTAAAACAAGAGATTGAGAGTTGCTTCACAATTCGTAAACCCCTCGGGGGGTTTGTTGGAGTGGAATTGAAAATTTCATTTCATGCTTGCCAAAATAGTTAAGAATTTCACTAAAATTTCAAAATTTATAACACGGGATTTAAGGTTTGAGTTTAGGGTTTGATATGAACTTTAGAATCAATAATTTGGCATGAAATTTTCGATTCATATTCAAATTGGGTTTAGGTTTGGTTATGAAAATATGTACAAGGGTTGGCTTTGAGGACAATATTGAGTGCAAGGGTGGGTGGGAGTTCAAATTAATTTACTTAAAGTTTAAAGTTCGAGATTCAATGGTGATCGAAATTTGTGACTTGAAATATCATGATTTAGGATTTGGGTTTAAGTTCGAGGTTTCGAGAGAATTGAGATTTGTGCTATAAAATCTAATGTTATTTAGAAAGATAATCTAATCTTGCATGTCAAATGATATCATAATTAAATACAAGACAACAAAAGAAAAAAAGTGAAAGTACTTAAAAATTACAATTTCCATTACCAATGGTATATGACGTTTTCAAAAGTCATCATTTTGGTCCCCAATGTTTAAAATCGTTCAATGTTGTCCTCTAAATTTTTAATCCGCACATCAATGTCATCTATGCCGTCCAATTCGTCAAATTATGACCTTTTTTAGGGTTTTTTTCGGGGTCGGGCTTCAGGGTCATTTTTGTCAATACAACACCACCCCATCTGAATTTTATAATGGGCCATTAACTACCGGATCAAATTTGGAGGCCCGTACCCGGACCATTACCAGTGTCTGAAACATGCCCTAAAACCCTCCCTCAAAAACCCTCTTCGTTTTATAGCCTCACCCTTCGAAAACTCTCTTATCTTTGCGTCAAGCAAATGAAACTGGTATGGCGATGATTAATTTTCAAAGGACCTTATCATTGAACGCCCCCACTTCCTCTGCTTCTTCATTCTTTTGCTCAAACACGTTAGCTTCTTCAGCTCTGCGACTCCGCCGCTCCATGGCCAAGGTTCCCACTTTGCGTTTCTTTTGTTGTTTGCTTAGTAAAACATCAATCATCTTCTTTTATTTTCATCTTTGATTTTCCTTAAATTCCTTGCTTTTCCCAGAGGACCACTTCCTTCAAAGCCCGAAATGATGATACTATTTCTAGCTGTAATTAAAGCCACGGTCTGTTTTGGGTTGCTGGGACATTCAAGTCTGTAGCTTTTTCACATTGGCTGGGCTAATTTAGCTACTAATACAAATATTAAGCGTAGATTTTTGTTGGGTTTTCTTAAATGTGCTATATTCAAGCTAGTGCAACATGGGATATTTGTCAAATTTTGTGTGTGTATGTGTGTGATTGTGCCAATGCGTGTTCACAATTTGTTTACGTATGCTGTTTCTCTGAAAATCGTATTCTAATGTGTGCAATTGGTGTCACAGTTGCAGTACAGGGCATTTGAGACTTACCCATGCGTTTGCTTGCCATCTTCCCCGATTTTGACTGCAAGTAAATACAGAAATTATTCTCAGCTTAAGTTAAAAAAATCTGGAGTTTCTTGCATGATCATGATAAACCCTGCAAAGGTTGGACCTAGTTTTCATTCTTTCAGAAGAAGTGGTGATGGGTCTGAACGTGCCTTTTCTAATTTAAAACCTGGTTCCCTGAATTCTTTGGGTCCTGGTAATATTATCAGTCCCGGGTCTTTCGGAAGTGTAGCTAATTATAGCATTGGAGGTTTTGCCAAGAGGTTTTTTTCTCAAGTTCCACATGTGACAAGCAAATTAGAGAGTGTTGGTGCCCAAAATGGCAAGTATTCTGTAAGTACATCTTTTTTCAAACAGCTCAGTAAACGGAGGAAAAGGGAAAAGGCATTGGCGGCTCAAAGCAAAAACGAAGCTACCGTTTCTAGCATCTCCAAAGATGTTGATGTAGAAGCTTCAACTGAACGACAGATTGGAAGTGAGAAGGGAGATGGAAAACTGGGATCTTTCCTTTCAAATTCGCCTATAATCAATGATAACCAGGTCCCTAAAGTCAAAGGAAAAAAGAGGTCGAAAAGCAAGAAAACTAAAGAACAAATTTCTGCTGCTAATGCCCCAGCAGAAGCTGCTGCGACACAAAGTTCTAAAGGTACTTCTCAAACAAAGAAATCTGGTAGTACCAAAAGTGGCAAAAAATCTGCACAGGATTCAGAGGTCAGCAACTATAAATTTTCAAGTAGAATTAGGATTGAATCTTATTTTTACATTGCACTATTGTAACTAACACTGCAGTATTTCAGTTGAATTTCACGGGAAAAGCTCCTGTAGAAATTAGTGATGGTTCTTCAATAAAACCCCAGCCAAAGAAGAAAAGTGGGAACTCTAGTAGAAAGGGAAAGTCTATAACTTCAGATTCCAAGTCACCCCAGAAACATATACCACAAAAAATGGGCAAAGTGAAACCTCAAGGAAAAATGACACTGAAGCAGCTGTACCCCGCGACTGGGAGAACTGTCGTGGTTGTGGAGTCTGCTACAAAGGCAAAGGTTATTCAGGGTTATCTTGGTGATATGTTTGAAGTGCTGCCTAGCTATGGTCATGTAAGGGACTTGGCAGCTAGGTCAGGATCTGTAAGGCCTGATGATGATTTTAGTATGGTGTGGGAAGTTCCATCCGCTGCCTGGACTCATCTTAAGAGCATAAAGGTTGCACTAACTGGGTATGGTTCTTTATCATTTTCATTCACGTCCAATTGGCCTTAAGCAACTGTGATTATGAGGCTATTAAGGTTCCCCATATGGTTGGAAACTAATGAGATGCGTTTTTTGTGGGCATTCATTCTAACCTAGGATGCTGGTGTATAATACTGATATTGAATTCAGTAACTTAAGCATTTCTATTTTTTAATTTCAATTTTTGGGGTATGTTTTTTGAATTTTCTTATTTGTTTTACCTTGTTCATCAGAGCAGAAAATCTTATTCTTGCATCAGATCCCGATCGTGAAGGAGAGGCTATTGCTTGGCACATTATTGAGATGCTGCAACAACAGGATGCTTTACGTGAAGATATTAATGTAGCAAGGGTTGTCTTTCATGAAATCACTGAGACCTCTATCAAAAGTGCTCTGCAAGCTCCAAGAGAAATTGATGAAAACTTGGTCCATGCTTACCTTGCACGACGTGCTCTTGATTACTTGATTGGATTTAACATTTCACCACTGTTATGGAGGAAACTACCAGGTTGCCAGTCTGCAGGGCGAGTCCAATCTGCTGCACTGGCTCTTCTATGTGACAGAGAAATGGAAATTGATGAATTTAAACAGCAGGAATATTGGACTGCTGAGATTGAATTGAACCAAAAAGAACCAGGTTCATCAGTAAATGCCCCAGACTTCTCAGCGCACTTGACCCATTTTGATTCCAAAAAGTTAAATCAATTTTCTATTGACTCTCATACCAAGGCAAAAGAAATTGAACAGCAGATTAATTCACAAAATTTTCAAGTGGTCAGCTCTAAGAAAAACAAAATGCGGAAGAATCCTCCCACACCGTATATAACATCAACACTTCAACAGGATGCGGCAAACAAATTACATTTCAGTGCAGCATATACAATGAAGGTTTGGGTTTGGGGGCCTTTATCTTCTGATTTCCATCTAAGCTAAAATTGAATTTTACATTTAATTAAGTTATTATAATTGCTTCAGAATATTTATGTTTTTTTTATTAGCTTTTGGTTCGTTTCGTATGCTGTTGAGGATATTTTTGCCTATTATTGTTGATCAACTTTGATCTTCATATGTGTAATGGCTGTTTGACTGATCCAGTTCATATGGAATGTTGTATGACTATAAGGGTACACTTTGGACATTGTTGTTTGTCTTTCTGCTTTAGTTAATCTTCACATAAAGTCATAAACTTCTTACCATAACCAATTATCTAGGCAGTATTGCTCATTTAAACCACAACCCACCACCAAACCCCCCCCCCCCCCCCCCCCCCCCCCCCCCCAAAAAAAACCCCTCCTGCAGAGAAGACCTCTGTTCAAAACAAAACCACCCTAATGGTGAATTCTCTGTTCTGATTTTTTCTCTTAATCGGACGTGCAATACCATATGTAGTCCTGGTGCAACATATTTCATAACCAGGAAGAGTTGTTATTTATTTTCAGTGTTCCTCTTCTGTTCTAGTCAGTAGTTTGTCCTTTAATTCAGTTGGCCTTTTGATTTCATGCTTTGAATTGGTAGGTGTAGATTTTTTGTTTTTTTGCTTTTCAATATGTATGTGGCTCATGGAAGTTACATTATGCATGCAGCTTGCACAGAAACTTTATGAGGGGGTTCAATTATCAGATGGTAAGGCAGCGGGTTTGATCACATACATGAGAACAGATGGACTACACGTAGGTATCACTTTGGCTGCATGAATATTAGTGCGTGTTATTTCATTAAGTTCCTTGTTGTCTGTCAGATGATTTTGGTGGCTAGGTTCCTTCTGCACATTTGTATTGCTTCTCTTTGGGTGATCAGTTTTTAATGACCTCTGAATATACTGAATTTCTAACTTTTCGTTAGATTCTAACTCACTTTGGGTTTTCAAGTAACTGTAACTGCGTACTTCTGTCATTTATTTAATCAAATGATTTTTAAATTCATCTCATCCTCTTCAAGTTTATCATGAACAATTATTTTATTGGTCTTACGTAAAAGAGAAATCCACTGAATGGTGCGTTTCAACTAATTTGTAAGAGTGCTTTTGACCTACTAAGCATCTTTTTGTCTAATGTGAAAGGACAATTGTGAAATAAAATTTTTACTTGATTATAACATAGTTCTTTCTAATTAATTATTTTCAGAACTTAATTGAAATGCTCATGCAGAATGGGTATCCTTGTCTTGTGTTTTCAATTGCTCAATTGCACATTGGTATCTTTTATACTGCATAATGTAAAAGCATGAGCTTCCTTGGGCGAGTATAAGCGTTTTTAAGCTGCTAGTTTTCATTTGTTGAGTTTGCTTCAATATATAATTGTACTTGCATTTCTTTTTTATGATAGCTCATACTTTATTATATGCTGATTGTCTTCTTATGTGCACATGATTTACACTGCCTCAAAGATCCATGGTTTTGAGCCTATATTATTCATGTCTAAATGAGGTTGAGATTCGTTAGTTATTTCTAATACCTTTTGTTTTTAAATTCTACAGATTTCTGATGAAGCCTGTAAGGATGTGCGCTCCTTGGTAATTCAAAGGTGCTGGAGATAAATGTCATTTCTACATCTATTTATTTGCAATTTGAATTTAATTGTATTTATAAGTATGAATTAATAAATACAAGTTCATTTTCCCAGGGTCCTGAACAAGTTGCTCATGTTTCAATTGTTTGTTCAATCCACTACAATTCTAATATATTTTATGTTTTTGTCAACCTATAACTTAAAACTTAGACCTTTTTTGCTTGCATGGAAATCTGATTAGTCATATTCTAATATATTTTTAGAGATCTCTATGTTTGTTTGTGTCCTTTACAAACAATATTCCTTTGATGCAGGTATGGACAGAATTTTGCATCAGAAAGTCCACGCAAATTTTTTAAAAAGGTGAAGAATGCTCAAGAGGCCCATGAAGCGATTAGACCAACTGATGTTCGAAGATTGCCATGTAAATAATTCTGCATGCTATATGACAATTTCTACATTTTTCTAATGCAAGTTTTGTAGATGTTCATTTCATCTCTTGATAGTCTCTTTCAAGTGAATTGACCATAAAATTTTATACTTGGCATTTAGCCTTGTTCCGTGGGATGCTTGATGAAGATTCATTGAAGTTGTACACTCTTATTTGGTGTCGGACAGTGGCATGTCAAATGGAGCGTGCTACAATTGAGCAGGTTAGAATGTAAACATATGAAAATTCTTCTCATTCAAGTGATGTGACTAGCAGTCAAATAGAAAATGCATTAACTTGTTGACTTTTGCTCATATCCTGGTCCTTATGTTCAGTCATATGTATGTAATGCAAATCCACCATCTCTTGCCTAATTATTTGCCCCATCAATCTTACCAGATACAACTTGATATTGGAAATGAGGGCGAGTCCATTGTTTTCCGATCTTCATGCTCAAGGGTTGAGTTCCTTGGATATCAGGCAGTCTTTGAGGTATAATCTATTTTCCATCTTAGTATGGTTGTAAACACCATAAAATGGGCATATACATTTGGCTGGAGTGCCACAATCATACCAGTTTGCAATTTCATAATTATGTGTGGTTCAAACTGATGGGAATCCTTAATTAATAAACTGAATCTGCTATTTTATTTTGGTAAACAACAAAATCTTCTTAATATTCCTGAGTTATAGAATGAATTTTGATATGTTTTTCTTTATAAAAATGGGCTTTAATGCCCATGATTTTTCAAAACATTGCTACTTTTACGAGTTTATATGTCAGTTTAGCTTTTGATATCTTGAACTCATCATATCTATTAGTCATTGGATCTAAATTGGAAATTTTACAAATATGTGAGGATTTGGAGAGTAAATTGCCTCTGTTCATATAGTTTCACTTTCATGTGATTCATTTGATGCTATATACCCTATTTTAAATTGGCACTTTGTAGTATGCTTTTATGTGAGATTGTCCAATATGTCTAATTTATAATTTTAGGACGTGGAAGCTCAAGCAGTCAAGTATAAAGAGAATGAAGGGAACAGTCGTAATGAAGGTTTTGGACTTCTTAATTCCTTGAAGGTAAATTTTGACTCCAAGTCTGTTGTTCAATTTCATCAGAAATTAATTTTTATTGGTAAAATTTGCATTGGTGGGCTACGTGATGTTGCTTGAATAAGTGCTTTATTTTGGTTCTGCAGCGTGGGGATCCATTATATGTTGGTAAAGTGGAACTCAAGGAACACCACACTCAACCTCCTGCGCGCTACTCTGAGGCATCATTGGTAAAGTTTTATAATTTTTCATTATACCAGAACATGGTTTGAACTCCTTTATATCTTTAGTGCTCACTATAAATTTTCAAGTTCAAATTGTGTACTTCTTTTCTGTTTAGCTTTGGTTCTCTGACCTTTGTGGTTTTGTGTGCTATAAGGTTAAGAAATTGGAGGAACTTGGGATTGGAAGACCTTCAACTTATGCAAGCACATTGAAAGTTTTACAGGTATGCGATGATGTTCACATAGCCAGGTTTTTCGTTGATTATATTTTTCTAATGTATTCTTCTGTTCGAAAAAAGCACAATTTCTTGAGTTATTTCTATCTCATATCCTGAGAACCCTTTTTCAGTAGTTTCAACATGTATTCTGGTAAGTTTTCTCATATCATCACAATAAGCATGCTCTTGAGAATGATGTCTTAATTTTTAATAAATTTCTCTCTTAACAGCCATCTCTGCAAAAGTCTTAATTTACTTCGATTTATAACTTAACAATATTTTGACTTCTCATTTATTTGTGGTGCCAGGATAGAAACTATGTGACAGTGAAAAGCCGTGTGTTACATCCAGAATTTCGTGGTCGTATGGTATGTTCTGGCATTCCATCTGGTTTTATGGACATTAGAGAAATAGAAAAGATCTTTACATGTTCCCTTGTGGCTACATGCAAGTCCATTGTTATGTGGAATTTTCTATTTCTAACACTGGTCATGTCTGACTGGTGCTTGTTTATTTATTTATTTCCTGGTTTATTGGTTTACTTTTCATCCTAGTTTTTATTCTGTACTTCCTATCAAAACTTTTAGATGGTTGTGTATCTGTGGGGTTTTGTTTGTTTTTTTTTGTTCCCTTTATAATTAATTTTCTTCTTACACTTCCCTTACTGTTGTGTTTTGCATTAAATTAGCAGTAATTCTTAGTTGAAGAGCATGCTTAACATTTTACTGTTGTGTCCATGAGATACTTATACATCCCATTCGTCCTCTCAATTTATTTTATTGTTCTGGTTACCTTTAGGTGTCAGCATTTCTCGGCCACCATTTTTCCGAGGTTACAGATTATAGTTTTACTGCTGATATGGAGACTGAGGTAAATCTATATTGAATATAATCTTTTTCAATAAAAGTTTCTTTAGTTTCAACATGAAAAAGAAAATATTTTGTATAATCTTTCTCCCATTGCCTAAAATAGTTTCTTCATTTGGTTGCTGTAGCTACATGATTTTGATATATGTTGGGCTCAATCAAGCAATACTGTTCATCTTCCATTGTTAACTATTTGATGTACTTGATTACCCGAACATTTTTTTTTACTGGTGATTGACTTCTTTATGTCTCTCACCAGCTTGATAATGTCTCTGCTGGCTTAACTGAATGGAAGGGCCTCCTTAGAGATTATTGGACCCGATTCAGTGCTTACTGTGACCGTACCAGTACTGTTCATATTCATCAGGTAAGGTTTAGTCTTCGTTAAACATAACCTTCTTTTCGTAAAATATCCTTATAGGAACTTTTGTATTCATTATAAGCCATATAATATCTCAGGTGGAGAAGATGATGGAAAAAAAATTTGGTGACTTCTTGTTTGCTTCTCTTCCCGATCAAAGCAGGACATGCCCATGGTATGCATATGGTTTAATGAAATTCTTCTTGATATGGCTAGTTCTCATTAAGTTTTCTGCAGTTCAGATTTGATTCTGGGATGCTGTTTTGATGGCATATCTGCTCTTCTGCACACATGAAATTGTTTTCTTGAGCACCATTTCTAATACATATTACAATCTTTATTTGTACATGTTTCAGTTGTATGGAAGGCAATTTGATTTTCAAAGTGAGTCGGTTCGGTGCAGGCTATTTTATTGGTTGTGATCAACACCCAAAGTGCAAGTGAGTATGAAAAGCTATGGTGTAACTTAATTTCATGCATGTGCGGCAATATGGTCATTTGATCCTTCTGTTGCCAGTAGCACTACAATTACGGTCCAATGCAAAGTTGGCGAACAACATGGTCATTTGATCCTTCATTGTTTGGCCATTGCCCATGGGCCTACATATATGTGAAAAGTTGGCAAGCCAATTCTAATGGAATGGCAAACAACATACACAACCACAATAGTTGTCCCTCTAGCAAGCCCTGGCCCTCAATAGACCCTGAAAGGGGATTTCACCTAAACTTTAGAACAGTGAACGAACCCTATGTATTTTCCAGGTCGCTTACAGTGAAAAGAAAGATTCAGTTATCAGACATGGCTCCTTTGTATAACATTAGGCAATGGAACTAGCAGAGCCTTCTTATAATTTCAACTTGCATGTCTTTCAGTTATCAGACATGGCTCCTTTCTATAACATTAGGCAATGGAAAGAGCAGAGCTTTCTTATAATTCTAACTTGCATTTTGTTGGTCTAAATTTGTCCTAGTTGTAGCGAAAGAAAAATCACCATCCATAAGTTATCAATGTTCATTTGGTTGCTGCAAATAGGTACATTGCTAAGACATTATATGGTGATGATGAAGAAGAAGAGAGTACTCCGAAGAACAGCAGTGTGGAGGAACCAAAAGTGCTAGGTCTTAGTCCAGGTTCCAATGAAAAGGTTTGTTTTGAATTCTGATATTTCTATAGTTGGTTTAGGGTCCACTGGAGCCTTAGCTTTGCTTGAGTTTATTATTTTAAGTTATGTTTACATTAAAGAAAAATGTATGTCCTCTTTCAGGTTCTTTTGAAAAATGGTCCATATGGATCCTATGTACAACTTGGTGAAGACAGGAAGGGAAACTCACCTAAAAGAGCCTCTGTATCCCATGTATGTAAAAGTTACACTGTAACTAAACATTGGAACTTTTTATTCTGGTTTTATATGATACTTTTTTTTTCTTTCCTTTTGTTTGGTTCTGTGCGGATCTTTGAGATGTTTATCTACACATCTTCTTGCCATTATTGGAGTTGATTTTAATAATGCTGTCAAAACCATATTCATAATAGTTAAGTATGTATGTGCTTGTATGCTTGCATGTGATTTATACGAGTTCATTCATGTGCTAACAAAGATTTCCATGCCTACCCAAGAGAAAATCTTAGTTCAATTTTACCAACCCTTTTACTTTCTTTCTTCCTTTGTGTGCACTGTGTATGCAGATGCACCGTGCTTTTATTTGAAATCTGTAATCTTTATATTTACGTGGAATCACTTTTCAGATAAAGGATGTGGGTTCAATTACCCTTGAAGATGCTCTGGAGTTAATGCGCTATCCTGTGACATTGGTTTGTTTTCCATTTTGCTCTGCTGAGTTCTGTTTCCTCTTCATCATCGTTGAACTCATTCTCTTGCTCTCTGTTTATGTGTTTTAATTTCATTTCAGGGTAACCATCCAGAGGATGGGCAACCGGTGATTATAAAGGTGGCAAGGGTTGGGTTTGCAGTTAGACATCGGCGCACAATTGCTTCTGTTCCTAAGGTCTACAAGGTAATGGAGTTAAAATACGAGCTTGGTTTATAGCAATAGTAATTAATAGTTTAAATGTTTTTCTCTGAGGAAAAACTTGGAGATCCAACTAGATTTTCCACATGTGATACATGTTCCTTCCATTTCTCTGAGGAAATCTCTTTGGATCACAATGCGTCTTGTATCAGTTTGATCCCATTTTTATATAGATTTAAGACCACAATGGAACTATAATAAGATCATGTATTTAACTTTATACATTCAGAATTCTGTTGTCAAAGAGTTGAGATCGAATATTTCACCAATTCTTATTGCTTACCAAATTTAATAAGTTGGGTATCTTCATTACACATGCAGAATAAGAAACCCAGTGAAATCACCCTGGAAGATGCATTGGAGCTTTTGTCAAGCAGTAATGTAAGACGATCCGGTCGACCTAAGAGCAAACCAAAGGTTGAAGAAGAAGTCATGTTGGAAGCCGTGTAGCCTTGCTTCATTATACAGAAGTGATACCCCTTCCTATGATGACAATGACCTTTTGCAAATAAATTTGTCTGAACATTCACTTATTGTCCCCCTCAAAGTGATTCAACTCAAAATGGATGCTGGTGTTCTTCCAATAGCAAACGGAGAGGTGTGTATACTTCATACTGCAAAAGAAATGGCCTAAATCTGTGCACTGACCTGCATTAGTAGTCTCTAGGTTTAGCTTGTAATTGGTAGCTAGGTCAAATGTTTGGCCAAAAGGTTTAGCCATGTTCCAAATTTGAGGTTATAAACTAGTTCATCATTGGCTTGATTTGAGTCGCCGGCATGAAATCGCATTTTTGTAAAGTATTTAAGTTCAATTTTTGATATCTTGTTATGAGTTATGACATTTGATCCAAATAAAAAAGATATGGTTTCATGGAAGTCAAGAGAGCCCATTTGCAATTAGTGGATATTTGGTAATTTTAGGTGTGATGAAAACAGTCCAAAAAAGTATAATATTTATTTTGCTCTCACCAACCATGTTTGGCATGATCGTTCTTTTGAAGAGAGAAGCTTTTATACTGAATTAAAATAAAATAAATAATCAACATAGAAAGATAAAGATTCTTTGAGAATGGAGTGCAAATAATTGTATTTAACTGATAAAATATAGACTTGATATGACATGTGTGACCATAGGAAGAGAAATGTTGTTTTTCTGATCAAATAATACATTTTTTCCCTAAAAATTGAATTTGATAAGAAAAGGGTTTGAAACTACACTAAAATAAACAAACAAAAAAGCAAATTAATAAAATAAGGGAAAATTTTCGTAAATATCTGTCATTTAAAAAAATAATAATAATGCATTTCAAAGAAGAAGCAAAAAAAATCCTTCTTCTATAATTAATTTGAGAGGTCAAACAAATTTTGAAAATAGATTTTTTTTTAAGAAAATAAAAAACAAAAAGGACAATTTTGGGAGTGAGAAAAACAAAATAATGATTAATGAGGAGGACAGTCTTATTCTACCCGAACCCGAGTCATGTGGTTTCAGCCTTTCACTGTGAGAAAGTTTCTCCGACAGAAGACAACAACAACAACAGAGCCACACCGAGTTTCGCTCCAATTCTACCCATCACCTCCTCAGGTTCCTATCTTCCCTCTCTTTCATTTTTTTTTTCTTTTTTTCTCTTTCTTCTGTTTTTTTTCTTTTTGGGTTTCTATTTTCTTGTTAAGATTTGGCTGAATTATCTTATCTGACACTCTGATTCTTACATTCGAGTGAAAAAGTTCAGTTTTTTAAGAACCCCCAAATGATTTTCAGAGGAAAGTTGCAGAATTTGGGAATTTGATGATTGAATTCGAATTTTTTTCTGTGTATTCTTGCACTGCTCGAGATTCAAACATTGGATTAATGGGTGATCTGCCTTTATTCTGATTTATAAAAAATAAAAAATTGGGTAGGGAGTATAATAATATGCAACAAAGATTGAAGCTTCAGCAACAGCAACAACAAGAAGCCATAATGCAGCAAGCTCTTCTTCAGCAGCAACAACAACAGCACATGTACCATCCTGGTGTGCTCGCCGCTGCCATGTCTCAGGTCCCATCACTCTCTCTCTCTCTCTCTCTCTCTCTCTGTATGGCTTGTATGCTTGCTTGCTTGCCTGCTTTGATCACAAAAATATATTATTTGAGTTTTTGGATATCACCTAATTCACTCAAACTTTATGTAATTCATCAGAATAGGAAATATCATTTGTTAAGACATTTGTTTTTGGTTGGGGGCTTAAGTTTGTACTTTTTGTTGCCAGGCTTTTTCTCCGTACTTGGTGCTTTTACTTAGGATGTTTGGGGACGGTTTCATGTATGGTACCATCTTAGATTTGCTAGGATTATTTGTTTATCTTCTTTCTATTTTTACAATGTGCAGATGGAGCCTATCCCAAGTGGAAATCTGCCTCCTGGATTTGACCCATCTACATGCCACAGTGTGTAAGTGCTGTATGGATTTTTTGTTTTTCTCTATTTCTGGAGTCTTTTGTCTTCCTTTGCATTCATCTTTATGTTAGTCGGGGTGAAATTTTTTTAGCTTAAGTGGACTTCGTAACTTTGAGTAGTTCAAATTATTTAAATTTAAAGTGGACATTATTCATTTGAATTAATGCTGATAAATTCTGATGGCATGATGGTTTCAGGTATGTTGGAAACATTCACGTAAATGTCACCGATAAGCTTCTTGCTGAAGTTTTCCAGAGTGTTGGTCCTCTTGCAGGATGCAAGCTCATCAGAAAGGATAAGGTACATTGAGTACTCCATGTTCAAAATTGATTTTCCCCTTAATGAATTTCCCTTCACGATGTGGCTGTATATTTTTTATTACAGTCATCATATGGATTTGTTGACTACCATGATCGAAATTCAGCAGCCCTTGCAATAATGACATTGCATGGACGCCAACTGTAAGCATTCAACTCTCTCTCTCTCTCTCTCTCTCTCTCTCTCTCTCTCTCTCTCTCTCTCTCTCTCTGTTTTTGTTTTTTTGAATTTTTAAAATGGTTATCATCATAAAGAAATGGTTTATATTTATTAGTCTTTCTAATTTTGATTTGCAGTTACGGTCAGGCACTTAAAGTGAATTGGGCATATGCCAATAGCCAGAGGGAGGATACTTCAGGTTACTTTGAGCTTCAGTTGTTCTACTGCTGCTGTCGGATAGTGTTGCTTGTTACAATTTTATAGGGTTCATTCCTTTAATGCAATTTTACAATTATCAGGGCACTTCAATATATTTGTTGGTGATCTTAGTCCAGAGGTTACAGATGCAACTTTATTTGCTTGCTTCTCGGTCTATCCTAGTTGTTCGTGAGTTCCTGTTTCTTTCGATTATCGTTTTTTTTTTCTTCAAAGTTTTAGCAGATATATCCCAGGCGCTAGGGTAGCATGCTATAGTTTTACCTCATTACTTTCATCAAATGTTCATGTTACTGACTGACTACAGTTTAAGGACTGAATTTATTTTGTGTTTCCACTTGGGTGTGGGGTAACAGTTTGAATCACCTATTAAATTCTAAATGTCCTGATGTTAGGTTTACAAGACTTTTCCCTTTTGTCCTTTTTATTGTTTGCAGTGATGCAAGGGTCATGTGGGATCACAAAACTGGCCGCTCAAAGGGATATGGTTTTGTTTCTTTCCGTAACCAGCAGGTATCTGTTATGTTGTTGTGATTAGAAATTAGAGTGTTTTGGTGAGATTCTTCCCACCCAAAAATTGCCTCCCACATGTTGTTTACTCTGGAATATCTGTGAACTGATTAAGTGCCTCATGGAAATGCTTTATAGGATGCTCAGAGTGCTATCAATGATTTAACCGGTAACACATCTAAATGTTGCCTCATGTTGCATGGTTTTTTTTGTCAGTTTTGAAAGATACCATTAGTGCATAATGGTTGATGTGTTCTGGACTCCATTTTGTAGGTAAATGGCTTGGAAATAGACAAATAAGATGCAACTGGGCAACTAAGAGTGCTGGCTCCAATGAAGAGAAACAGAGTAGTGACACTCAAAATGCCGTTGTTCTTACTAATGGATCTTCAGGTATCATGAAAATTTCTGACTTGGCCCACAGTATGTAGGATCCTTGGTGAGTTAGGCCAGAGGTTGCTTGCAAGGGCTTCTGGGACTTTAATGGTTGTGGTTTTTGAGATAAGATTGTGCCAAAGGAGCAACAATGAAGTTTAATAACAGGGTCAGGATGTAGTCTCTTAATACATGGATCTGGTTCAGGTATTAGATTATTGAATTTATTGATTGTAGTCTGAGATGAATCCATTTCTCCGCCTTTGGCTAATGAAATATGACCAGATCGACAAATTAATGGAAATTAGTCTGATGTTGGTTGTCTCATGGAACAAAACTAACAGTAGTGAGTTTGACTTTTTTTGGTTGGTCTGATATTTTTATAAGGATTTAGTGTTTGCATTTGCTAGTGTAAATTTAGGTCTTAGGCTGATGGTTGACCATAGTATACATTGCCGTCCTTTATAATACCAGGATTGAGTGGGAAGTTTGGACCAGACTTGATGTTGATGGCTTGTTCTGTTTCCTTTCTTTTGCAGATGGAGGTCAGGAGAACTCCAATGAAGAGGCCCCTGAAAATAATCAAGCATACACTACTGTCTATGTTGGCAACCTCTCCCATGAGGTGATTAAACAGTGATTCTGGCTACGTTGATAGATTATGTTTCATATTTAAGTTTTAAATCTTAAGTTTGGTCTTATGACATAACTTTTCAACTGTTGGTACAACTATATGCTGTTAGCCATAAAATCTTGCTGAAAATCTGGTCTGTATTTTCAGGTTACTCAAGCTGAACTTCATAGTCAGTTTCATGCTCTTGGGGCTGGGGTTATTGAGGAAGTACGTGTGCAGAGGGATAAAGGTTTCGGATTTGTGAGATACAACACTCATGAAGAAGCAGCCTTGGCCATTCAAATGGCAAATGGCAGGATAATTCATGGAAAGTCCATGAAGGTAATAAAATCTCTACTGCAAGGTCTTTTCATGTTGATGGTCACACAGTTCTGTTGCCTTCTTAATATTGTTCTTCAATGCACATGTACATGCACAAGATCACCCTCCGGTGGGTTTTTGTGCATTTGATTAGTTTCCGCAAAGCGCCTGTGTATATGTGTCTTGATAAAAACATCTATTGTTTTGTGTGATCATGTATGCAGTGTTCATGGGGTAGCAAGCCAACTCCTCCAGGGATAACTTCGAATCCGCTGCCTCCTCCTGCCCAACCCTATCAGATCCTTCCGGCTGCTGGTATGAACCAAGGCTATTCTCCAGCTGACTTGTTGGCTTATCGTCGCCAACTTGCCTTAAGTCAGGCTGCAGCCACGTCCATGGCCTTGAACTCTGGTGGATCCCAACCTATGTATGAGGGATATCCTAACAGTTCATCAGGTCAGCAGCTAATGTATTATCGTTAACGCCACGGCCAGCGTTGGTGTGGGTTTCTGGCGGGGTTGCCGTTGTGTTTGGTTGCATTGTGCCAATTCTTTCTGTTGGACCTGTGTCTTATATATTAAGATTTCTGCATCTTCGGTTACATGAATTTTTGATCTCGTATGTTGTATCATGTAATATGTGTGATTAGAGATGAGAATTTTCTTTGTTTTGTGGGCTTGTTATAAAATGGTTTTTTATTTATTATTTGTTAATTTCGATAATAGAATAGTCTACGTTGATTTTGAATAAAACATTGCAACTTTTCTTGACCCAAAAAAAATATTACAAGTTACAACTTCTAGAGTTTTATTTTGCTAAAATTTCTACTCATTTTCATAAATTTCAAAATATAAAATTCTAATCTAAACCGGTTTCAATCAATTACAAAGCCTTAAATTGTTTCCTTATTAAGGTCTTTAAATCACTTCTTTTTATACAAATTTATAAATAAACCCAATCCTAGACATGTATTTATAAAAAAACCCAAGTACTATTTAAATATAGAAACACACCCAAAATCAACCACAAAGTCAACTTTTTGGGTGTGTTTATAAATGGGTTTTGAGTGTGTGTAATGATGGGTTTTGGGTGTGTTTATATGTTTAAATAGTGCTTGGGTTTTTAGACATGCAAAACTGACTCAAACAAGTTAAGCAAATTGGCAATGCAGTGTGTATGCCCTACCCAGCACATTAGCTGACGTGGCAGATGATGGTAACTAATTAATATTGCCACGTAAGTTCTATTTTATTTATTTCTTTGTCAATAATGCCTAGAAATTAAAAACAAAACAAAACAAAAATCTTCTTTAAAAAAAGAAAGAAAGTTAAATAGCATTACTCAATAAGTAAATCAATTAATTGGCCAGTGAAAATGAGAGTTGACTTTTTAGCAGATTAGTGGTCTCAAGTTCGTACCTCCTGTAATTTAGGCTATGAATTAACTTCAAAGTCCTCGGCACTTCACTTGGAGATGGAGCAGTTCAAAGGCCAGTCTCGGCTGCCGAAATTCGCCGTGCCGAAACGATACGATATAACGCTCAAACCGGACCTCACCGGCTGCAGTTTCGGCGGCTCCGTCGCCGTCCACCTCGACATCGTCTGCGATACCCGGTTCATCGTCCTCAACGCCGCCGACCTCTCCGTCGATGCCGCCTCCGTGTCTTTCGCTTCCTCCAAGGTACCACTGACTGATCCCTGCTGCCATGCATGATGCATTTGCTTGCTTGCTTTGGACAATTGTACAGTTGTACTCAAGAAAGAAAAAGAAAAAGCAATGTTCATTTGGAAGTGCTTCTAAGTTCATCTGATTTCTGAGAGCAGGTACTTTTCAAGCCTTGGAAAGTTGAGACATTTGAAGAAGATGGGATTTTGGTTCTGGAGTTTGGAGAGACGCTTCCGGTTGGTTCGGGAGTTTTGGGTATTGGGTTTGAAGGAATTCTGAATGACAAGATGAAGGGGTTCTACACAAGGTGTGTTCTTCGAATTCTGGATTATATTATGTTTCAGATATGCTTAAACTTTGATTCATTCTGTACAGTACATATGAGCATAATGGTGAGAAGAAAAATATGGCCGTTACACAGTTTGAACCGGTTGATGCCAGACGGTGCTTTCCATGCTGGGATGAGCCTGCTTGGAAGGTTGCTCTATAATGATTTTGTTTAAAGCGATTCTAGATACTTAACATAGTTCTAATTTCATCTTTGAGTCTACTAGGAAAGAAAGAGATTGAATTGACCCCGTTCATTCTTATTGGAACTTTGATTGACAGGCTACATTCAAGATTAGATTGGATGATGTTCCATCTGAATTAGTAGCTCTCTCCAACATGCCGGTTGTAGAAGAAAAAGTGCATGGACATCTGAAGACAGTTGCATTTCAAGAATCACCAATCATGTCTACATATTTGGTGGCCGTTGTTGTTGGGTTGTTTGATTATGTTGAAGATCATACATCTGATGGTAAACTCATACACAATGTCCCTTGTTTTGCGTATGTTAGTACAACCTTTTCTTGATGGTGTCACCTTTCATCTCGTCACAGGGGTCAAAGTGCGGGTCTATTGTCAAGTTGGTAAGGCAAACCAAGGGAAGTTTGCTTTGAACGTTGCTGTCAAGACTCTTGAATTTTACAGAGAGTACGTTTTTGGATCACAATACTACAAAAAAATTACTAATCATTCATATTCAAATTTGAAATTACCGTTGATGCATGTTGTGGATTATAAGTAGTAGTTTCTCTAGTTTTTTTTCCCTTCCCTGCTAATTCTGCATCATTATATTTGGCATTCAAAATGGAATCATTGACGAAGACAGTTACTTTGCTGTGCCATACTCTTTGCCCAAATTGGATATGGTTGCAATCCCTGATTTTCCTGGTGCCATGGAAAATTATGGTTTAGTTACATACCAAGAAACAGATTTGCTCTTTGATGAACAGCATTCTGCAGCTGCCAACAAACAACGGGTAACATACACATCCTGAATGTCACTCTAGCTTTCAGAATTTAGCTTGGTTCATATGATATGTAGCTGTTGTTTTTGAACCCTAAAGAAATGTTTAATCGTTTCATTTGGAATTTGTGAAAGGTTGCAACTGTCGTGGCACATGAATTGGCACACCAGTGGTTTGGCAATCTTGTAACGATGGAATGGTGGACACATTTATGGCTGAATGAGGGATTTGCGACATGGGTATCACTTCATTTCACTTGTTGTACTTGTTATTTTATTTGCTTTTGGACTTAAAGTAAGTATTTTAACGCCATTAGGTGAGCTATTTAGCTACTGATAGCTTGTTCCCAGAGTGGAAAATGTGGACTAAATTTCTTGATGAAATTACTCGGGGTCTTAAGCTGGATGGGCTTGAAGGATCTCACCCCATTGAGGTACTTCTACATGGACCAAGTCTTTCATGGGTTTTATTCTAACTCTATTGCCCAAAAATTTTCTGTTTCGTGGCATCAAACCTGGATCACCACTACACTTTGTTGGGCATCATTTATTGAAGGGTTTAGAATATATGTGTGTCTGCTATATTAAGTTTTAATCCTTCTTCTTTTTGGCCAGGTGGAAATCAATCATGCTTCTGAGGTTGATGAAATATTTGATGCAATAAGTTATAGAAAAGGAGCTTCTGTTATCCAGATGCTACAAAACTATCTTGGTGCTGAATGCTTCCAGGTTGGTCCTTTGGTATGTTAGCAAATATCCTTGAAGATTGAAGCAACTATCTTATTTCTGAAATTTTTACATTTATGTGATGGAAATTTCCAAAAAATCAAGGCTTCTGGGCATACAGGATTTTAGAAGGATAGAGATCTTGAGAAAATTGTTAGATTGTGATGTGGAATACTGAACTAGCTCAACATCTAGTTCTTTGGTCCAATGTGGAGCTTAATCATAGTATTTTAGCATGAATTTGAGGTTGGGCTGATCTTGACCATTAGATCTAATGTTAGTATGGTCCAGACTGAACATAATGGCTTTGGTCTTATTTGTGTATGCCATAAGTTATACAGTTAATGAAATAGGGTAACCATTTATGTAATATCTGTTGAAATAAAGCCTACAAAATAAGAGGAAGATGATTCTGTTCCATTATGGATAATTCAATTACATAGGTGCTTGTAGAGAACACCAATGCATGAATTCCTTTGGAATTATGTTAAAGAAATCAACCTTGAATCATCATAACAGACCAGAATTAAGGGAAAGACGGTCAGCCTGGCTTGATTGACAGTCCTACTTGGTGCAGATATATATGTTGTTCATAACAGCAGAGTTATTACTATGTACTGTAGCTAATTTTGTTCAAATCAGGCTATATTGCTCATATGATAAAGGTATTTGAAGTGTGTCTCATATTCTTTCCCTCAACTTTTGAATTTTGGCTATTGTTTATTAAATCCATTTCTCATGTAAGTTACAGAGTTAATTGCATGTTATTTTTTCATGCCTCTAGAGGTCACTTGCTTCATACATAACAAAGCATGCTTCCTCAAATGCAAAGACAGAAGATTTATGGGCTGCGCTTCAGGAGGGATCTGGTGAACCTGTGAACGCTCTAATGAATTCATGGACACAGCAAAAGGGTTACCCGGTTATTTCTGTCAAAGTCAAAGATCAGAAATTGGAGTTTGACCAGGTTTCCTTATGTTTACCTCCTTCAAAATCTTGTTTGATTATCAAGTGAAATTCTGAAAGAAAGCTCTAATGCATATATAAGCTGTTGGATAATTTATTTAGATTTTATTCCAATAAATGGCAGACACAATTCTGCTTGAATGGTTCCCAAGGTGATGGGCAATGGATTGTGCCAATAACATTATGCTCTGGCTCATATGATGTACGCAAAAGTTTCCTACTACAAAAGAAGTCCGAAACTTTTGATGTAAAGGAATTTCTGGGTTGCTCCATAGCAGGGACTGGATGCAAAGGCTCATTATGTAGTTGGATAAAAGTCAATGTGGATCAGACTGGTTTTTACAGGGTGAAATATGAGGAGGAACTTTCAGCTGCACTTAGAAGTGCGATAGAAAAGAAACATTTGTCTGCAACTGACAGATTCGGTAATCATTTGTTTATGCACACACTTGCTTATCTATTTGATAGTTAAATGTTAGTGTTTAGTTTTCGTCATTTTTTTTATGTTTAACAGGAGTTTTGGATGATTCATTTGCCCTTTCTATGGCGTGCCAGCAGTCGTTTGCTTCACTGCTTACCTTGCTGGGTGCTTACAGAGAGGAACTTGACTGTACAGTGCTGTCAAATTTGATTCCTGTAATGATAACCTCTGCTTTGTGTTTATGTTACTGTATTTGTGTCCTTGGTCTGATTTTGGTCTTCACTTTTCACAGATAAGTTATAAGCTGGCAACAATTGCCGCTGATGCTGTGCCCGACCTACTGGATCTCATTAATCAATTATTTATTGGCCTTTTTCAGTACTCTGCAGAGTAAGCTTGTTCTGTTTTAACTACTCAAGTACCTAGGTAGATAAGCTTGTCTGATGATAATGAAGTTGGTGTTAGGATTTTGGCTCGTCAAATATGTCCTAGTTGGTTTAGGATTGTTTTAGGAAAATTAGAGGTATACCAATTCTTGTCCTAGAGGGATTAGGAAAGAATTTCAGTTTTCCTTATTCAATTCAGGTTTGGATTTCTAGAAGTCTATTAGGATTTGGATAAGTGTAATTTCCTAATCTACTTAGGAATAGGAATCCAATCAGCCTTGGGACATGTAAGCCAACTCTATATCTATAAATAGGGTGTGGCAAGGCTTATTTTAAAGAGAGGAAAAACAGCCAGAGACAACCAAGAGTTTTGAGATTAGTTCTAGGGTTGCAAAAGTTCTGTAATCTCTATTATTAATCAAAGGAGCGGTGATTTCTCTACCTAGAGAAATCACAACTGGACGTAGGCAAAAGTTCTGCCGAACCAGTATAATTCTTGTGTGTTTCTAAGTGTTTTAATATTTGCTAGTTTAGTCTATTGCCGTCGGTTACATCAAAGAACAAGATCTAGAAGGCAAGTTATTTAACAAGTGGTATCAGAGAGCCTGGTTAAGGGGTTCTACGATGTCTAAAGGGAAGATGAATGCGGATCTAGGACCTGCGTTAAAGCCTTTTGACGGCAAGGATGACTTCACGGATTGGCAAAGGATGATGAAGAACGTACTGATACAGCAAGATTTGGATGATGCACTCAGCGGTGAGAAGCCGACAGGCATGACAGACGCAACATGGACCAAGGTTCTCAAGAAGGCCAAGAGTTCCATCGAGATCCATCTCACAAGATCAGTTCGGTCACACATCACAGAAAAGATGACTGCCCAAGAAGCATGGGAAAAGTTGGAGAATGTTTATATGGGCAAAACCGTGTCCAATAAACTTTTTTCTAAAGGATGAACTATTCGGACTTCGACTAGAAGAAGGAGGTGATATTGAAGATCACGTATGCAGGTTTCAAAATTGCATAACTAATCTTCAAAAGGTCGAAGAAACTTACAAAGATGATGATATGGCTATCATCTTGCTGAGGTCTCTACCTTCGTCTTTCAAGCACTTTCGAACAACTCTAATGTTTGGAAAAGAGTCCCTGAAGCTTGAAGACGTGATTCAAGCTCTTCAGTCATATGCTAAACTAGATGATATAACTGAAAGCTCTCAAGGCCTTTATGCCAAAGGCAAGGAGAGGGGGCGGGAAAAGACGAAGGAAGACAAAACAGGCAACAGAGGTAGGTCAAAATCCAAGAAGAAAAAGGAAAAGAAGGAAGGTTGCTTCGAATGTGGTTCAGCCGATCATTGGAAGAGGAACTGCAAGATTTGGAAAGAGAAGAAAGCCAAGAGGGAAGGAAGCTCGGGTTCAGCTAGTGCAGTCACCGAGCATGAGAGTGACGGGGAGCTTCTTTCAGTAACATCAGGCTCCAAGGCTTTCACAAATTGGATTTTGGATACCGGATGCACTTTTCATATGTGTGCAGTAAGAGAATGGTTCGATACTTACAAAGAAGTCAGCAGCGGGGAAGTTTTAATGGGGGACGATTCTTCATGTCCTGTAAAAGGAATCGGCACTGTTCAAATCAGAATGTTTGATGGGATGATACGAGTTTTGGGGAACGTTAGATATGTCCCTAGACTAAGAAAGAATTTGATTTCCTTGGGTACTTTAGATGAGGCCGGCTATGAGTACGAGTCTAAAAAGGGAAGACTCAGGGTAGCCAAAGGATCACTGGTGGTAATGCGGGGTGACCTACAACCCAATAAACTGTATAAGTTAATTGGGACCACTATAGTTGGGGGAGCAGCTGTTTCTGTAAATCAAGGTATAGAAGACAAGACTGAACTCTGGCATCATAGGCTCGGGCACATAAGCCAGAAAGGGTTGCAAGAATTACACAAGCAAGGCCTGTTGGAAGGCGTGTCATCTTGCAAACTGGACTTTTGTGAATATTGTGTTCTTGGAAAGCAAAGGAAGGTATCATTCACGAGTAGCAGTGCAGATAACCGAAGCAAGGAGCAACTCAGCTATATTCACTCAGATGTTTGGGGCCCTGCACCAACCAAATCAAATGGTGGAGCCAGGTATTTTGTTACTTTCATGGATGATTTTTCTAGGAAGGTTTGGGTTTATTTCATGAAGCAGAAATCCGAGGTTTTTGCAAAGTTCAAGGAATGGAAAACAGAAACCGAGAATCAAACTGGAAGAAAGATCAAGTACCTGAGAAGTGACAATGGAGGTGAATATACAAGTAATGAGTTTACTGATTACTGCAAGGAAGAAGGCATCACAAGGCACTTCACAGTAAAGAAGAATCCCCAACAAAATGGAGCTGCTGAGAGGATGAACCGAACTCTCATGGAGAGAGAGAGGAGCATGCGATTTCATGCAGGATTGCCTGATAGTTTTTGGGCAGAAGCTGTTAATCATGCAAGTTATTTGATTAACAGATCACCATCTACAGTTCTTGGTTTTAAGAGTGCAGAAGAGGTATGGTCTGAGAAGCCAGTGGACTATTCCAAGCTCAGGGTATTCGGCTGTAGTGCTTATGCACATATTCCAAGCGATGAAAGGTCCAAGCTCAAACCAAAGTCTACACATTGCATATTCTTAGGTTTTGAAAAAGGAGTGAAGGGTTTCAAGCTTTGGGATATCAACAACAGGAAAAAGGTTGTCAGCCGAGATGTTGTCTTTAATGAGACAACCATGCCTCTGAATAAAGTCGAGAGCAGTAGGGAGAAGAAAGACGATGCTGAAATTGAAGCAACAAAGATTCCGTTAATCAGTTCAGACGAAGAAGCTCAGGTGGAGCAAATTGAGCAAGATGCCGAATCTGATGGTTTTGAGGAAGAAGATGAGCATCAGCGTCGTTCACCAGTTAGGAATCAGGTGGAGCAAGAAATAGGGCAGATTGAAGGCACTCTAATCCGCCAGACATCCCAAAGGGTTAGAACTCCAACCAACAATCCACCTGCATTCCAGAGATGCATAGCACTGGACAAACCTAATCGGAATAAGAAGAAACCTGACAGGTTTGGGTTTGACCAAGACGAAGTTAATTATGCTCTCAACATTAGTCAAGGAGATCCAACTACTTATCGAGAAGCTATAGCAAGTGATGAGCGAGATAGTTGGATAAGTGCTATGACAGAAGAAATGGAGTCTCTTTACAAGAACTCTGTTTGGGAGTTGGTTCCTAAGCCCAAAGACAGAAAGCTAGTTGGATGCAAGTGGGTATTTAGGAAAAAGGAAGGACTACATGAACAAGATGCCGTGAGATTCAAAGCAAGGCTCGTGGCTAAAGGGTACTCACAAAAGGAAGGAGTGGATTATGATGAGATCTTTTCACCCGTAGTTAAGCATACTTCTATCAGATTGCTTTTAGCAATGGCAACTCAGCATGACATGGAGATTGAGCAGATGGATGTGAAGACAGCGTTTCTTCATGGGGATCTAGAGGAGACAATTTTCATGGCTCAACCAGAAGGGTTTGTTGAATATGGGAAAGAAAACCTAGTATGTCAGCTAAAGAAGTCCCTGTATGGCCTGAAACAGTCTCCAAGACAGTGGTACAAGAGGTTCGATTACTTCATGCTGAAAATCAATTTTAGAAGATGTTTATATGACTGTTGTGTGTACTATCATGTGTTCCAAGATGGGATGGTCATATTGCTGTTGTTATATGTGGATGACATGCTAATCGCTTGTCAAGACAAGTCTAGAATTCAAGACTTGAAGAAGATGTTGAGCGAGGAGTTCGACATGAAGGATCTAGGTGCAGCACAGAAAATCCTTGGCATGGAGATTCAGAGAGATAGGACCGCTGGAAGGATCTGGATATCACAAGCCAAGTATATTCAGAAGGTTCTTGAGAAGTTCAACATGCAAGAAGCAAAGGCAGTTTCGACTCCTTTGGCAGCTCACTTCAAGTTAAGTGGGCAACAGTGTCCTAAGTCCGAGGAAGAGCAGCAAGTAATGGAGAAGGTTCCTTATGCTAATGTCGTGGGCTGCCTTATGTATGCAATGGTATGCACACGTCCAGACATAGCTCAAGCAATCAGTGTCGTTTCCAGATACATGGGAAATCCAGGAAAGCAACATTGGGATGCAGTCAAGTGGATTTTGCGTTATTTGAAGGGTTCTTGGCGACAAAGGATTATGTTTGAGAAGCAAAAAGAAAATGCAAGGGTGTTGGGATATGTGGATGCTGATTATGCAGGGGACTTGGACAAGAGAAGGTCAACTTCTGGTTATGTGTTTACATGCGCAGGAGGACCGATCAGTTGGAGGGCACTACTGCAACCAATTACAGCTTTGTCGACCACAGAGGCAGAGTATATTGCATTGGCCGAAGCTGGAAAGGAAGCAATTTGGCTTAATGGCTTGGTAAGTCAAATGGGAATCACCCAAGATTTTGTGAAGCTGAAGTGTGATAGTCAAAGTGCCATTCACTTGGCAAAGAATCAAGTTTTTTCTGGAAGATCAAAGCACATTGAAGCAAGATATCACAGAATCAGAAATTGGGTGGAGTCTAAGGAGATTTGGATTGAAAAGATTCATACGGATGACAATGCCGCAGATTTCCTTACAAAGATAGTGCCGGCCAAGAAGTTCAAGCATTGCTTGAACTTGATCAATCTCGTTGATTGATTAAAGTGGAGCACCTCCTCACTTGAGGTGCAATGAGGCAAGAAGAAGATTGCCAAGGTGAAGACTCTTGAAGATTTCCAGAGCTGCTTCAAGGAGGTTCAAAGATACTCTGGGGTGCAACGATCAAGACTTGGTTTGACTCACCAAGGTGGAGATTGTTAGGATTTTGGCTCGTCAAATATGTCCTAGTTGGTTTAGGATTGTTTTAGGAAAATTAGAGGTATACCAATTCTTGTCCTAGAGGGATTAGGAAAGAATTTCAGTTTTCCTTATTCAATTCAGGTTTGGATTTCTAGAAGTCTATTAGGATTTGGATAAGTGTAATTTCCTAATCTACTTAGGAATAGGAATCCAATCAGCCTTGGGACATGTAAGCCAACTCTATATCTATAAATAGGGTGTGGCAAGGCTTATTTTAAAGAGAGGAAAAACAGCCAGAGACAACCAAGAGTTTTGAGATTAGTTCTAGGGTTGCAAAAGTTCTGTAATCTCTATTATTAATCAAAGGAGCGGTGATTTCTCTACCTAGAGAAATCACAACTGGACGTAGGCAAAAGTTCTGCCGAACCAGTATAATTCTTGTGTGTTTCTAAGTGTTTTAATATTTGCTAGTTTAGTCTATTGCCGTCGGTTACATCAAAGAACAAGATCTAGAAGGCAAGTTATTTAACAGTTGGGGCGGGAGCAAAATGTTTAACACTCCCAAACTATCCACAAAATTTTCTACTTTCTTTTTATTTATTTTTGTGTACAGTTTAGTTTATTATTTATGTTGAATTTGTTTACAGGAAGCTTGGTTGGGAGCCTAAACCCGGTGAGAGCCATTTAGATGCAATGCTGAGAGGAGACATTTTGACTGCCCTTGCTGTGTTTGGGCATGACCTGACGATAGATGAAGCAAGTAGGCGTTTTCATGCCTTCTTAGATGACAGAAATACGCCACTCCTTCCTCCTGACATAAGAAAGGTTGTCTCGATGTAAACCATACATTCAACCTTTTAAATTCCCTCTTGATGTTCATTATTAACTATTGTTGCAGGCAGTGTATGTGGCTGTAATGCAAAGAGTAAGCATGTCTAAAAGATCGGGCTATGAATCTCTTCTTAGAGTTTACAGAGAGACTGATCTAAGGGAGGAGAAAACCCGCATTTTAAGTAATACTGATTAATTTAGTAAAAGTATGCTGAACATCTGAGTCTGTTATGCCAGGGAGTAATGCATCTCTTTGTGCCTGTAGGATCACTAGCGTCTTGTCCAGATCCCAACATAATACTGGAATTTCTCAACTTCTTATTGTCTTCTGAGGTACTTGCAATGTTGTGTTATATATATATATATATATATATATATATATATCTATCTTAATTGCTGGTTGAAAATTTGAATTAAGAGTATCTCAAAGCTTGATGGTACTTAGTTTGATGATCCCATCTATGTAGGTCCGCAGGCAGGATGCAGCCCTCGGGCTTTCTGTTAGTAGTAAAGGGCGGGAAACAGCTTGGACATGGCTGAAGGCATCTCTCGAGCACTAGTTTTTAATGACATTGATGAATTTATTTTCCCCACTATTGTTAACATGATTCATTTTGCCCTTTGGATGATCCGAAATACAGGATAACTGGGAGCGCATCTCAGAGACCTGGAGTTCTGGATATCTGCTTCGCTTTGTCAGTGCCATCATTTCACCGGTTCGTTCTCTCTCTTGAAATGTTTGTTCTTGTCTTTGAGGCCTTTTGTTTTGTTCTGATGCCTTTGCATTTTGTTCAATGCTTGTGCCTTCATTGTACTTTTGGTGGTTTTACCTTCCTCTGCAGTTGGCTTCATTCATGAAGGTTAAGGAAGTAGATGAGTTCTTCAAAGTCCATCCCAACCCCTCCATAACAAGAACATTGAAGCAGAGCATTGAGTGGGTACAGATTAACACCAAGTGGGTTCAGAGTGTTGGGAGTGAGAAAAATCTTGCCCATATTGTGAAGGAGTTGGCTCACAGGAAATACTAGGCTCCATATGTAAGCTTCTTCTGTTATGGAAGGAGAAATCTGGATTTTGAAAGTTATGTAACTTAAATTTCCCAAACGAAGAATAAATGTACTGAGTATTGAACACAATGTGACAAAGATAGCACGGTGATTTACAATGGCAATTTAATTTTCGACTATGCTTCCTTTTATTGAAAGAATACGATTTGCCCATATGGAAGACAAATGGGCTACACTACATTAAATCGTGCCAGTTGTTTAGTACTACAAAGGCATACCCAGGACAAAAAAAAAACCATGGGTTGGATTTCAAGTGTTCTTCATGAAAACTGTTCTGATTCACGTAAAGAAATTTTTCGGTGTGACCGCACTTAAAAATCAATGCCACATTTAAACCTAGTTGGTTAATTCTTAGCAGACAACGTTTATGGTTGTTAATTTTGACAATAGTGGCAAGGTTTTGAGGAACAATGGAGTGCAAGGTTTTGAAATCTATGGATTTCAAATAATTCAATGCATATGTATTCATTGAATCTTATTTCACACACATTCAATCTTATTTTATTATTATTTTTTTAATAACAAATTTAGCATTTGTGTCAAATCCATCCATCCAAACGTAACCTAGGATTAAGGGGGGTGAGCAAGTGTGATGTCCAAAAAATGTGTTTTTTTATTTATAAAATACGAAAACGAAAATTACAAAGCAAAATCTTTAGGGCAAGGAAGCCCAAAAAGGTCAAAATCAGAGAAATACCATTGAGAGGTGCAAACCATGCTCCCAACAAACAACAGAAGCCAAGAGGGCATGGCCGACATAAAGCATATAATAGTACTACAAAGAAAAATACTTGAAATGAAAGGCAGGTGGGCGAAGCAGTCGTGGGTGGGCGAGGAGGTTGCAGAGAGAATTAGGAGTCGATGGCTCAGAGGAGAGAGAGAGGCTACGTGGTTTTCTTTAAAATCAGGGAAAAAAATTATTATTAATAAAAAATAATATTAAATAAAATATTAAATATTAAAATAAATAAAAAGGACCCGCTTAGCTCCTTTTTGAAAAAAATAATAATAATTTTAGGTATAACCGTAGAAAAAATTTATTATTGTTGAGAAATATACATATTTAAAGAGTATAGCCGGTCGGCTATACTTCTGACAAATACTCGAAATTTTTTTGTATAGCCGAGCGGCTATACTTCTTGCCAGTCGGCTGTACATTTTAAATATATACGAATATTGATATATATATATATATATTTACAGATTATAGCCGCCGGCTATACCTCTTAAATATATTCGAATATTTTAATAGTATAGCCGCTCGGCGATACTTCTTGAATATATTTGAATATTTAAATCGGTGTCACTCTCACCTTGCACTCAAACCAATTGTCACATGTTTCATTCCAACTGAGACAAGCCTTTCCATACATTTGACAAACATGGACAACTCCTCCAAAGTCAACAATTTGTCGCCAATTTTCAACATGGAGATCGAGAGAGCAGTTCAACTTCGAAGTCCTCGGCACTTGTTCATGGAGATGGAGCAGTTCAAAGGCCACCCTCGCCTGCCGAAATGGTACGACATAACGCTCAAACCGGACCTCACCGCCTGCAGTTTCGGCGGCTCCGTCGCAGTCCACCTCGACATCGTCTGCCGACCTCTCCGTCGATGCCGCTTCCGTGTCTTTCGCTTCCTCCAAGGTACCACTGACTGATCCCTGCTGCCATGCCATGCATGATGCATTTGCTTGCTTGCTTTGGACAATTGGACAATTGTACTCAAGAAAGAAAAAGAAAAAATAATGAAATGATTTCTGAGAGCAGGTAATTTTCAAGCCTTGGAAAGTTGAGACATTTGAAGAAGATGGGATTTTGGTTCTGGAGTTTGGGGAGACGCTGCCGATTGGTTCGGGAGTTTTGGGCATTAGGTTTGAAGGAATTTTGAATGACAAGATGAAGGGATTCTACAGAAGGTGTGTTCTTTGAATTCTGGATTCCTTACAACTTACACAGTCAATATTAATTACACTTCAATGGCTAAACTTTGGTTCGTTCATTATATGCAGTACATATGAGCATAATGGTGAGAAGAAAAATATGGCAGTTACGCAGTTTGCACCGGTTGATGCCAGGCGGTGCTTTCCCTGCTGGGATGAACCTGCTTGGAAGGTTGCTCTGTCTAACAAACTCAGTTCAATTAAATATTGATTTGTATTTGTATCTTGTGATTCTGTTGAAAGCAATTCTGGATGCTTCACATTGTTCTAATTGCATCTTTGAGTCTCCTCGGAAGAAAGAGATACGTTGTTTATGATGGTAGTTTACTATAGATGAGAAATCAATCTTCCGGTTGTGGTTAAATTCTTGAACTTCTAGAGTTTGAATTGACCCCGTTTATCCTTATCGGAACTTTGATTGATTGGCAGGCTACATTCAAGATTAGATTGGATGATGTTCCATCTGAATTAGTAGCTCTTTCCAACGTGCCGATTGTAGAAGAAAAAGTGGACGGACATCTGAAGACAGTTTCATTTCAAGAATCACCAATCATGTCTACATATTTGGTGGCCGTTGTTGTTGGGTTGTTTGATTATGTTGAAGATCATACATCTGATGGTAAATTCATACACATTGTCCTTTGTTCTGTGTGTATGCTTGTACAACCTTTCTTCATGGTGTCACATTTCATCTCACCACAGGGGTCAAAGTTCGGGTATATTGTCAAGTTGGTAAGGCAAACGAAGGGAAGTTTGCTTTGGACGTTGCTGTCAAGACTCTTGAATTTTACAAAGAGTACGTTTTTGGATCACAAAACTACAAAAAATTACTAATCATTCATATTCAAATTCTAAATTACACTTGATGCATGTTGTGGATTATTAGTTTCTCTAGTTTTTTTTTCTTTTCCCCTTCCCTGCTAATTCTGCATTATTATATTTGGCATTCAAAAATGAAATCATTGACGAAATGTGACAGTTACTTTGCTGTGCCATACTCTTTGCCCAAATTGGATATGGTTGCAATCCCTGATTTTCCTGGCGCCATGGAGAATTATGGTTTAGTTACATACCAAGAAACCACTTTGCTCTTTGACGAACAGCACTCTGCAGCTGCGAACAAGCAATGGGTAATGTACACATCTTGAATGTAACTCAAGCTTTCAGAATTTAGCTTGGTTCATATGATATGTAGCTGTTGTTTTTTAACCATAAAGAATTGTTTTTCATTTGGCTTTTCTGAAAGGTTGCAACTGCCGTGGCACATGAATTGGTACACCAGTGGTTTGGCAATCTTGTAACGATGGAATGGTGGACACTTTTATGGCCGAAGGAGGGATTTGCAACATGGGTAACACTTCATTTTATTTGTTGTACTTGCTATTTTATATGCTTTTGGACTTAAAGTAAGTATTTTAACACCATTAGGTGAGCTATTTAGTTACTGATAGCTTGTTCCCAGAGTGGAAAATGTGGGCAAAGTTTCTTGATGAAATTACTGGGGGTCTTAAGCTGGATGGGCTTGAAGGATCTCACCTCATTGAGGTACTTCTACGCAGAATCAATCTTTCATGGGTTTTATTTTAGTTCTGTTGTCCAAACTTTTGCTGTTTTGCAGCATCGAACCTGGATAACTTGCATGACAGGCTTCACATAGTAATATTCACCACTATACTTTTCAAGGCATCATTTATTGAAGGGCATTAGTTTATATGTGTTTATGGTATATTATGTTTTAATCTTTCTTCTTTTTGGCCAGGTGGAGATCAATCACGCTGCTGAGGTTGTTGAAATATTTGATGCAATAAGTTATAGAAAAGGAGGTTCTGTTATCCGGATGCTACAAAACTATCTTGGTGCTTCCATGTTAGTCCTTTGGTTTGTTAGCATGTATCCTTGAAGATTGAAGCAACTATCTTATTTTTTAAAAATTTACATTTACGTCATGGAAATTTCCAAAAAATCAAATGCAGGATTTTTAGAGAATAGAGATCTTGAGGAGATTGTTGGATTGTGATGTGAAATACTGAACTAGCTCAATATCTAGTCTTTTGGTCCAATTGTGTGGAATTTAATCAGTTAATGAAATAGGGTAACCATGAATTTGGGGTTGGGCTGATCTTGACCCTTAAATGGTTAGCATGGTCCAGACTGAGCTACGGTCTTATTTGTGTATGCCTTAAGTTATACAGTTAATGAAATAGGGTAACCATTTAATAATATAAGAGGAAGATCATTCTGTTCCTTTGCGAATGATTATATTACATAGGTGATTGTAGAGAACACCAATACATGAATTCCGTTATATTATGCTCTAGAAATCAACCTTGAATCATGATAACAGACCAGAATTAGGACCAAGACAGTCAGTTCCTTCATACATGAAAAAATTACAGAGTTAATTCCATTTCTCCTGAAAGTTACAGAGTTAATTGCATGTTTTTTTTTCATGCCTCCAGAGGTCACTTGCTGCATACATAAAAAAGCATGCTTTCTCAAATGCAGAGACAGAAGATTTATGGGCTGCCCTTCAGGAGGGATCTGGTGAACCTGTGAACAAGCTAATGAATTCATGGACACAGCAAAAAGGTTACCCGGTTATCTCTGTCAAAGTCAAAGATCAGAAATTGGAGTTTGAGCAGGTTTCCTCATGTTTGCCTCCTTTAAAATCTTGTTTGATTATCAAGTGAAATTCTGAAAGAAAGCTCTAATGCATATATACGCTGTTAGATCATTTATTTAGGTTTTAATCCATGGTATATAAGGAAAGATCTAATCTAATAAGTGGCAGACACAATTCTACTTGAGTGGTTCCCAAGGTGATGGGCAGTGGATTGTGCTGATAACATTATGCTGTGGCTCATATGACGTACGCAAGAGTTTCCTACTACAAAAGAAGTTTGAAAGTTTTGATGTAAAGGAATTTCTAGGTTGCTCTGTAGCAGAGACTGGATGTAGAGGCTCATTATGCAGTTGGATAAAAATCAATGTGGATCAGACTGGTTTTTACAGGGTGAAATATGAGCAGGAACTTTCAGCTGCACTTAGAAATGCTATAGAAAAGAAACACTTGTCTGCAACTGACAGATTTGGTAATCATTTTTTTATGCACACTTGCTTATCTCTTTGTTAGTGAAAATGGTAGTATTTAGTTTTCGTCTTTTTTTCCCCTTTGATGGGAATTTTGGATGATTCATTTGCTCTTTCTATGGCTCGCCAGCAGTCATTTGCTTCACTGCTTACCTTGCTGGGTGCTTACAGAGAGGAACTTGACTGTACAGTGCTGTCAAATTTGATTCCCATAATGATTAACTCTGCTTTGTGTTTATGTTACTGTATTTGTGGCCGTGGTCTGATTTTGGTCTTCACTTTTCACAGATAAGTAATAAGCTGGCAACAATTGCCGCTGATGCTGTGCCTGAGCTACTGGATCTCATTAATCAATTCTTTATTGGCCTTTTCCAGTACTCTGCAGAGTAAGTTTTTTATTTTTCAACTACCCAAGTACCTAGGTAGATAAGCTTGTCTGATGACAAAGCAGTTAGGACTGGAACAAAATGTTTAACACTCCCCAACTATCCACAAGATTTGCTTCTTTTTTATTTATTTTTGTTAACAGTTTATTATCTATGCCTGAATTTGTTTACAGGAAGCTTGGTTGGGAGCCTAAACCCGGTGAGAGCCAATTAGATGCAATGTTGAGAGGAGACATTTTGACTGCCCTTGCTGTGTTTGGGCATGGCCTGACGATAGATGAAGCAATTGGCTTCCTCTGCAGTTGTCTTCATTTGAGAAGGTTAATGAAGTAGATGAGTTCTTCAAATTCCATCCCAACCCGTCGATAACAAGGACCTTGAAGCAGAGCATTGAACAGGTACAGATTAATGCCAAATGGGTTCATAGTGTTCAGAGTGTTCAGAGTGAGAAACATCTTGCCGATGTTGTGACGGAGTTGGCCACAGGAAATACTAGGCTCTATGTTTAGCTTGTTCTGTTATGAAAGGCCAAATGGGTTCAAAGTATTCATTTTCTCATCCATGCAATTTGATAAAAGGCCAACGTTGAACACAATGTGACAAAGACATCATGATTTATAAGTGGCAATCTAATTTCCAACTATGCTATCTTTTATAGAATGAATACGATTTGTTGACGTGGAAAGCAAATGGGCAACATTCGTATCATAAATACCGCTAGTCTGCATATGATATGGGGGTTAAACTTTCTTGCAAACCATCATATGTGCTGCTGCCTTCCCTCAGCACAAGAGGTCTAGAAAAATTGCAAGGCCCTCGTTGTTCATAGACTATCTTCCCACAACACAAACTTGCCTATATTAACTTTGCTTTCCATTAAGGGTGATTGTTGAGGGGCAGTGTCCTTGTGTTTGAGGGTAGGCTGGGTGGAGAGTGAATCATTTGGAAATTACGCCTAGCTGGTTAATCCTCAGCAAACAAGGTTTAAGGTTGTTAATTTTGACAATGGTGACAAGGCTTAAAGGAGCTAGGGATTTTGGCGAGGTGCTGGTGGTGTCGGCTGGGAGTTTACTGGTGGTTGGCTTCTAGGAGTTCTTGGATCGAATGGATTTGGTGCATTCTAGGATCGTCGGTGTTGGTTCGATTTTTGGTGGATAGGGTTGTTGGTTGCGATCTATGTTCCCATCTCTTTGGGTTTTTTTGTGGTGGGGATTTGGGATCCGAGTAGTGATAGAGCCTTTACTGTTGTTGAGCAATATTTTGCCTAGTTTGATGAAAATGTGACAGAGGCCAACCACGAGGGGTCTCCCAATTCTCCCTAATTTATTTGCTAAAACGTTTGTGGGCTTGGCATTCGATAAACGTTCCTATTATGATGCTCTTATGTTGGAAGTTCGTCAGGCTAAGAGGCCAATCTTGATTCCCTATGCGCTATCGGGTAGGGCCTAGATTAAGATTCATGGAGTTGGTATTGGTATATCTGCTGACTATGTTGTGACGCTCACTACACGTTGTTCTGTACATCGAACTATGCGTGCATAGGAGTTTTTCTTTGACAGTATTATGTTGTGGTGGGTTGTTCTTTGCTGCACTTGGAGTTGTGCTTTGGTATTGGTACTTCTACTGGCTATGTTCTAACGCTCACGACACGTTGTTCTATACATCGAAATATGCGTGCATAGGAGTTTTTCTTTGACAGTATTAAGTTGTAGGGAGATGTTCTTTGTAAGGCTTGGAGTTGTGCTTTGTTTCGTCTGTATTCTTTCAGGTTCTTTGTAGCGGTCCAAAGTGGCCTGTGTTGAACTTTCTTGTTAGTCCATGGCATGTGTGGTACTTTTTCCTACCCTAGAGTTTGTCCCATGTGGTTTTCCTAAGAAGATTTTAACGAGGCCACTGTATTCGTGCCGGTCTTTGTATGCTTTTTTGGCTTGTGAATGAAATCCTATTCTTAAAATAAATAAATAAAGGTTTAGAGGAGCCAAGATGACATGTTTTGGTCAGAGAGGGAAAGAGTTTCGCTAAGGATCTTTGGTTGCTTCGACCAAAACATCGTACTTGTATTACTTTGCAAGAGTAAGAAAGTGATAATTCAGGTGATTGACTAATCTAAAATACCAAAAGACCAAAAAAGTCAGATACACATGCTGAGAAATTTCATGAGCTCATCAATTTATCTACAAAACTTGTACATTTTTTTCTTTTTTGGTCTGCTTACTTACAAAGTTATATTCCCTTAAACATGTTCTCTTAAATAGTCTACATGTTTGTGATGTTAGAGAGTGGTTGATATGTGTTCCTCCTAGCTCGCGGCAGAATGTGACTCTGGTTCACCCCCCTCCTGCAAAAAACAAACAAACAAACAAAGAACACCATTTTGAGCATTTGAAGCTTTCAGGGTTGGTTTTGGGTTTGCTGTAAATGAATTAAAAAAATCGAATTTGTTGGCCATATAACTTACTAGCTGCATTGAAACTTGGCTGTGCCGAGATGAAGGGCTATCACCAGCTATTAGTGTATGGTGCATTGTGTCTTCAGCAATCCCTTTCAATCTGTTAAGTTCCGGCAGGATAACCTTGCCAAGGTCTGGTCTGTCTTTTCGCCTTAACTCCGAACACTGGAGAGCAAGTTTGGCAAACTTCATGGCTTCTTCAACTGGCCAATCTGGCACAGATGGATCCAACATGTCCTTGAAAGTCCCCTTCTCAATAGCCCTTTCGACATGATGAGTCAATCCCATTGCTGGCTTAGCTGTGATCATTTGTAGAAACATTATCCCAAGTGAGTAAACATCAGACTTCACACCAAGCATGCCTGTTTGCTGATACTCAGGATCTATGTAGCAGAACGTGCCGGCTGTGGATGTCATTCGATATTGTGTCACATTGTCAGCAACAGCTGGGGGCACAAGCCTGGCCAACCCAACATCACTGATCTTGCTCACAAAGTTCCTGTCAATCAAGATGTTGCCAGGTTTTAAGTCACGGTGCACAAGTGGCTCTGGTTTAGCCTGGTGGAGGAAAAGCAAGCCTGTGCCGATTTCAGCTGCAATCCTAAACCTAAGTTGCCAAGAGAGAGGTGGAGAGTTTCCTCTACGAAGGAGACAATCTTCCAAGCTCCCGTTAGCCATGTACTCGTAAACTAGGCATCCATACTCAGGACATGCTCCCAGGAGGAGAACCATGTTCGGATGCCGTATAGAGCTCAGTACTTCAACCTGTTCATGGTCATTAGCACGTCAAAAAAAGAAACACCAATGTTCCACAGCTGAACAAGGTATAAAAATATGTATTTATCATTAAATATTGGTGCATATATGTGGGGAAAATCTCCCTTGTTTAGACAGTCTGGCAAGCCAAGATCCTTTCGAACGAATAGTCCAAATTCGTAGCCTGGTAACATAAGTACCTCTTGGTTAAACTGTGATCTTCCTTGAGCAGCATCAGGGCGTAGAACTTTAATTGCAACAGGTGTATGGTCTAGATAACACCTATATACAGGACCATAACCCCCTTCTCCAATCTTCCGAGATTCTGCAAAGAACTCTGTGGCAGCCTCAATCTCATCAATTGTGTACTTCCTATACCTGACATCCGAATGTTGCAGAGCATTAAGTGCCTTTCTCTTCTCTTCTGATTCTTTGAGTGCCTTCATTTCTGCATTGATTCTTTTTTGTGCTTCCAGTTCTGCAATCCTCTTAGCTGCTTCAGCAGCCTCAATGGCTGCTCTGGACTTAGCTCTCTCCTTTTCAACAATAGCCATTGCAGCTTCCTCAGCTAGATGCGCCTCTTCCAATCTTCTTTCTTCTTCTAATTTCCAGCGCTGGAGTTCTACTGCCTGTAGAATGGATATCTTATAAGAGCTTCCTGTGAAAATCATCAGAGGTGCAATGCTGATAAGATTTATGGTACCTTTTGCTTCGCCGTGAGTGCCTCTTTACAGGCGGTGCTATACATTTCCATAGTTTGCTTGAGCTCCAGCTTTAGCCTCCTCATTTCAGCCTCCACATCTTCCTGTAATTTTGAGTAACACAACCATCTCTATTGTAACAAAAAATTTGGATGCCACTGAGTAATGGGACCTAACACCTACAATCTGTAAATGCAAGTGAAACTTCTCCATACAAAAACTAGTTATAGGATTATGGTCAGGAGCCTCATTGGTCCAATCACACATAATCAATATATTTCAAGTTTTGACACACCTCACCTAAACTTAAGTATATTCAAGCATAAATAATGTATGAGAAAGAAGTACATATTTATCAAATTAAATGACTAGATAAAAAGTCATACGCTTACCATCTGTGATGCAGAGGATAATCGATCACTATCCTGAGAGACAGAAGAGAATGTAGGTGGAGAGGAGCTGACATCCAAGGATCTCCGTCCAAAGTACTGCATAGACTCAAAGCTGTGGTTCAAGTCTATTTCTGTGCTGTTTGACATTCGTGGCGGGGTGATTCTTCCTGAATCTAGGTTGTCATAGAATGCAGGGAATATACGGTCAATGCTTGGCCTTCCAGAGCTAACATAAGATATGTCTGTGTCTGGCATAGGGAGATCTGCATAGGACTTCCCATTTGGCCCTTTCCTAGTGAATGGAGACCTGCTTTCCATAATGACTATATGTTAGTTCTCACAATAATGTAGGTAAAACCAGCTTTATGTTTTATAACACCTTCTTGTCTATCTTCATTGAAAGGGAAACTGAGTGCCACTGACCTGAAGTTTTCCATTTCATCATGGGATTTACGGTGTGGTTCTGGTGGCTTTTCATGTCCTGGTAGAGGATCCAACAATTAAGTTTTACTGAGAAATGTTAGAGCAAAAAGTTAGTGAGGCAGTATTATGCTTAAGGTGCAAGAAACTAACCTTTCATGCCAGACGGAGGGAAGACATAAGGCTCTGACTTTGCGCTTGGGGTATGGCTACGAACTGGGGCTCGTATGGGTGAGATGGATGGGGCAGGACGTGAGGCAGACCTCCTTGATTGAATTTTTCCCTTGGATACAACATATACATTACAAAAATCTGGTGCCCCCTTTGATACGTTTCCTGGAACATCTGAGATTTTGAATCTACAAAAGGTTTTCGAAGATAAGAAAATGTTCTGTGGACTTTCAAGGCCCTTTTATCACATATCCCATTCAACAGTCATGCAACCATCATAACATCCTATAGAATTGTAGAGCCTTCTTTCCAGAATTTGATATTGGTTTTTCCTTTTTTCTTTTTTTTAACTAAGGCTTCAGCAGCTGAGTTAAAAAAGTATATACCTGAGAAAGCCAGTTTTTGCTGAGGCACCAACAACCAAATGCTCGATTGCAGATTGAGTAACATACTCGTTCAATGCTTTTGCTACATCAGAGTCTTCTAGTACAATGTCTTTGCATTGTATCTGATTTCAACAACAAAAACAAAAAAAAAAAAAAAGGAAAATGCCAATGCTCAAAAAGCCTCAACTAATATGGAGGTTCAGATTAAGATCAATAATGCTGGTAGGATTTTGTGTTGCTTACTAACTGAAAAGACAAGCGAACATAATTTCATCACACTCACATTTTTACGTGTACAGTAAACACGAAAAGGAAGGAACAATTCCTTGGTTTGGGGATCAGGGTCTTTGCATACCAAATGTTGGTCCCAATTTGGGTTACTTCCTGCACCCAAAAAGTATGTTGTTATTTTCTGGTGTGCAGAAATTAAGGAACAGAAGAAGAAGAAAAAGAAGAAAAGCATGAAGGATGATATATATATACACACACACACACAGATAATGCATACTTGGGTTGGAAAGAGAAGGTGATTGGGAAAACACAGGAGGTTTGATCTTGACATGGATGAGAAGGACTGTTTGGCCTTGTTTGACAAGACTGTCTATACACCATTTGAGTGCACTCTGGCTGTTTTTGTCCTTGTCTATGGCCAGTGCCACAATCCCATTCCCTCCTTCCTTCTTGTCAACATGATTGTTAGGCAGCCACATTTCTCTCTCTCTCTCTCTCTCTCTCTCTCTCTCTTCTGTTCCTGTGTTGTTTCTTTTTACTCAAACAAAACCAGAACAAGAACAAAAATCTAATGGAAACTATATATCAGTCAAGCCTTAAGATCACAAAATTAATAAAGCGTCGTTTTCACTTTGTCTGAATTCCTCTGTCTCTCTTCTGCAGCAGGGTCCAAAGAGAGACAAAGAAGGATTGTGTTCCAGGTATTTGTGCTGTTGTTTGACCTTAATGTTTCTTATTTTGTTGTTGTTTTCAGCTAGCAGAAACAAGAAATCACTTTTGGCAATGACCAACTAATTTTGATTGTTTTCACTGGTTAATCCATAAATAGCTCTGTCCAGGTTGGGTTATTAATATGAGAGGACCCTCCATCCTTAGCGGATTCTTTTTTTGTGTTTGACCTCTCCCTAAAGCTAATGACTATATATTGTCTCTCTCAGTCAACCCCTCCTGTCCTTCAAATTCTCACCATCTCAGCACTCAGCACAGGGACAAGATTTGAGAAAGTCTTGAGAGCTTACTCATATTTGGAAAATGTCAAAATAGTAATGTTTATCATTCTTAAAAACAAATTGTAATTTTTTTTTTATAGGAACGATATTGAGAGGGGGGGAATCGAACCTACATATTGTGCAGAGGTAAATCATATTAACCACTTGAGCTACAAACAAATTGTAATCTACTGTCACTCACCAATCTCTGTTCATCCCATCCCACCCATCTACTCTTCCGCTCCACAAAAACTTCTTTATCCCTTAAACTCATATTATTCCCAAATTATTGCAACACATCCGCCCCCCAACTTCAACCCTAATTTTTCTTCTTATTTTCTAATTTCAGTAATTTTATAAAAGGGTCCAATTGCATTTTCCTTTTTTTCCTAAAAAATAAAATGAGGGGTTGGTGGCAATGGGTGCATTTTCATCCAGTAACAGTTTTACTAAATCTTTGCTGATAAGGATATCTTATCAACATTTTACAATAACTTCAGCATAGCCAAATTTCAATATTCAATTACTTACACTCACACCTCTCACAATTCAATAAACTTTTTCTTAAAATGACTTCTCTACACAAGTCGGATGAAGATCATAATCACACACACCACAAGAGAATGCCCAGAACCTCCCCTGCTTCTTGCAGTAATCACATACATAAGCTTTGGCCATGTCCAACTTCAGCAAATGGTCATGCTTTATATCCTTCACTTGAGGAGGCAATGCCTCTCCTTCTTTTCTCAAAGCTGCCTCCAGCTCTTTGATCCTGAACTCTGTAAATGGGAAGGCCTTGGCACCATACAAGGAGATCATGGCCTTCCCATTTGTGCTAATAGCCTTCCCATCTGGTCCAATCAGAACCAAAGCCGGAATCACTTTAATGTCGAAAATTCTGCAAAGGTCTTGTCTTGTTTTATCCTGGTATGGGATGGCAAGCCATGGCATGCTGCTTATGTTGAACTCGAACTCTTTGAGGTCTCGGTCTGTGGAGACTAGAATGATTTCGAAGTCTTGACCACTGGAGGCCATGAGCTCGTTGTATGCTTCTATAAGTCTGGAAGTGAAGGCGCGGCAAGGAGGGCTCCAATGTGCACCAAAGTAAAGGCCTATGGTCTTACCAATAAGTTTGGACACTGATATCTGCAGATGAGCAATCATATATGTCAGTTGTCGACAAAGTAAGCCACAAAAAATTTAAGAATTGAAAGTAGCAAAAAAACTACCTCTCTACCATCACTAGACATGACATAGTTTCGTCCTTGATAAGCCAAAAGCTCTTCTAGTTTTCCCCCTTTGCGCTTCGCTTCGTCAGCAGCCTTTAGTTCTTCTCTTCTTTTCTTAGTGAAAGGAAATGCCTCAGCTCCATAGTCTTCAATCAGTCCAACCAAGTCTTCCTCAACTGATATTCCATCTGAACTTAAAGAAATGAGTGATGGGATGCGATCGACGTGGTACAGGTCACTCAATCGTTTATGCAGGTTTGCATCAAATGGGACTGTCAGCCATGGCATGCACTTGAAGTGTTCATTGAATTTTTCCTCATCGCAGTCGAAGGAGACAAAGATAATCTCAAACTCTTTACCTTCCATTTTAAGCACATCATAAAGCCTCACCAGCTGAGGGGTAAGAGCCTTGCAAGGCCTACACCAATTTGCTGAGAAGAAGAGGCACACTGTCTTCCCATTACATGATGACAAGGGGACCTAACCTCATAATCGAAAAACAAGATTACGCTTTACTTATCATAACAGAGATTAGAAATTCACCTCTGAAATTGAAGAGACATCCTTTTATAGCCAAAAAAGGGGTTTCTATAGACCAACTTAAAACTCATGCTCCCATATTTTCAGGTGGTTGGGGCACCAGAACACGTATAGTTCCATGAAACTAAAATCTTTTCGAAACCCAGCAACCAAAGAAAAATATTTATGAAAAAAAAAATACTGATTGAAACAAGAGAAGGAAGAAGGAGAAGCTTTTGAAGACTACCTTTCTGTCACCAGATAGAAGGAACTCAACTCCTTCAGATTCGAGGACGGTTGCTATATTGCTGCTAGGCACTGCCATCAGAAACTACAAGCAAAGTATGGCCTCCACCCTTCTTTTATATTTCCTAAAACACAATGATCAACAAGGAAACAGAAAGAAAGAGTGACATTCACAAAAGTAGCTAGACTTGCTGCAAAAGAATATTTGATTTGTATTATGCATGCAATCAAAGCTACAAACTTTGGGAGGTGTAGATGCTTCATATATATATTCTTCTACAAGGGAAATCTAAAACGTTTTCAACAATTGTATCAATTCGCAGTCGATTATTCTCCCAAAATATTCCATAAAATAAAGGAAAAGATATGAGGATGCCTTTTAAACCGTCTATATACACATGTTAATGTCAACCTTGGCTTAGCAGCCACGACGCTACCTTGTTGGCAATATTATTATTCTCTCTTTTATAATCGTCCATTTAATCAAGTTTGATTTGTTTGGCAACTCATTTGGGCATGTAGGCAAAGTAAGGAATCATCCAGTAAGAATCAGGGCATGCTCTTTATTCCAACTCAAAGTTGACTAACTGGATGTGATCATTATGTGATTTCCCCTTTAGACAAATCAGAAAACTTATTAGTTAAAATTGCTTCTTCACTCCATAAACTTAGTATTGTCACAAGAGCTATGTTGACAGTCATCCACGCATGTGTAGGCTTGTGTCCACCATTGATGTGCGTGTGTGACAGCCACCTATACATGCACATGTAGACGACTGACTTTAGCATATTCGATGGTCATACTTTAAACATGTAATAGCAATTACTCCAATTTCGTTGATCATCGTGGATTGTTAATGAGCAAAAACAAAAGATTATGGAATTCCCAATAATAACACGAACTCCTCAGAAAGTTGAAATCGATCAGAGTACAGCAAAGGAGTACCTGAGACTTCAGTTCAGGATTGGATAATCTTCTTGAGAGAGAGACAGAGGGAGATTATATATATTCCCTATTTCTGGCTAGAACCCTTTGCTTGCTCGTGCATGAGAATGGTCACAATAGAATATTTAAGCAGATGGACACAACCCACAGGGAGAGAGCTGGAAAAGGATCACAAATTCCAAAGAATAAAAAGAGAATACAAGCGCAGGGAACAAACTCAAAGGAAGGATTGATAGATAATATGTGGGAAAGGTATATCCCACTTTGCAGATATTAGATTCTCACCTTTAGCCCTCTTCCCATGTTCTTACACAAGGGTGGAATATTTTTATTTTTTTTAAATATAAAATTTGACTGAGGAATTAAAAAAAAAATTATTTAAAAAATGATATAAGTCGCATTCAAGCATATTTGATAAAATAAAAAATTAAAGTCCCCGTCCATTTGAATCGGAATAGATAAGGTAGGCGGATATCAAGGCCTGATTCGACCAACGGCATGACAATTACATTGAACTCATCAAAAGGGAATGGAACCTCTTGCGGGCCAGACGGGTACGGTTGATATTGCAGGTTGTATGTAGAACCGTGTGGGCGAGTCTCAATTGATATACGTAAAAATCCAAATCACATCAATGATTGGAAATCGCTCACTTGCGCATGGACGACTGCCTTAGCATTACACATGCAACAAATTAACAAAATTCCTTATTATACATCATCTTATGCCAAAATCAGATGTCACCATTGAACATAGCTTTGTTCTTACAGTTTACAGTGAAAACATTAATCTTGAAATAACCAGTCACTAATCACTACAACACAAATCAATGATACAGTCGATGGATTACAAGGCAGCAATACAGTGGTCAATGCTGATGGACTAATTACTGGTTAATTAAAATCATTTAGATTGGAATTTCAAATCATGATGAAGGAACTTCATGATTTACACAAAAATGTGTCATTTTGAAATGGTTCACTTTTTCCTTCTTGAAGAAGCTCTACTAAACATTTCTCTGATGTTATGTGATTCTGTCTCCACTTTGGGCTTCTTAGCTTGCCTTCCACCTCTGGTAGTCTTATTGTCACTCTTACTCTTTTCCTGACAAATTACAATGCGTGTACAAAAAGACCCATCAGAATGAACCAAAATTGTCTGGTCATGAGATATGGAAAGCATTTATCAACTCTAACTATTTAGTTTTGAAACACTCAGGAAAACATTTGCGTGCGGGCATATTTAGTTCCTGGGAAATAGTCCAGGCTCCACAACTGCACCAAACAGTTTTTCATTTATTCCAATTTATAGAGAGAAGTGGCCCTATGTCTGGGAGGCATACCTGTGAGCCATTGCATTCTGCGGCAGTCGGGAGAATTTCGATATCTGACATTTTTCTTGTTGCCTCTGTTAAGTCTATCCTGAAAACACAATCAGTATCCCAGACTTAGTTAATGCATTTCAAAATTGAAACATTCCAAGTTCTAACAATAGATGTTTGCATTAGTTCCCAAATTTCTATAGCACAAGACTTATGACTTGTTATGAACCATTTTTTCAGGCAATACCTCAAACGGTCACTCAAAAGCTTCAGCCAGGGCTCATCCAAGTATTCCCCTAATATTGAAACTGCATCAATTACTGCACCAGTAACAGAGGTGAATTAATGAATGGAAAAACAGACATCCCATGCAAAATGGAACGATTCAAATACTTATAAACTAGTTGTCTATGGCATAGCAGGATTTAGGAAGCGCTACAAGTATAATAAATACGAATAAGCTGTTACACAGCCGATAACAGTCTTGACAACATGCCAGTTTTTTACTACCAAAGTAAGTTTACTTCTCTCACTTCAACACTGAACAGATGAAATTCCAATAGACACTAGAGAGAGGGGAGAGAAACAGAGGAGTCATAAAATAAATGGTTTTCCCACTAAAAGTGTACATCTATCTTTCTCTTCCCTTGCAGCATAATTATTGTCCAAGGTGGATAGTGTCTGTTTTAGCTGACATACCTGCCATCACAGGGCACAAAGATCATAAAACCTTACAAAAAAAACTTGCAGCATTAAGTAGCTAAAATATTGTTCGAAAATTTCCACATGTACATGGATATATTCACATATCTCAACATTAAAAATGGAAGAACCCAGGACAAAAGACAAAAAGATTGATAGACAAGCACAGGTCAAACTTGCTTGAAACCTAGAACTTACCCTCCACCATACTATTACGGGGGAGGAGGTGTCACTAGCCCCAAGGCCATGGATCAGAGAGAAAAATAAAGCAATTAGTGGTCAATCATATGTAGTTATATGGCATGCGTGGTGCGGGGAGCTAATTCAAAAAAAAAAAAAAAAAAAAAAAAAAAAAAAAAAAAAAAAAAACATGCTCAAATCATCAAACAAAAAAAAAAAAAAACAAAAAATTAGTGATGTGAGACCAAACCTTATGGTACATCCAAGCTAGAACTTTGGAATCATCAAGCCTGAAAAATTTTGAGGATCCAATTTCTGCAGACAGTAAGAGACAAAACAATATTTACTTGGAAATATAACAAAGTCCAATAAATTGTTGACACTAATATTGTAAAATTTCAAATTATTTGAATTGGCAACATGAATTAAACAAGCATATTGGAGTTCAGACATACATAGTCAAGGACCTCAAAAAAGATAATAATTAACCACTAGATACTGGACAAAGCTGTCAATTTCCATTCCAGTAACAGAGATTATGTTTCAGGATTCAAATCTCTCAATCGTTAGAAATGTTTCTGAAGTCAAGGGTGAAAGTGTATCCAAATCCCTTGATTGTGTGACATTAGTATCGACTCACAATCAACGCCAAATTAGAATTCTCTAGTTCTCTAGTTTTCTTCACCACCAATGAAAGATGTGAACATGATACAGTACAAGTTTATTGGTTGGTTTGCAAACTTCTAACTAAAACTTGAATTTCTAGTGCATAGGTAGTGTGCCACCTTTGATTTCACAAACTACTTGCATACAATTCTCCGCAATGGACAATAGTTTCTGATATCCAGGATAGCCTTCAACAAAGATTATCTCATCTACAAGCCTGAACTTCCCCAGATCGTCCCCCTTCTACATTTTTAACAAGGAATGTAGTTACCACTAAGATTAAAAAAGGACAAACAAAAAGTCAATGAACAGTGGAATTAAGCACCATAAAAGTACCTTCATTCTAGCTTCTTCAAAAATGGGCAACAAAATGAAAACAGGATCAACTGGAGTGGCAGTATATAACCCACCATCTAAATATGGAATTGCAATATAAGTTAGGCAAAAATCAGAATAATCCAGCAAAATTTAAGACAAAATGAAATAAAATGAAGCAGGGTACCACCTTCAGCAACATAGTCACCCAGAAACCAAGAAGTGTAGGGTTGCTTGAACCAATTAAGCTCCTGAAGAACTCCATTAACCAAAAGACAGCACATTGAGTTTCCTGTCAAAGAAAGAAAGTGAATAACAGTGAAAGATGCCCTAATCTCAAATTCTCATAAATCTCAAGAAATCAAATACATGCATTGAGCAATACCGGACTTGGGATGCCGAAGCGAAAGCAATTGTCCGACGTCGTTTCCAGTTTCAGCAGTATCTGTAGATTTTTCGCTTAGGGTTCAGAGATGGAGAGAATAAAGGATTAATTGAAAATGAGGAACGAGAAATCGGAACAGAAATTTACCTGCTGCGATGAGAAGACGAATTTCATCGAAGCCTTCCCACCAAGCCATTGAAATGAAACTTTCGTTCCTTAAACCCTAGCAGACACCAAAGGCGTAGTGAAGCGAAACCAAAAAAGAAACTGCGCGCGCAGAGAGATGGAGGGAGGGGATATGATAGGTCCAACCGGTGGGTCATTAAACCTGTCGTTTTTTACTTTTTAGGAAATGAAAATATAAATAATTCTATATAAAAAAAAGTGGCTTTGTCGTATGGGGCTCCATATGCCCCATCGGATTGATTGAACGTCAAACTTATCCAAAGAAAAACGTCTTCTCAAAATAAAAAATAAATTCAAATTCAAATTGCTTAATCCAAAAAAAGAAAATAAACATAGGATTGTTTTGAAGTTTTTTTAGTAATAGTCCGGTAAAAAAAGGTCTTAACTTGCAGATCAGTAGAAGAAAATAGATTATGAGATAAATTGCTACTATTTTAATTCCGCTTTTCCAATAACACCTTCGTTAGGAAATTACATTTTTTCAAAAACAAAATAAATCAAATTGGAGTGGATCTAAAAGCAAACAGCACATAACCCTCAAAAGAATTGGTATCTCATGATTATTCAATATTATTGCAGCATGTATTTCTTTCCTTTTGTTGGAGAGTCCTTATCCTCAAGCAAATAGGTTTTTTGGAAGACTGAAAAACATTACATCTGAGTATTTCCTAAAAGTAGTATGATTAGCTTGCCAATAATTATGTAAGAAAATTATAATATGAGAAATAGCTTCCTGGATTTGCGGTGATTTATTTTGAAATAAAACGATTTCTCTGGTCCCAAATTTTCCAACAAACAGTAAAGGTATTTATTAATTGTGAAGGAGAGATATTATGCCAATTGGTTTTTTATCCAGCTAACCAAATTATTAGTACTTGAAACAGACCCCATACCAAACGAAGACATTTGTGCCCAAACTGAACATATATGAATTTGGAGTTTATTTATATCAACACCCCTTGAGGTTTTAGGAGTTTTCACAAAATTCCCTGAGGTTTTAAAAATTACACAAATACACTATGAAGTTTCAATTTATTTTCACAAAACCCCTTTTCATAGATTCTACATCCAAAAATTATGGTATTATGCTAAAAATAGTATAGCCGCACGGCTATACTGGGTTTTCCTTAATTTTTTTAAAAATCGTATAGCCCCGCGGCTTTACATTTATGACACGTGGCGCCAAGGCGCTAGGAGGTCCGGCTATACCCAGTTTCGAAAAAAAATTTAAAAATAGTATAGCCGCACGGCTATACTTACGTCTAAATCACTGAGCTTTTTTTAAAAATAGTACAGCCGGGCGGCTTCACTTATTTTGACACGCAGGCACCTAATCGCTAGGCGTGAGCACGGCTATACTTATTATACCCTTGGAATCTTTTAATCATTTATATCAATTGTTTCTTCACTAAATATCAACACATCCACTGTAGCACAATAAATTGGATTGAGAATACAATCCGGGTTCGAATCCCGGCAGTGGAATACGCTTTTATTTTTTTCCCTCTTCAGCCATTAGAAAACTTCAGGCTGTGCAAATATAACATAGTTGTTTATTCTAGGTGGTTCGTATTTACCAAAAAAACACGTAGTGCAAAAGCTCCAGATGAATTCATCATACAACATACATTTAGGGGGGTGTATTCAATTCTAACTTTCAAAGACTTTTTTTAAGTGAGTGACTTTCCTAGAGTTGACAAATTCTTAATGACTTTTATATACTTGATAAAGTTAAGTGACAAACTTTCATATACTTTTGTCAGAGTTTTATAGACTTTTAAATACTTATTTTTATTGTTTTAAATTTTACGAATAGCATTTATCTTTTATGTTGAATGAACTAGTCGGCATACATGGAACAAAAAATTAGGAAAAAAAAAAAATTTGGATACAAATCCTTATTAATTGTGTATATTTTCATAATAGCTTATTAGTAAAATGCATCCAATGCACCTTTTAAATTTTTATTTATCAAATCTAATCACATAGATAAGTAACATATTCTTATCAAAAGAAATAAATATTACTCAATCACGAATAATATTTCATAAACACTCACAAACCAACAGAAATGGTCAGATTACAAGAGTCTATATTCCCACAATTCTCCTAGCTCAATACGTGGGATGTAATCAAATTGAGAATATTATATGAAAAAATTATCCACATAATGAATTATGGGTAAAGAAACAGTACCTAAATAATAAATTAATGTGTTTAAGGGCAAAAAATTATATAATAAAATATTGTATGCAAACATAGCATATGAGACAATCAATATAATAAAATATTTATATGCAAACATAGCTTTGTGATGAAATATTGATAAGCTTCATGATGCAAGCATGATGAAAAGAATAGAAGAAATATTCATCAACAGAGGGAAAGTACATGTGTGGATGAGAAGGGAAGAAAAACATTCAAAAAATTTTACTAACCTGAACTGAAGGAAGTGGATGACAAGATGGGTTACAAAAGTGGAGCCCTAACCATGAAGAAAAAAGACCTATCTGCTTGCTGCTTGATATAACGAGGGAAGAAAGAATTGGAGACATTTTGGTTATATCTTCCTAGCTTCCCAATATTTTCATAAAATCTAGTGTAAATTAGCAAGACTTTTGGTAGTAAGAATTAGCTTCAAAAGTATTGAAAAGTTATTTATTTAACAAAGTTTTTAAAAGTCATTAAGATTTTGGATACCTCAAAACTTTTAAATACTCTTTAAAACTCACAATTGAATACAATTAAACTTTTAAAGACTATTTAAAAGTCACAATTGAATACCTTCAGACTTTTAAACTCATTAAAAGTCATTAAAAGTTAGAATTGGATACACCCTCCTTAGTAGCCACCCCCTTCCCCAAAACTCAATCGTTAATTGAGGAAGAGAAGTCATCATCATCAAGAGATGAAGCAAAAGACATTCACATTCCTAAGAATAGGAAAAGTTCGAATTTAAGATAGATTGTTGTTATGCATACACAATGATGAAATTACAATATCGTGCACAATTACGCATCACAAGCTCAAATGAACTGTGCAAATATAAACATTGGGACAAAAATAAGATAAAGACTGTAGAGAATTTCCAGGCTTTTTTTTTTTATTTTTACTTCCTCCTGCTCCTTTTTTTTTTTTTTTTTTTTTTTTTTTTTTTTTTTTTTTTTTTTCCTTGTTTGTCGTTTTTTGTTATTCGCTATTTTTGTTTTTTTTTTTTATTTATTATGTTGTCTCAAAACATTATATGTATATATATGCCAATAAATCATAATTTTTTTAGACACACAAATAAAAGCAAACAGCCCGTAACCCTCAAAAGAATTGGTATTTGCATGACTATTATTGCAGCAGGCTATGTCTTTTGTTTGTCTTTGGTTTTGTTGGAGAAAAAAATAGTGACCATCTTGACACGTATTTGCTAAAATTCGGGTAATACTGGTGAGACAGAAACTCCAGCAACTTTTAATTGTTTATATTAATTGTTTCTCCAATCAATTTCAACAAGTCCGCTGTAGCACAATACCTTGGATTGAGATTATCAAACCGGGTTCGAATCCCGGCAGCGGAATAATTTTTTTTGTATTTTCCGCGGTTTTTCCTCCTTTGGCCATTGTTACTTATTGTGTGCCTCAAATTAGCGACATGTATATGGAGTGCAAATATATGTACCCAAAAACACATAGTGCAAAAGCATGCAAATCCTCCTATTACTCAAAAACTATATATGTAAAATGAATGGTTGTGATTAAAATATTCGGCAAGTTTAGAAGATCACAGATTATGAGATAAATTGCTTACTTAATTCCTCTTTCCCAATATCGCTTTTGTCGAGAAATTACATTTTTTTAAAACAAAATAAATCAAAATTGGCGTGGATCTAAGAAATAAATTAGTTTTTTTTTTTAAGACCTTTTTTATTGAGATGGGCTATAGCATACCAAACTCACACATATTACACGGATATTAGAACTCGAACCCAAAAACCTTTCCTCAGAGAATAATTACTCCAAACCACACACTATAAATAAATCAGAATTCTTTTAGACTCAAAATTGCCGTACAAATAAAAGCAAACAGCATATAACCTTCAAAAGAATTGGTATTTCATTAATCATGATTATTCAATATTATTGCAGCAGGCTATATTTATTTCCTTTTATTGACATGTATTTGCTGAAATTAGGATAATATTGGCGAGACAGACACCATAAATTTTTAATGATTTATATTAATTTTTTATTCAATCCATATCATCAAATCCACTGTAGCCCAATACATTGGATTGAGTTTATCAAAACCGGGTTCGAATCCCGGCAGTGGAAATTTCTTTTTATTTTCCGCTGTTCCACTTCCACCCTCGATACTTTCTCCTGGGTGGGGATTTCTTTAGCCGCTAGAAAACTTCTCTGGCTTCAGGAGATGAAAAGCTTCATTCTAACTATAGAATTTAATAACTCAAGAACTATAAACCCCAAAACAACTTCATTATAAATTAATAAATAAAATTTACGCATTTGCTTAAATTCAAAATAGATTGTTGTGATAGATAAACAACAAAGAAAATTACAATATCACGCAATTATACATTACAAACTCAAATAAATTATGCAAAAACAAAACTTTCAAGCAAAAATAAGGCACGTAAAATATTTCCATTAGCAACAAATTTGGGAGGGATTGTTTTTCCTCTTCCTTTTGGCCATTGTTACTTATTGTGTGCCTTAAATTAGCTAAAAACACAATGCAAACCTACTAAATAGTACATTCGCGCGGCTATACTCATTTTTACCTTTTTTGTTTTTTAAATAGTATAGCCGCGCGGCTTTACGTTTCTGACACGTGACACCTAAGAACTTGGTGGGTCTTTTATATATAGTATAGCCAGGCGGCTATACCCTTTTTAAAATTTTTTAAAAATAGTATAGCCGCCCGACGATACTCGGTTTTATTAATATTTCTAAAAATAGTATCGCCATACGGCTATACGTATTTTGACATGATTGCTGGGGTCCTCTTTTGTTGTTTTTATAAATAGTATAGCCGGGCGGCTGTACTTCATTTTAAAAAACTTTTAAAAAGTATTATAGCCGCACGGCCCTACTGGGTTTGTATTGTTTAAAGGTTTTTAATAAACAGTATAGCCGAGCGGCAATATATTTATATATAAAGTGGGATCCTTTTTTTCTTTTAAATTTTTTTCCTCGATTTTCTTGTATAGATAAGAGTAGTTTAAAGCATTATCCATTACTATTAGGCCATTACCTGAGTCTCTATTGTCCCCTTTTGATTTTTTACTTTTCCAGAATTATTACCCGTATAAACAATTTAGCACATTCACGTTTAATAATGTATTATACATAAATTTCAATAATACATCTATGTTCTGCACAAGTCTTAAAGACTCGGTTTCAAGAAATAAAAAAGCTTCATTGTAACTATAGAATTTAATAACTCAAGAACTATAAACCCCAAAACAACTTCATTATAAATTAATAAATAAAATTTACAACATACATAATTCACATTCATAAGATATTTGCTCAAATTCAAAATAGATCGTTGTGATAGATAAACAGCAAAAAAAATTACAATGTCACACAATCATACATTACAAACTCAAATAAACCGTTCAAAAACAAACCTTTCAAGCAAAAATAAGGGGTGTAAAAAATTTCCATTAGCAACAAATTTGGGACGGATTGAACTCGTTTTTCCTCCTCCTTTCGGCCATTGTTACTTACTGTGTGCCTTAAATTAGCAACATATATATATATATATATGGTGCAAATGTATTTACCAAAAAACACATAGTGCAAAAGCATTCAAACCCTCCCAAATTAACTTCATTATACAACATATATTTAGTAGCCCCCCCTTCCCCCTCCCAAGCCAAGCCCCAAACTCAAGCATTAACTGAGAAAGAGAAATCATCATCAGTCATTGCCCTAGAAGAGCCCATATCCCCATCACTAGCATAAGAAGAATATTCTTCCTCACTGTCCCTCTCCTTCAACTCTTCAATCTTGTCTACAACTTCTCTCCAATCCCATCTTCCCTCCACACTGCTCTCACAGCAACACATCCCAATCTTCAAAAGCTTCAGCATCTCCCCCTCCCCATTCTTGGTCCCTTTCATGTTCTTATCAAACACTTCTCCTGTCCACTCTTCTCTCACCACTGAGTTCACCCAAGCTGCTAGGTCTGCATTTGCCCTCTTGCCCTGCTGCAAATAGTTTGCTGGGAATTTTCCTGTCAGCATTTCAAAGATGAGTATACCCAGGCTCCACACATCGGTCTTTTTCGAGGTTTGTTCCATGTGGGAGAACTCTGGGGACTTGTAGGCCACCATGAACTTTTGGGCATGGTCTCTGTTGATCACTGGTATTAGGGCATATTCTGCTATGAGGGGGTTGAAGTTGTGGTCTAGGAGGACATTGGAGGACTTGAGGTGGCCATGGGGTACTGTTAGGCCTGGGAACTCTTTGTATAGGTAGCCTAAGCCCCTTGATACTCCTTTGATGATCATCAACCTAGTTGGCCAATCCAATCCCGGCTGCCCGGGTTCTCGCTTCACTGAAAATGCACAAACAACTCAAATTAATTCGATATAACATGTGAAATCAATGTGACCAGACGTTGAGTTTTAACTGGCCGAGAGTATGTGTGATCAATTAACAACAACATTCGGCCTATTATGTGTACTATATTTACTAATCACATTGTTAATTCAATTCTGTTAATTAAATGCATGATTCGTAATGTGATTAGATGAAATATTACTATACAAGAGCATACCATGGAGATGACTAGCCAAGCTTCCATTGGCAACAAAATCATGAACCAAGAGCTTCTCTTCTTTCCTATAATAGAAAGCAACAAGTGGGAGCAAATTAGGGTGTGAAAGCCTCCCTAGCCTTCTCATGTGATCATAGAAGTCCTCTTTCCCAACTTGGTTTATTTGCCTAAACCTCTTCACAACCATGGACCCACTCAAGAGCCCTGCCTTGTAAGATGACCCAAAACTCCCACTGCCCAAGACCTCAGCTGGGGCCCTCAGCAAATCTTCCAGCTCAAACCCTCTGTCCTTCCTCACAAAATACAACTCCCCTCCTTTCTCAGCCTTCTTGTGGTTGTCTTCATCAGCTGTTAACTGGACCTCTATTGCAGCTGTGCGGTGTTGGGCTTTTAACTTCCTCTGGGCTCTTGCTTCTTGCTTTGATTGGGCGCTACGACGTCGTATGAAGAGAATTGCTGCAATGGTGCACAGTATTGCAGCAATTGAGACAACAATGATGGCTATGATGAGGAGGATTTTTTCTTTGAGGACTTGCATGGGGCCAGAGGCTTTCCACATAGGCCTAGGTTACCTATTTGGTCAAAAAAAAGAGGCCCATAATTAGGCCCAAGAAAATAAGAAATGAAAACCCATTTGATAAATAAAAGAAAACTTATCAAATAAGATAATTCAATTAGACCAACGTGCTACCATACCATCATATAGAAAGTAAATGTTTGAGAAGATCTGGTATCAACGAAGATGCGTGTCTCAATCTTTTCGTCAATGATCTCATATTTCTTTGATTTAAATTGATTACAATATCTTTGATTTTCTTTCTTCTTTTGTTATTTTTTTATTTCAAAACTTTGGTTTTAATATGGAATTAAAAGTCAGAGAATTACATTTACCTTATATACATTTCAATACTTCATTAGTTAATATGACCTTCGGACCGAACTTCTTTTTTAAAACTCAAATAAACAATTGTGTGCGTTTTAAGATGAATGTTAACGACAGTTGTTCACGCGCGCATGGACGATTGTCAACCGTTGATGTATGTGTGAATTTATCGTGAGACTCACACACATCAACAATCAACAACAGTTTCACACGAGATAACGATCAAAAACCAAACACATCAAAGTCATGTATTGTGTAGTGGATTGAATAAAGCAAAATGAAAATTTCAAAACAAAAAATGGACAATAAGGAGATTCTTGAATGAATTGCTTACCAGAGAAAGAGCTTGCTTCTAAATTGCTCAGGCTTGCAGGTATTCGACCCTCAAACCTGTTGTTTGATATATTGAAATACTTCCATCCATTTGGATTTTGTGCAAAATTTGGTATCTTCCCATTGAACTGGTTCCCCCGGAGATCCAATTCCGAAAGCTTGCTCAATGCAGCCAGGGACTTTGGTATTTTTCCAGAGAATTCATTGCCATTCAAATAAATTTTCTTCAAAGAACTCATGCCCTCAAAGGCATTATCTTGCATTTCACCAGTGAATTGATTGTTGGACAAGTAAACTCCTATGAGTTCACCAAGCTTGTTCAAACTAGGCAGAGGACCTACAAAGTTGTTGTTCATGACGCTTATGCTTCGAAGGGCAGACAAACCCGAAAGGGTGTCGATATCAATTATGCCCATGAGACCCATGTTCTGCAACTTCAACCCGTACACATTGCCATTTTTTTCACAGTACAAGCCTGCCCAAATGTTTGTGGTGCCATTGCAGGGGTTGGTGGAGTTGTTCCAGTTGTCTAGAGCCGTGTCATTGGACAAAAAGGACTTGAATTTCAATAGGGTTTGGATTTCTGGGTCAGAAGATGACACAAAATACATAGTTGTGCTAAGAAAAATAGCACCAAAAGCCAGTGATTAAGATCATAGGCTTTGTTAATGCGAACCATTTGATAAGAAATGAGTTGGGTTTTTTTGGTTGATGGAGAAAATGGAGGGATTGAAACTGGTGTTAGATTAGGTGGGTGTGGTGAAAGAATTAGATTAGGGGGGGTGTGGTGAAAGAATTAGATTAGGGGAAGATGGAAAGGTACAAATAGGGTCGACAATGGCAAGGTCTCTTTTTTTGTTTTTTTTTTTCTGCCTATGGGGGATGAGCTGGGTGAGAGCCGGCATTAATCTTTGATTAAATATTGGATTTAATTCCCTAAATATTAGGCAAAAGTGTTTGTTTAATATTTTGTAGCTTTGGTGTGTGCTGTTGAGTTGCTGGTCTGTTCTTGTTAATGGTGATGGTGAAGTGGCATTTCATTGTTGGCTCAGCCGAATGTTTATGATAGCAAGGATATCCCTTTCACTTAATTACTTGGTATTAATTTACTGCCCTTAATTAATTATATTTCCTGAGGCTTTCATTGTGTGATATGCGCTAAGCTTATGAGTTGGACCTATTTTGAGAGCCCTAGTAGTAAATAAGTAATTTGATTCGGTAGGTATGCATTTCGAAAAGGAAATTACTTGCATCCTTTTTCTATAAGTAGGAACTCCTACATTCATGCAGTTTGACATGTGTGTAGAAGATTTTCTTTTTGTATTTTTTTATTAATTATATTTATACATATGTCAAACTGTAATTTGCAAAAATTAGAAGTATCTCCTTCCAAATAAAGAGGCAAGCAGTATCATTTGCACAATTCAATAACACGACATGAAAAATTTAGTGTTCGAATTGAGCCTTAACAAATCGTGTTTGTGTTAACTCGCTGGGAAAGCGGGTTATGTCAAACAGGACCCCGAAACAAATAAACCATGCTTTTGGGTCCGAGACACATCCATATATACTAGAAGCCATTCGAACTTTATAAGACAAAACACAGATATTATTTTATTAAAACAAATAAATATTTTGGCATATTCCATTTGGATTTGGATACTACATATGCAGAAATTATTTTACAAGAAAAGTATCTGGGTCTACCAACTGTAATTGGAAGAAGAAGGAAAGACTGCTTCAAAAACATAAAAGAAAGGCTTAGAAAGAGATTGAATGGGTGGAAGGAGAAACTGCTGTGAAAGGTTGCTCTTTTGTTCTTGTTAATGATGACAAAGCTCATTGTTTGCTCAGCCAAGTTTCTGGATATAGTAAGTCTAGTATGTTTGATGCTTGGTAGGGTTTGACTTTAATGTCAATAATCTACTGTGGTCCTTTTTCATTGGGAAAACATTTCAATGTATTATTGTTCAAACTTTGAAGCTGATCTCTATTAATGATCCTCACTAAACAGTTCAAGAAACACGTTTAAACAATTCGAGTTTCGATGAGAACAGAGAGGTTGGTCCTGGCAATCTTATTGTTAATGATGTTGCTGGCAGCTTCATTGTCAATCTTGTAACGTTGTGCTCAAGACAAGACAACCACTTTGCTGAGCACCCACAGCACCAGAGAGAACTCAAACGCAAACAGTGTGTGAAGCAATCCCCGATCAAGCGGAAACCCGAATAGCGTGATCCCTCCACTGTTGTGCCCCAAGTATGCCACTGCGCACACACACAGAGACACACAACTATGCATAAGCATCCATATCACTGCCATACAGTGTTGAAGTTTCACATATGCAAAAGCACTCGAGTTAAGTGAGTGACTAGAGATATTCAAAGTTTGCCTTAAGCCTTTGTATCTGATTTGAAAGTAGGTCTTGAATTGTAGTATTGTACTGCTATAAGTAATTTTCTTCTACTAGTTAAGCTATCAAGGAATGTAGAAAGAAAGCAGACAGACCTAGAGCTTGCCTGGTTTGGAATGAGGAAGGCTCCTGTGGAGAAACTGAAGTCAAAACGTTCGATGAAAATTCTGAATCAGTCTCTCCACAACATCCATCAGCCTCTGAGCTCTGCTGTTTTTTGCATTCCTGATCTAATGCAGCAGATGGACAAGTCAAAAGCATGTGCCATCTTGTTGCAATCGCTGAAATTCCTTGAGCTCTATGTGTTATTCTTGCTGCCTCCATTAGGCACAAGGACAAACCACTAAGCTCAACAGCAGAACAAACCACAAGATCACCTGAATTGAGAAAAGTCTTCTTTGTTTTGGATGCCAAAACCAGCAACAAGGCCCCAAACTGGCTCACAGTGACGATAAACATGCATCCGATGATGAAGAATCTGTACCTGTGGCTCGTAACCCATAATTGCTTTCTTATCCTTATATGTTCCTGAAACCAAAGTGAAGATTCCTATTGTTAAAAATATCCACTCAACAGTCTGAAAATACAGAAAAATTGAAAGAGATTACATGAAAGTTTTGGCTCAAATGTATATGTTGCATCAAAGAAAAAAGATTGTTATTATCAAAGATATTATTGAAATTACAAATCATACGTACCTGGAATATGAAGCTGGATTTGGATTCGCGCCCCTCAAACAGCTTGTGCAGTCCTTGAAATCGAAGTATTTGGAGCTCGCAAGTCAACCGAAACAGAACACAAACCAGCAAGAACACCCCTGTCCTATAAACCCAAGAAGCCAAAACCAAAACAAACATTATGGAATTGAGCGGGACGCTTGAGCTAATATGGAGCAGTGAGATTTTGACAGTGCAGAAGAATATGATCTTGTGTGCAAGCTCAATGAAAAAGGAAGGCAATAGTATGTAAGCTAGGCACTTGAAGGCCTTATCGAGCTCACGAGTGTATCCCCGACGAACAAAACAAGTGTCATCTGCAAGACCATCGAGGAAGAGGAGTTGTCTCAGGCCATACTTCCTGAAGAAGCTAGACAGAGTGATGAAGCCAATGGCGGCTAAGCCGGACTGGGGAAGTTGGACAAGCTTGTTGAAAGAGATGGGGTCTTCGGATGGGGATTTGAGAGAGAAGGCGGCTAGGATGGGGACTAGGATGGTTAGGAAGATGAAGGTGAAGTAGGATATGAATTTTCCAAGGCATGAGGAGTGGTCTAGTGTCCACCATTTGAGGCTCACTCTGAAGCTGCGTAGCTCATCAGAGCATTGGTGAAGTAAGGGAGTGTTTGGTTGATTTTGGTCTTCATTTGGGTGGCTGTTAGGGAAGTCGACATGGATGTTGGTGTTGGGTGAAGTAGTGGAGGGGTTCATGGATTGGTTTTGTGGAGTGTTGGAGTTTAGGAATTAGTGGAGTTTTTGATTTTATTATTATTATTTTTTCTGCAGGTTGGTAAGGAAGCAACAATGGTGGAAGAATGAGACAGAAATTGATTGGCTTTGGACAAGAGTAATATGCTATGCTTTGATGTAGATTTTATGGGATTTCCTTATGGAAGTTTCATAAAAATGGGAACTCATTTCAAAGAGCAACACGTATTTTTCATGCTAATTTCTTCTTTTGGAGGATTAAACTTTTATTTTTTTGGTATTGGAAGCTCACTTCAATGCCACTTGGACCACTCATTTGCAAACACATTTTCTCACATTTGCTTCTAAGATACATGAGGTGCCAATTAAACCCAAAATGGTGTATATATATATATATTTTAGTGCAATTGGCTAAAATAGCCCATTTCACAACTTCTATTTTAAAATAGCCCCATTTTCATTAAATAGGCATTATAGGAACAACTTAGAGGGAATTATAGGGATAACAACGAGACACTGGGGCAGGAGCTATTATAGAAATAAAAAAAATTGTGAAAAATGGCTATTTTAGCGTGAAACCCTTTATTTTACTAGTTAAATAAAATTAAAAATTAAAAAACCCAAAAGTTGGTAAAGAAAAAGTAAGGACTGGCCTTTTCCCGTGAGAGTTCTCTCATTGCCTCCCTAGCCTTCTAGATGTTTCAAATGCAGTGAAGAATACAGATATGTTGAAAGAGAGCCTTTGCGTGGTTTTCCATTTGCCATATGATTTCATATTCGTACTTACGTTGTTTAAAATAGTATATAACGAATCAAATGACATATATATTATGGAAAATACAAATAACAGAAATATTGTGTGTTTTGGTTGGTCAATACGGTGTTGTTGAAGATGGTATTAATAAACACGGGTACATTGCCAGAAACAGGAAATAATTATTACTTGCTAGTGGTCTCAAACTCCCACACGTGAACCCCCCTCTCCCCCTAAAAGGTTCAACACCGTGACACCACACCTGTGCACATTGTACATCACAGCAATCTGAACACATTGACAATACAACTACAATTTGGCATTGTTGCCAGAGGTTTGCTTCAACTTGTTCACAATCAAAAAAGTCGTAACTGTGGCTGTCAACCGTTGATGCATATGATCGAGTGGCTACTCCTACGCATAATCACGTTATTGGATGCTAAGAAGTCCACCTGATTTGGGGAGATCTATTAAGAAGTGTCTAGCCATAGGAAAGGATATTTATGGAGCGTTGAATATGTACTGATTCTCTAGCTTGCATGTCAAAGATAATCTGTCCTTTCTCTTTTCTAGGATGACAAACTTACCTTGTTCTTTCAACTAAAGACACTGGTCTATAACATGAAAGAGACACCTAAACTGGTCTTCAATAGGCAAGCGACACAAAATAAGCTACCTCCAACATTGCATTAGAACTTTACCATAAATATCCTAACACCAAAATGTTAACCATTAAAATATTTGACATTCAGTAAATTAGAGAAGGGGGGAGGGGAAGTTAGAGGAAAACTATTCACATTCCTGGACAAGCTGACGGAGCTGGTCAAGAGTCTTCACAATATCTCCCAGACATGCAATAACCTGTTCCCCTTGGCGTCTAACAAGATCAGTTTGAGGGTCCCCGGTGCTCTTCACATCGGCAGCCTCATGATCTGCATTCTCATTAACAATAGCCTGGATTAGTTCTACATTTTCATGTAATTGCATAACCGCAATTTGCTCCTGTTCTTCAATGCTGATAGCCTTCTCTTTTATTTGACTATTTTTATGTTTCTTCGCACAGCTTTTTTGAGACTTCTCTTCTGTCAGGCTCTTCTGAGGAATTACTTCTAAGCAGCTCCCGACAGGTTTTTCTTCTGCGTGGGTTTCTTGAGGTTTTTCTTCTGCATGGGTTTCTTCAGGTTTTTCTTCTACATGGGTTTCTTCAGGCCTATCCACCTTACATCTTCTAAATGAATTTTCTATTGGACAGCTTTTCTGATGTGTTGATCGGCGTCTTCTCCTCTTGGACTCTAATAATATACAGGACAATTATAAGAACATAACTGGTGATGAAGCATAGAACTAAGGCTTACAGAATAACATGCTTGTTATGCTTTTTCACGACTTCAAGCACAAAAAACAATTAAACCATAACTAAAATTCACTTACTCACCCATTACTCAAAAGCAAGCAAAACTTATGCAGTTGACTGGTTTTCACATCGCAAATTCAACCACCTTAAAACCTTCTACAACATCCCATACTAATTTATTGCATCTTGAAATGGTACACATACAGCAATTGAATAATCAAGCTTGCAAACAAGAGAACTAACCAGTAAGCGTTTGTGCATATCTAAGCTGTCATATGTCACAACTTACCCTTGTTTCAAAAATATTCATGCTCAACAACACTCTACCTTCATGATCCAAGTTTCAACGAAGGAGATAACATAACCATTCACCTCCAAGAATCATACGCAAACTAAACAAGAAACTTTGCAGTTTTATTTACTACTTGGATTGTAATGTCTAACATTTACAATATGTTCTGCTCTAAATTTTAATGCTCATAAACTCATAACCCTCTATCCGTTTCGATAGTGCCCAATATAACATCATGCTATATGAAGGAGGCTCAACATCACCTTCCCGCTTCTTTTTCCTCCAAATAATGAGCTTAAAATGTAAACATACATTCAGCATTCAACGATGTCAACACAAAATCATTGGCGCAAAAGAAACCAAAAATGCAAAAACCACACAGGCAATTGATAACTAATTTGACAATGCAGCACTTGAATATCAACACAGATTTCCATTTGGGGTTGGAGAAAAATCATACCTGGCTCTGCAACAACATCAGGCACATCAGCCTCAGCATCAATCTCAGCTTCTGGATCACTATCTGGGTCCGTATCCGATTGGTTCCCCCGAACCCTCACAAGATTATCAATGGCTCTGAACAACTCATTATCAAAATTCTCAGGCAATCCCTTCTGCTTCCTCCTCCCAATTTCCAAAACCCAGTACGAAGCACCGCCTCTAGACGCTGACTCCCACTGCTTGATGCTCTTGTACTCGAGAAACAAAGCGTCCCATTTTCTGCGATACTGATCCAAAGTCCGCGGGACGCCCAAAGCAGAGCAGTTTTGAGATATGATCTTCCATTTCTGAAATGAAGACAATGCTTTCAGACAATCGGCTTCCACAGCAGCGATCTCGTTCACCAGAAGGAGCTCGTCTGTTGGATTCCAGTCTGGTGCTACTTGCGAACGCGTGCTGCGCCTACTGCTCGAACCGCACTGCGATCGGTCGAGCTCGGATTGGCTTCTTTGTACTTTCATTTTCCAATTTTGTGCTCAAAATGTCATCTTTTTCGGAAATTTGGTGATGGTAAGAGTTCAATCGACTTACGCAAGAGTCATTTTGAGCGATCGATGGCCTGAACCCTCTGTAAGCCTCAAAGCTCTGCTCATCACTGAAAAGCCCTAATTTAAGTGACTATTTTGGACTAGTTAAGCTAAATACTTTGGATATTAGGTATAACCTATATTATTTTGGAAACATTTCTATAATGAAGATTCAATATTTTGATCACCCTACATTACAATACTACATGATGATGATGTTTATGACATGAAAAACAAATTTCAAAGAGGAACAAAAATGATTTTACTAACTCTATCTTTGTCACGAATATGAGAAATAGACTGCATTTATTCACGCATGCTCGTATTATCGTATCTTTCTATATTCGGATACACGTGTTTATGTTAATTAGATGAAAAGGTCTAAAAAGTTGCTATTGGTTTCTCGAAAATTCGACGTCTCACTGAATCACAACAGTTTTTTTGGGACCTTGATAGCGCTAGTCACCTACCAAAAACTTCAAATGGGATACCACATGCTCTAGTGTTTCAATGCACGACTAATTTCAACTAAAACATATTTGCAATAATATGTGAAAATTATGTGTATAATATGTGAATTTTGTGTATATTATTGAAATTTTTGTTAAAAAAAACACGTGTATTAAACATGAAAAATATGTGTGTATGTGTACAATACGAGTATTATACGTTTGTTCATACCCAAAAAAAAAAAGTATTTTAAAAAACATGTACTACTGAGTCTTTAAGACATGTACAGGAAACATGTGTATTATTGAAAAATACGTACGTATGTATATAATACGAGTATTAAACGTGAAAATGCTAAATTTTTATACATGTAATAACTCTAGGAAAGTGAAAAAATCAAAAAGGGACAATATAGACTCGGGTAATGACCTATTAGTAATGGATAATAATCTAAACTACTCTTATTGTTAAAAGAAAATCGGAAAAAAAAATAGAAAAAAAAAGGATCCCAATATATATATATATAAAGAGTATAGCTGAGCAACTATACTATTTTGGAAAAAAATAAAAAACAATACACGAGTATCGTCACGCGGCTATACTATTTTTAAAGGGGTGCGCAAGTGTGAAGACCAGTATAGCCGCGAGGCTATACTATTTTTATTAAAAAATGGTCATACTATTTAAAAATAAAAAATCATGCGTATAGCCGCGCGGCTATAATATTTATAAAAAAAATTGACCAGCCTAGCGCCCATGTGTGAAACTAGACTATTTTTTATATGAAAAATCGTAGTACAACCAAACGGTTATACAATTTTTAAAAAGATAAAAAAGTCCGAGCATAGCCACCCCGCTATACTATTTATAATATTAAAACAGAGGACCAGCTAGCGGCCAGGTTGCTATGTGTAAAACCAGTATAGCCACGCGGCTATACTATTATTTAAAAAAAAACCATGGCGGCTCCGATCTACTATTTTTTTTAAATACTTTTTAAAAATCTCGATATAGCCGAGCGGCTATACTATTTATTAAAAAGCCCACGTGTCAAAATATGTATAGCCTAGCGGCTATACCCTTTTTTTGAAAAAATTACCGTAGTAAAGCCGCCCGGCGATACTATTTTGAAAAATATCCGAGAGTATAACTGTGCGGCTATACTATTTTTATAAAAAGAACTACCGTAGTACAACCGCACAGGGACACCTTTTATTAATCTTCTTTTTTTTTTTAAATTACCCTCTTAGTTGCATTAGTTTATACTTTATTAATATTAATTGACTAGTTTCAACATATCCAATGCAGATATTGAAGTGAGGGAAATTTCAAAGTAAATCTATGTGAGAGTTCAATTTTTTTATTTTTTGGTGTGGGAATGTTTGCCTTTGATCTAACTCATTCTCTCAAGTGAAACTTGTAGGAGGAACAACAATCAATATTATTCTAATAATTTAATTAAACAACAAATAGAATAATGAAATTAAATATGGCAGTAGATTAAAAACTTATTGTTCTTGCAGATAGAGGTTTGCAGAATTGCAATATCCTTGAAACATAATTTCACCCATACTCAGTGTTTGTAGTTCTGCATGTGTTTGCTCCACCAAGATATAGCTATCTAAATCAATGTCCTAGCACTAGGCCATACCCACATGCCACTTAATTGGGGCACTTGCATAGTTAATTTATATGATTCTATTTCCAATAGTAAGTCTTATAAAGACCTCCAAGAAACTCTTGTGTCTCTTGACATGGTACGCATAAATGTTATACGACTTTTATCGTTATAAATCTTTGTATGCAATCGCGGAGCTAAACTGGTACATATGAGAGGTCAAGTAACATAAAATTTTCAATTTATGTGCTCCACCCTTGTTTGTATGACTAATGATTTTTGTAATCCTATGTTCCCCTCATAAGCTCCACATGCAAGTGTGCAATGAAAATGATAAATTATTAGTTTCGATTGCCGACGGATAAATGAAGACAATAAAATACATTTTTTTTTCTTTTAAGAGTTTAAAGTCGTAAGTTAATTAGAAGAAGTATAAAATGATATGAATTTTAAGGTAAATGTTAATGACAAGTATTCATATACGTATAAATAATTGTCAATTGTTAATATATATGAATTTATAATAAAATTCATACACATAATCAATAATTAACAACCGTTTCACGCACATATAGAACGTCTAAAGCAAACCTTTCACAATCACTACAACTAAGGAATTGGTCAATAATCATTCATTCATATAAATTTGCCACTTCTCACAAGTTGGACATAGAAAAGCTTATCGTCTTTATTTAACGATCTGAATGTAACCCATTCTAGTATTTAATAAAAGTCTCGTTTTCCTAATTAAAAAATTGTGTAAAATGACAGAAATTGGGAAGCAATCTACTAGTGAAGGTTGACTAAATGGACTGCGGGGATGAAAGGTGGACTTTAACTCTACAGCACGCGTTCCGTTTATGCATAAAATAAAAAGGGTGTTTCACTAAAACACCCAAAATGGGGGTTGAAATTATAAAAAAACCCAAGCACTATTTAAACATATAAACACACCCAAAACACATCATTACATACACTCAAAACCCATTTATAAACACACCCAAAAAGTTGACTTTGGGATTAATTTTGGGTGTATTTCTATGTTTAAATAGTGCTTGGGTTTTTTTATAAATACATGTCTAGAATTGGGTTTATTTATAAATTTGTATAATAAAAAAGACAGTTGTCAAATTTAGTTGATATTGTTCTAGCCCAAATTAATCTGTACAATTGGAATGTTTTTGAGTTGGTGTTACTATTGGGCTCGAATAACATAAACATGTGTTTTTAACTCTTTCTATATTCAGATACACATGTTTATGTTAATTAGATGAAAAAGTCTAAAAATAGAGGACCCGCCTAGCACCCAAGTGTGAAACTATACTATTTTTTAATTAAAAAAAAGTAGTACAGTCGAACGGCTATACTATTTTTTTAAAAAATAAAAATCTCGGGTATAGCCGGGCGGCTATACTATTTATAATATAGAAATACCTTAACAAAGCTGCGCCGCTATACTATTTTTTTTATAAAAAAATCTCTAGTATAGTTGCCCGGCTATACTATTTAGTAAGAAAAAAAGGAACCCACGTGTCAAACAACGTAAAGTCGTGTGGCGATACTATTTACAAAATAAAAAATAAAAAAATCGTGGTACAACAGCGCAGTGATAACTTTTATTTATTTATTTTATTTTAAAAATACCCTCGTAGTTGCATTAGTTTATACTTTATTGATATTAATTGGCTAGTTTCAACATATCCAAGTCGGATATTGAAGACAAAGAAATTTCAAAGTAAATCAATGTGAGAGTTCAATTTCTTTCTTCTTCTTTTTTGTGTGGGAATGTTTGCCTTTGATCTAACTCGTTCTCTCGAGTGAAACTTGTTGGTGGAACAACAATCAATATTATTCAAAAAATTTAATTAAACAACAAATAGAATAATGAAATTAAATATGGCAATAAATTAAAAGCTAACTGTTCTTGCAGATAGAGGCTTGCAGAATTGCAATGTCCTTGAAACATAATTTTACCCATACTCAGTGCTTGTAGTTATGCATGTGTTTGCTCCACCAAGATACAACTATCTAAATCAATGTCCTAACAATCCTATGTTCCCCTCATACACTCCACATGCGAGTGTGTGAGGAAAATTATAAATTATTAGTTTCGATTCTCGATGGATAAATGAGAACGGTAAAATACACTATCTTTTTTCTTTTAAGAGTTTAAAGTTGTAAGTTAATTAGAAGAAGTGTACAATGATATGAATTTTGAGGTAAATGTTAATAATAGATATTCATGTACGTATGAATATTATCAACTGTTGATATATATGAATTTGTAATAAAATTCATACACATAATCAACAATTAACAACCGTTTCACATGCATATAGAACGTCTAAAAGCAAACCTTTCACAATCACTACAACTAAAGAATTGGTCAATAATCATTCATTCATATAAATTTGCCACTTCTCACAAGTTGGACATAGAAAAGCTTTTGGTCTTTATTTAATGATCTGAATGTAAACCCATTCTAGTATTTAATAAAAGTCTCGTTTTCCTAATTAAAAAATTGTGTAAAATGACATAAATTGGGAAGCAATCTACTGGTAAAGGTTAGACTAAATGGACCGTGGGGATGAAAGGTGGACTTTAACTATACGGCACGCGTTCCGTACGTAACATAGTTGACATTTACTGGTGAAGGTTATAATCTCTGCTATTATAAACCCGGGCCTCTACCTTTTCAATTGGACGGTATTTTATGGATTAATTTATTAAATTACCTACAGAGTTTGTTGGCCTGCTGCCTAAATCCCTTATTCATAGTTGACATTTTAGCGAATTCATTGCTGTAATCCCTTGTATCTAATAAATAAAAGTAGGCATCATCATCAATCATGACTCACCAAAAAAATAAAGAAAGAAAAGTAGATGTAAATGGTTTAACCATTTCATTTAGATGACATTATTCAATTACGATTTCAGTATCATACATATAATTTAAATAAGTTATTCAACCCGACTTTTTTTGTACCAAATTGCTCAATACATATGCAGTTGTACGCATATTCGCACATTTACACGCAATTATAATTGTAACTGACAACTTAGTACAACGATCAATTTCACATATCCTTTTCAATTACCTTTTCAATTGCATAAAATGAAAAAGACAGTTGCAAATATAGGCAGAAACCCTTCAAAACTTCCCAACCTCCTATCATTTATAACCCATTATCCACTCATTGATAGAAACCTTACAAAGTTCCTCAAATTGTGGCTTGTTTGGCTCCATTGAGTTGGGGTTCTGGATATTTTTCCCATATTTGAAATCCCTTTCATCTTCCACTCCTTCTTGTCGTCCTGCAAAGAAAGCACCAAATTCCTCCTTAAATTTGGAGAGAGAAATTGAAACTTGTAATTTGGAATTTGGAATTTGGAATTTGGAATCTTCACCGAAATCGAAGAGACAGAGGAATCAAAGTCACGAGGTGCTTGGATTCGGGGTTTGCCTAGAAACCTACCAAGACTAGTTGTGGGTTTGGATTGGTGCCGGATTAGCGTCCAGCTTCATTGAGCCAAATTAGGTCTCTGTCTTGTGGACTTTAGTGACACGGTACACGCCGTTTGGCAATTAAAGCACTAATTTGAATTTGATCGCAACGCGGAAAACGATCACAGCTGTAAAAAACTTGTCCAGGTTCAATGAACCTGCCCAAGTTCGTTATTTTTGAAAATTTTGTTTTACGTTTCAGCAAATCCAACCACCATGATGTATGTAGACATACATGATGATTAGATGAGATGGACATGTATGGTATGAATCTAGTTTTGTCACTAACACATAATTTTGGTAATAAATAATGTAATCAAGTTTTACTTTATGAAGTAATCAAAGTTTTAATTTCTTCTAAAATTGTGTTTTAATTTAAATAAAATAATTACAATATATAGCAAAAAATCTATTTATGAGCTAATCTTTGATTGTTATTATTTTTCCTTACAAAATGCAAAGTATATTGTAACCACACAAGTTAACATATTCGTCATCATGCAAAATAAGGAAGATAAGATAAGATGAGATTGTGAATTGACAACAAATGATTCTTATAATTACATATGATTTTGTGGCAGCGAAACTTCCACATTCGTGTTTTCGTTTACATAATAATATATCGGAAAATATTCATCCTAAAATATTAAAAGAAACTTGAAAGTTGTACCTATATATGGCGAAAGAATAAATATAATGAGTATTGGTTAACTTTGAGTTTTGTTAAATTAAACATAAAGCTAACAAATCTATAACTTTTACTCTTTCAAACTATTCTCAGTAAGCCATTATTGACCTTTCTATAAGCAAAGTGAATGGAACTAAACCCACTTTATGTATCATATTAGTTCTTTAATCAGTCAACAAATTTGACTTATACCCTCGGATCAAAATCTTGGTACTTTGACACCTAGAATTTGTCTCCCCCTCAGATTTGACTCCCATCTAGACATTCCAATGTGTTTTTTTCTGGACCAAATCTTTTACATTATCATTTTTATTAATACTTTTTTGAACAAAAATATTTATGCTAAAAATTTGGGATATTATTATTTTTAGATTGTTCTCAAAATTTTATAGTTGTAAAAAAAAAGAAAGTATTCCAATAATATAACAAAAATAATTATGCTCATAAAATGGAAATAAAAATAAAAATTTGCACCAAAAAAAGCTACTTGGCATGTATCATGATGTGATAGATGCACATGATACAAATTCATGCCACATACATCAGCTAGTTGTCTAAAGCAGGCTTTCCAGCAGGCTACGCGGGCTTCTGTTTCCTCTGCTTCGAAGGCCTATAAAAGCGCTCTCGCCTTTGGCTCCTCACACCGACGCGAAGCCAAAACAAATAAAGAGAAGGCGAAGAGAGACCAGAGAGAGAGAGAGAGAGAGAGAAACAAACGAAGAAGAAGAAAAAGCCCCAATTCTGAAGCTAAACCCTAGTCGCGTTTAGCTTCCCCTCTTTTCGTTTCTCTCTTTGTCGTCGTGCCATTGCAAAATCAAAGAGCGTCGATTTCTCGCTTTCTCCATCAGATCACCAGGGGCTTCTCCAAACACTTGCTCTCATTTTTTTATCGGGAAATTTCTGCCATCTTCTTTGTAAGCTCTCGTTCCCTCTGTGTTTTTTTTGTGGGTGAAATTTCGATTGTATCTGGTTGCATAACAATGCCGGTGGTTTTCTCCTTTTCCACTCTTATTTTGTGTCGTGATCTGCACCTTCTGTTTGGATGCTGAGAAAAAAGGGGGAAAATGGAAAATTTTTGAGTTTCCAATTAATGTGAATGTCAATTTCTAGCTCCTAAAATGTCGAGTGCATTTATGGTTGCCTTGTCTTTCTGAGATTTTATTGAATGAAAAACCCAAAACTTTCCACATTAGCAACGATTTAAAGATATTTAATCAAGTCTCTTGATCTGCATCATTGCACTTAGTTTAGCTGATTTAGAAAAGTTGGGCAACTTTTTTTCCTTAAAAGAAGAAGAAAGCTTGAAGCTTTTTAATTTTTAAATATATACATAACTTTCACAAAGTACGGCATCATCGCGCTTGGTAATAGAAAGTTCGTGTTTATTATAAAATGTTCTTATTTAGACTATTTTATCACAGTTTGTGACCTTTTTCCCATCGTTCTTTCTCAGGAGTTATACACAACCATGGTATTTTGGGTTTTTGGATATGGTTCACTTGTGTGGAACCCTGGTTTTGAATACGACGAGAAAGTGATAGGTTACATCAAGGACTACAGGCGTGTTTTTGATGTTGGTATGTCTCACTAGTATTCAGGAAGAAATTGTACATATTGTTATAACTTATACTTTTCAATTCCTTTTATGTCATTATATTGCCACTGATTCTGTTCATTTCTTTTCCATTTGTTAAGCATGCATTGATCACAGAGGTACCCCTGAGCACCCTGCTCGGACTTGCTCTTTGGAGTACCAAAAAGGAGCTATTTGCGTAAGTAACATCTTAGACTATTACCCTTCATGATTCATATTCGTTGGTTCTGATAGCGTCGGAATAATGCTTCAGCTTTTGTTATCAAATGTTCATTCTTTCTTACCTTCAAATTCTTCCAACAGTGGGGTGCTGCTTATTCTGTACGCGGAGGGCCTGAAAGGGAAAAACTGGCAATGGAGGTATGCTTCTTCAAAAGCAAAATTTATCATTGTTGTGATATATTTTTCTGTTGAGAGTGTTCACCTGAGATAAATTTGACATGGGCAGTCATACCCTATTATCTAATAGACATACTTCTTATCCTCTTTTACTACGAGTTTTTATGTACGTCTTATCTAATTGGAATGTTACATTGATTTGCTTCTCATTTGCAGTACTTGGAAAGGAGAGAATGTGAATATGATTTAAAGACCCTTGTGAACTTTTATAAGGTAAGATTAGTTTTAATATTACTCTACCTTCATGCCCGAAAGTTGGAACTGCCAGCTTTCTTAGTATTTGTGAATTTTTAATTATTATTTTTGTACTGTTTGTCATAACATGTGCTTTCTGTGGTGTACAGGAAGAGGACTTCTCTGAGTCTGAGCCTTCCGTGACAGGAGTGATTGTGTAAGTCATTTTGCTGTAGATTCATCAATTCCCGCATCTCATTAAATTCATCCTTTGTAAAATTGCTTCATAATGTAAGAGAAGAAAGAAACAAAAACGCATTACAAATTTGTTTACAAAAATTGTTTCTGGATGTTTTCCTAACCTAACCTGTTCTTGATATTGCAGTTTCACATCCACTCCAGACAAGGAATCAAACAAGTATTATCTGGGTCCTGCTCCATTGGAGGATATGTCAAGGTAATATAGATTGCAATTCTTCTTTTCTTGTTTTGGTGGTGCGATGGTGGGTGTAATTATTTGTGTGATAAAGTTATTTTCCCTCAATGGCACTCCCTGATGACCGAGTATTTTTCTACAGGCAAATCGCCACTGCATTTGGGCCCTGCGGAAACAATAGAGACTATCTCTTTCTATTGGAGAAGGCTATGTTTGATATTGGTGAGCAATCTTTTTCTCACAGTACCACAAATCCTTCAGCATGAAGACCATGACAAGCTTTTCTTAATTCTTCATTAAATATGTGACTAAATTGAAGAATTTGTAACATGAACAGGCCATGAAGATGACTATGTGATTGAGCTTGCAAATGAGGTGAGGAAGGTACTTGGAATTGTGGGGAAAGGAATTCCGAAGGAGAAGAAATTGGCTGGTCCAACCCACCTCCCACTCAAGTCCCACATCCCAGCCCTTCAACTGCATCCGCTTCCCGAAGCCATCGCCATGGACTCGTAACATTTGAACACAAGACAACGATAACAGAAAGAAGATTGATGATAAAAACTGCGGAGCCTATGTTGTGCTGAGAGTGCTTCTAACCCATATATCCCTACCCCTAGTTTTACTTTCCTTTCCTTTTGCCTTAATTCCCACCAGGAGAGAAGACAGATGTCCTTTTTTTTCTTCTTTGTTTTTGGTAAGCTTATTTCAGCGGCCTGCTTAGCAGCGGGGGCACGCTTTCTAGCATCGTAGAAGAGATTAGATTTGAGTGCGGCAAAAACACATGGTTTGGTTGGTTAGGAATGAATATGAGGTTGATAACTAACCTCTTCTTTTTCCATTCTTTTATCCTTTATGAAAACCATGTCGGATGTAACGTTTACAGTCATTTTAACTTAAAGAATGTTTCCAATTTCTTTCTAATATTTGATAAGTTTGTATGTGTGGAATATGCGAGGATGGAGGGCTGTAACACTCCCAATAGTGGGCTTTGCACTTTTGATACATATTTGAATTTTACAATATTATTTTATCCGAGTGACGCTAAAGTCGATTCTTAAATTCAATCTCTACCACCTCTATTCTCACTTCCACCTTATTTTAAAAATGACTTATCCTAATTATTTTTTTGGGACCTTATAAATGTCTTGACCCTTTATTCAATCTAGGTACATTAGTCTTTCCACATGTATAATAAATTAAAATAAAAGAGTTTGGTAAGTTCGGTCAGAGCAATATGTCCACCCTCGTGGGCTTGAAGTTCCCGCTTCGTAGATTAATTTACAATATCTCATTGTCGACAAAACAAAAAGAGATATATACCAAACCGGTCCCATGTTGTACCATTTTAACTAATTTGGTTGATGGAGTCATTCTATAGTGATGCCTTATCTATAGCCCTTAGGTGATGTTTTATATCTTAATTGTTGAATCATACTAACCAATTTCATACAACGGTTAAGATATAGATCATCACCTAAGGACCATATAGAAACTCTCACTATAGAATTCATGTTGGTTGATGTTTGCAAATATGGGCTTAGCTAAGTTGACTATAGTGGGATGTGCTACTCACTCTGCACCCGAGTTCGAATCCCTTCCCCCGTAGTTTAAAAGATAAATTAAGTTTAACTCAAGAAAATTAGATTAAAATAGAATATCATTTGTATAAAATAAATGGATTAATGTATCTTCAATTAGAATATCATATATATATATATATATAAAGATTAACGTATCTTCAGTCTGGGCAATTTAGATATTTAGTCCTTTTTTTGAGACATTTAGCCAATGTGCTCGATACACATAAATCAAATTGAACAATTGAAAATGAATAATACTAGTCTTACCACATTTTTTATATCACAATTTTATACCATATGATGTGGCGGCTGATGTGTATATACCACATCATGTAAAATACTAGTTTCCGTTTTTCTAATTTTATTTATTAAAATACACTTCATTCGTTTAATTGATATGACATATGATATAGACATACCACATCATTTGGTATAGAAATGTGGGATAATAACGTGGTAAGTGTAGCATCACTCATTGAAAATAGATGGACTAAATAAATTGGCAATGTGATAATAAATGGACCCATTTTTCCTTGATAAAAACCCAACACTTTTTATAATTAAAAAGAAAAGAAAGCCCAGCATTGGACCCAAACATCGACTTGGATTGGATCATACAATATGACAATTTTAGTGTTGGACCAGATGACCCAAAAACTACAAAACATTACAAAGTAAACAACTTGTGCAGAAAGCCAAGCTTAACAAATACAAACCAAAACCAAAACCCCTCTCTCTCCTCTCTGCAAATTCAATTCCTCTGAAAAAGAAAAACCCAACCTTCTCATTCCTTCCTTCCCAATTCTCGTTAATGGCTTCGGATATGGATCTTAACGCTCCTCACTCCATGGGTACCACCATCATCGGCGTCACTTACAACGGCGGCGTCGTTCTCGGTGCCGACTCTCGAACCAGCACTGGTGAGCCTCCTCGTTCTCTCTTCCCTTTCCTTCCCCAAAACCCTAATCAGCTTCTGTGCTTTCAACACTCATCGATCACTCTTTTATTCGTGTAGGAGTGTATGTGGCCAACCGTGCCTCCGATAAAATCACCCAGCTCACCGATAATGTCTACGTGTGTCGCTCTGGATCGGTATCAATCTCATCAATTTTACTATTTTCATTTCATTTCTTCATTTTCTTGATTTTTCGATCATTTGAGCATTTACCCATTTGCAATTTGCAGGCTGCGGATTCTCAGGTTGTTTCTGACTATGTGCGCTACTTCCTTCATCAACACACGTCAGTCTTTGCCTCTTTGTTGCTCTTGTTTTTCCTATTTTATGATTCATAGCTCACGTTGGGTATCTAATGGGTTTGTTATATGATTGTGTTTGCACAGCATACAGCTTGGGCAGCCTGCAACTGTCAAAGTTTGTGCCAACCTCGTCAGGCTACTGTCTTATGGCAACAAGGTTGGGTTTTTCGAGTTTCTCATTTATGGTATCATAGTATCAGTTCAATTGTAGTTTAATAAATAAATGATTGCGTTTTTGACATCATGTTTTGGACATGGCAGAATATGCTAGAAACTGGGTTGATTGTTGGTGGGTGGGACAAGTACGAAGGCGGTAAGATTTATGGAATTCCTCTTGGTGGCACACTGCTAGAGCTGCCCTTTACCATTGGAGGTATGCTATGCTGGAGTATTTCTAACTTAATTGTCAAACCTTCGTTTCACCCTTGGGGTTAGGTTATGGTGCACGTTTTACACGTTTCTGTATGTTATATGGGATGCAAATTTCATTGCTTGTACGAAGAAGAACTTCCTAGTATTTGTTTGGTTGAAATAGGATCTTTAGTGGAATCAGATTGGAAGTATTCTATGATATTTTATAGATTATCATCAAATTGGATTTAGTTGTTTGCAACTGGTTGGTAATGTTGGATGCGGCCCAAGTACATGCCAAGAATTCATCTTTGTGGTTAATGAATAGAATTTGAGGGATCAACGACTTGTATTCACTGCCCAAAGAAAAGGCTATGTTCAGATATCATATCCTACTTATCTATACATGACGAGGATTGATTTCCAATATGTTTTGGTTACAACTTGAAATTTATTTTTGGAAAATTTCTTATGTGATTTACCTTCACAAGGAGGTTCAGGCTATAGTTTTGCCCATCTGGGGGTTTGGGATTAACATACTTTTTGTCTTATAGGGTCTGGGTCCAGTTACTTGTATGGATTTTTCGATCAAGCATGGAAAGAAGGAATGACCAAAGATGAAGCAGAGGTATGTATCTGTTGATGTTTGCAGGTAGAAAGGTTTTGTAACTGCCTTGGAACAAATTTGTCATAGAAAGTTTTAGACCGTTGAACTTGACTTGGACAGTACTTTATATTGATAAATGCTACAATCTCGAGGGAGCTTTGACCCTCGAAAAAGGGATTGTTATGCTATCTTTATGAGACGTTTCTCTTAGTTTGTTGTTAACTGCTCTTTGGTGGCATTTTTGCAGCAATTAGTGGTCAAAGCCGTGTCTCTCGCCATTGCACGAGATGGTGCCAGTGGGGGCGTTGTCCGCACTGTAGTTGTAAGTTTTTCTTTCCCTCAACTCTAATCATGACTAAGCAATCCTATCGCACTTTTGTTTGCAACATGACCATAGATTGGCTGAGTTTTGTTTGTGTGCTTTTGCAGATAAATTCTGAGGGAGTGACCCGAAACTACTACCCTGGTGACAAGCTTCCACTCTGGCACGAGGAGTTGGAGCCTCAGAATTCATTGTTGGATATCTTGAACACCGCGAGTCCCGAGCCTATGAACATACAATGAGGATCTTGCTCTACTGATAGGAGTCTGGCAACTGTTTATTAGTTTTTCTTTAACTCCAAAGTCTTGTTTACAATGAGGAATAGGGTGTTCAACTCCATCTTAGGAGATTTGCTCATCTTTTGTGATTTAGTTGTTGTATGTCTGGTTCAATCTACAAATGCTTAGATTCTAATTATTGTGGCTTGTGCATGTTTCCTTTTGTCTCAATTCCTTGTCAAGATTCTAACTTTTTCTACAGTATGACTCGACAATCGGAAGAAATTTCTATTTTTGAAAAATATATTTTATTTCTGATAAACAAATGCAAAATATTCGAAAAAATAAACTTAAGCTCAGATTTTTCTTCATAACATATACAACATCATCAGCAATCATTGAAGCAATCGTGATTATTCTGATAGGCATTTAAAAAGTACAAAAAATAAAATAAAATGTAAAAATAATCAGATATGTGTCGTGTAGTGATTGTTTCGTTTCCAACGAATTGGAGAAGACATGGCCTCAAAAAGCGACCACCAAACAACACGTCGTATGGTTACAATAAGAATTCCCAGAGAAAATAATAAAATCCAGGAAGAAATAGTAAGAGAGAGAGAGAGAGAGAGAGAGAGAGAGAGAGAGAGAAATGAGTGCAATGAGCTCAGTGGCGATGGTTCAGTCTCAGAGCCTTCACAAGGTGTTCGTGTACGGCAGCCTCATGGCGGAGGACGTTTGCAGAGTCCTCTTAAATCGCGTCCCTCAATCTTCCCCTGCCATCCTCAAGGGCTAGTCAGTCTCTCTCTCTCTCTCTCTCTCTCACTTAAATGCTTTTTCTGGTTATCGTTTTTGATAATTTATCAAAAAAAGAAAGAGAAAAAAGAAGTGAAATTTGACGATGATGATGATGTGAAATGTGTAGCCATAGGTATAGCATCAAAGGACGAGTTTATCCGGCGATTCTACCGGTTGAGAATGACAAAGTTACCGGCAAGGCAAGGCCTAAGCCCCGATCAATTTGTAGATGAAAAATAAATAAATAAATAAATAATATTAATTGATTGTAAATGTTTGATTAAGAAAAGGAGGGTGCTTTGTTTTGTTCTTGTGCAGCTCCTGTTGGGCATCACAGATCCTGAATTACACATTCTGGATGAATTTGAGGATGTTGAGTATGAGAGGAACACTGTTGAGGTCTCCTTGGTGGTAAGTTGGTAGCTCAAATGCATTCTTTACAATCTCATGATGTTTACTGTTACATCATAGTATGCAAATATCAAATTGAAGACGATGATTGGCAAAGGCTGGGTAGAATTAGAAGGCTAAAAGAAAAAACCTACAATTTTGATGCTTTTTTTGTGATTGGAGCTAACAGTTTTCATGACCTTTGGGAAATGTTACATGGATTTTGTTAATAAGTGCATGCCTTGTCTCAAGAACTTTGTAACCAATTTTTTTCCAGGATAGTTCTGACAACTTGTTAGTTCAAGCTTACGTTTGGAGCAACAAAAGTGATCCAAATTTGTATGGAGATTGGAATTTTGAGGTAAAAGCTCTTCCATCCTACTTTATTTGAGTCTAGTTGAGTATGAACAAGCAAGGGCTGAACCACCCTTAGACTAGAGTGCACTAGGAGCTTCCGAGACAAAGCTAGTCAGCCGCCCACACATAATAGACGGGAAAAAAAATATATACTGTTGAAATTCCTGGTTTTTGCCTAACTGCCGTTTCAGTACTTAACTACTGAGTTTAGAATTCTTATTTCAAAACAGGATGATATATGTAGTCTTTGCTTTATGTCAAGATTTAGAGAACCCAAAATAAGCTAGAGCTTTTCTATGTGTACCGACGCCGTTTTTAGTTAGCACCTTAGTCACTTGCATTGTGTCTGACTTTCTTAGTTCCTTTGATCACTTAAATATTGACAAGGAATGGAAGCAACTACACAAGAAAGATTTTATCAAGATGACTACGGGTTTCATGGAAGAGCTGGAGCTGCCTGAAGCAAAGCCGAGAGTTGCAACATATGAATCATTTTTTCGGCAGGGTCCTGAGAATCCCGCCGCGTCGTGATTCTATATTCGATTTGTAGATTCTGATCCATATAAACAAAACAACATCTACCATTCTATGATTTATATAAATGCTACCCATGCGTTAATAATCGAAATAACTTGTTTGAGGCAATGGTGGTCAGGGCAAACTGTTCATTACCCATTTGTTTGTAGATTTTGTTCTGTTTGTTTGGCTGAAGGTTTGGGCCAGATTCAATATTCTACTTTTCTCATTATCTTTGATTGGAATTTATATGTTTCCAGAGCAATGTTGTACTAAACTTATGAGAAATCTTGATTGGAACCAGCATCAGAAGAAAGAAACAATCATTTCATATCCCTACTTTGAATCTTTGAATTTCGTCATGTTTTAATCTGTACCTCAGAAAAATCAAAACCATATGGAATGAAAAATAATAATATAATTTTATTAATTTTATTTGGACTTCCAATAATATTATTGTTATACTGCCAATACGCCAACACAGTTGGTAAAAATAATACGCCAATACACCAATACACCAATACTGCCAATACACCAATTGAGATTCTTGAGAAGGTTCATAAATTTAAACCCAAATTAATAAATTACTAGACATTTTACATTCCGGTAAATTACTCATTTGGATTGACAGAGGGACGGCGTCGTATTCTTAGATATCCAAACTTGCCTGCACCAGGTGATGAGCCCTCAAAAATATATGGCAAGTACCCTGTTGCATCCTTGTACCGCTGCTGAATCTGGATACATCAAAATCAACCATTCTATCAATAAAAATTTCTGGTATAATAATGTTTAATTAAGTAAAATACTGTTTGCCTGAAAATTACCTCCAAAATTTGTTGGCTGCTCTGTAGAGAGTTCCTACCAACTGCACAAACTGTTCCACCGGAACCTCCTCCTGTAATCTTGGCTCCATATAGTGTCCCGTCGCCAGATTTAGATGCTTTACTGTGTTGCATCTCTTGTACCAACCGTACAAGGCGGTTTGTTCCGTCGGAGCCAAGTCCACAGGCACTGTAGCTGTAGTGGCACTGCAAAAAAGAAGAGCACATGTCCAGCATTTTAACATTCTGTAGCTCAATAAATAATCCATGCAATATATTTAAAGCTAGGTGCTAACTCAATGATTTAACGAAAAGGAAAAATTCAGGTAGTGCTTGATTGGCTTAAGCAAACTCAGTTACTGCCCAGCCAGCAAGTAGCTCGAGATTTGTCGGTACATGGACCAAGGCATACACTGGTCCTCCAATTATCTATAGGACGAAAGGATGCGAACCTGGTGGCTTTTATGCATAGTACTCGATTCCTATGCTAAAAATGGTCTCATTCAATATTTTCTGTAGTCTTGTCTATAATTGTGCCGAAGAGGAGTTCGAATTACGGGTTTTCTTCAACTATTTGTACGAACCTGGTACAGTAACTCTCCAAGAGCCGTAAGCTGATCATCTGAATTTGCAGATGTTAACAGTGCTTTGAATGCCTATACATTAAACAGTAAACCAAGTACCTTAGATGATAGGAAGAATAAAAGCATTTAGAGATAGATGTATTGAAAGGAATAAAAAATCTGGGTACCTTAACTCGGAAATTTTCATATATAGGATGTTTAGCAGGTGCTGTCACTCCATAGTTACGGTCTGGATCAATTACTGTAACTGGATCATTGTGACCATCATACTTCTCAAGAAAAGTTTCACCAAGTATAGACTCAGGAAGCATCTTAACATAAAGAGCCTCGTATCTGAAATTCAAGTTTTGGAATAAATAAACAATCCTTTATAGGACCAATACAATTTTAAAAGTAGTTTAGCTATAAACATCACCTTTGTTTATTTTTGGCCAGTAACTGCACCTTAGTTTTTAAGAAATTATTTAAAGGCCCCAGTAGAGAACATTACCTATGAGGTGACAGGTTGCACAAGTAATCTAATGAAGCTTCAGTTTCAAGTAGTTCAAAACCATTATCCTCTAACTCATCAGGGTTTGGTCCATTTTCAGTTCCTGATGATCGAGACAAAATAGCAGATGCTGCACACTTTATCATCTTTCGACCCATGAAGGCACCTATTCTAACAGATCCGTAATCCGCACCTCCAACACTACCCAAGAATAAAAATGGCAAGGCTTAAGTACAAGTCGTTATTTTAGGATTAAAGATCAGAATAAGTCCTGATATAGATCATATAATAAAAACTCCATCAACAAATGGTTTAAGCTGGTAAAATGTTTACTAGAATTGTGAGAATTGGGAGCAAATGTTAAAATTCATGGAAAAAGATGATATAGATCTCCTACCTGTGTCGTATTCCTGAATCAATTCCCCAAAATCGGATATGACCAGGAATTTCTACAAGACCAAGAACCTCAGCAGGCTGTACAAAGAACCAAAAAGAAATGGAAAAATGATATGATTTCTCAATATGTAAAATGTTGCAGCAGAGTTGTTTTCAGAAACATTAACGGATACCTGGCACAACATTGCAAGAAGCTTGTTGGCTTCACCACATGCAGAAGTCATCTGGTCCATCACACCACACGGAGCTCCAACAATATGATTCTCCACCTAATAAACAACTAGGACAATCAAGGTAATTTTCAAAAGAAAACCGCTAGCTTGTTGATTATAATACAGTGCTGAAGGTGCAACCTTTTGGCAAAGCAAAGCAAGATCTCTGGGGCTGATGCTTAATCCTACAAAGCACAGGAGTAGGTTTTAGTCATTTAGTTTTCCATGTTCATAACTTAATAAACAAAATGAATATTCAATACTTAAATTAAAAAAAGGTTTATTAGGCCCAAATATGCAGTACTTTAAATCAACCAGAAATAGAACTTTCTAAGTCAAACAAACAACATGATAAATAACCAGTTTAATATCAAAAGAAGAAAACAAGCATGCAAATGTGTAAGTATTTCCACTCAAATATTCTTCATAAATTGCCATGAAATTTTCTTTTGGGATAACAAAGATAAACCTGTACAACTCTATACAAGTTAATAATAAATCTGAAGTTACAAACAAAAAGGCCTGATTTAGTAGCTGGGTTTATCTAAGTTCACAAATGTTGTCATTTTTTCTAGAAACAAGGAAGAAACAATAAGAATATTATGCAAGAAGCTATAAAAGGACCACTTCTATTATATGTAGAAAATGAAATTATAAAAGCTAAAAAAAGAATTTGAAGACTATTAAGTTTTCTAGCTCTGTAATATTTGAATAATGGAAATACCATGGGAAGCAGCTATGGCAGACATGGTAGCAACCTCCACAGAAGCAGAAGAAGAGACACCTTTGCCTTCCGGGACTGTCGAGGAAACCTGTACATTATGAGAAGTGTATGTGTCAACATTATGGGCTATACCACAACAAACTATTTGTAAGCAACTACACATATGAATTGAACAGCAGAGAATAGAGAACAGAACAGGCAAAACACTATAACAGCAAAAGTTCTGAGCTAGGGGATAAGAATAAATCAGAATATTCTCTAAACAAAATAAGTGCCAACTCATACCAGCAAACTGATGCTCTCCTCAAAACGTATGCCTAGTTCTGTCATTAAAACCAGAATGACACCTGCAACATATGCCGCCCACCTAAAATGGAGACCGTGTAAGCAGTGTACACAGTTACAAATACAGACACATTAAGTAAAGAAGATTGACCCACTTTTGGGATGGATCTTGTGAAAAATATTTCTTTGCCTTCTCGTATGACATTGGTTGATCTCCGTCCATAAAATCAGCTAGATCCATGTCAAAAGTTGGGCCACGGTTGCTTAACTCTGAACCATATGAGACCTGATACAGCCAATATATGGAGATGGTAACGATATTAAAATTTGTACCAGTAAGACAAACCCACTTTCTATGCTTATTGATTCTTAATGCTTATACATACAATTTGCAGAACAGGTGTTGGGTTTTTTCCTTCAGCCTGCTGCCGAACCAGGGCATGTTTCCAGAGCCTATGTTTACTTGGATGATTTCTTTGTACAGCAACATGGCAGGCTTCCTTTATGGGCATCTGTGAGAAAGAAAATCAGAAGAAACATTCAGGAGGAAAGACCATGCCAAAAGGCAGCTTTGTCCAATGTGTGTATGTCTGCATCCATGCGCAAACGTGTACACACTGCACTGAGTGGCAAGAGCAAGCTTATGAAGACAGGATAACTAATAAAATACAGAGACAAACCTGCAAGACTAGACTTCCTGAATAGTCAGCAATTCCTCCCATTACGTCTAACCGTCCAGGTGCTCTTGCCACAAAGAGTTCATCCTGTATCCCAAAAATGAAATACAATTGTTCAGTAAAACCATTGGAAAGACAGTTTATATTCTGACAAATACGATAATACTTCCTAAGGCAAACGTCCAAATAATGCTGTCAAGCAGTTTAGTTAACCTTAAATGGTCATTTATACACCAAACGTACGCAAAAGAAATGCGAAAAACAGTGATGGTGTCATTGCAAATGCATATATAACAAGTTATCAGTTCCAAAGTAACTACGTCAATATATACATAATGTTAATATGTCATCTACAGCAGCTAGTATATAGTAAAAACCGAAAACCTAAGAAAAAAGCATCTGAGATTTAGTTCAGCTAAGTGAGACCTCCCAGTTGAAGAGTCCGGCTGCAGCCTTGCGCTCCCTCATCTGGCGCTTCTCAGCACTTTTGTCAGAGTCATACATAGAATCAAGTTCTGCCAAGCTCTTCAAAAATGTCATTGTATCTGAAAGACCCTGAAGATCTCCATGAAGAATCTCGAAGTCCTCAGTGCATCTAAAAATAGAATTGCAATAATCTTATTAGCATCCAAATAATTTTTGTATAATGACAACACTAATAGAATATACATCTCACGAGTTCATTAGGGAGCTCTTCTCGCTCATTTCGCAAGTAGGTGATCCCATTCCCAGTTCACTTTCAGCATTTGCATACCATTCAGGAATGGCCATATCCCGTCCAGGTACCCTTTGTAGTTGATACCCAAGAATTATGGCATCACGC